GACAGGCAAAAAGAAGAAGAACATGACAGCAGTGCTGCGTGGCACCAATTGAGATGCATATATCGTCTCTTCTGCTTTCGTCCCCGCGTTTATTTTGCCCGCAGCAAGCGCTGAGATACAGGGTCATAGTCATACAGGGTTGAAGGGCACACGACATCAATCAATCCAAACGGGGCTGCAGCTCTTGGTTACTGATACGACTATTGTTTGCTTGCTCTCACGCTAGACTTGCTAGCCAGCACCCAAAGTTGAGCTACCTACCTATCTCGCATCCCGTGTTCCCAAATGTAGTAGCGATGATCGCAGATGCTAGACAAAAGGTAAGATACGAAGTGGTAGCAGAAGCTTGAGATTATCTGGCCAATCCGTCGATCGCACGCCGTTTACTGTACACACCTCTACAACACTGTGCCTCGACCGGTGGCAGAAAAGATGGGCATTGCATAGCCTCCATCTTCATTTACAACGGCCCTCCCCTCCACCCCCTTCTTATTCTCTATCTATCTATTCACACTATGTATATGATAGCTGACGCAGCTGCGCTCCATACGGAGTACATTGGGTCGCCATACAGTACGAGTACATATCGCTCTGCGTGCGGTTGCCCGTCAAGGTACTCGTACAGGTAATTAGACTTTCTGCTATATATGTCGTGATAGACGAGATTGGCGTCTCTGCGCAGTGCCAAACCCGCGGACTTGGACGGTCAGTACCTCGAGCACTGGTACCTTCGCACCCCCGTCCGCGATGCATCTCGGCTGCAGCCAAGAGGGGAGACGAGAAACAGAATACCCTTGGCCCAAGTACCTGCCGGATCCTGCGCAGATTGTCGAAGCAACATTGGAGCCGGACCGGGTTTCTGCGTTTCATGTGCACAGGTATGTCCCAATGCTGGACCTGATTGGACCGAGACATGATTTTGTTTCCTTCCCATACTGTATCGTATCGCAGAGAAACTCGGGGGTTTGATACTGTATACTGTACACAGTACAGGTTCGTTTCGTGCCTTGTGCAACCCTTTGTCCGGCTTGTCTCGACTTGCGTCCAACCACGGCGGCAGATCTGGTGCACTGTTGGACAGTAGAAACTCGAAACAAACGAGTTCATGTACTCCCCAGCCATTGCCACCGGCAGTGTTTCACATTCGGAGCGCCATGTCCAGGGAGAGAGAGCAATCAAGCCACTTTTTTGCAGCAGATGCTGTAAGGGAGGGAGACTCAGACATGATGCTGTTTTTGCCATTCTTCAAGGGCGAGTGAACCCTTGGTTATAGAATTTTCCATTTATGGCACGGCTGTGCAATTATCGGACCATTACGTGAAAACAGAACAACGAAGAAATGACGAGCGAAACCTGTATTGGAATGCCCGTTTCGCAGCGCTGCCTCGGGTTTCTGGGGGAACAAGAAAGACGCCAACAAATAGCCAAAATAAGGCCCGTCCATGCATTGACTGGGCGTGGGCGTTGGGCAGGCATCTTCGCCGGCTAAAGTAAACAAAAACGGCGCTTCAATTGGTTGCCTTGGACGCATCCAGGAATTGGCCCCCTTTTGATTGATTTTCGTTTTTGAGCGCAAATCAATAACTCGCAACTGTTGATCCGTATGTGCGAGTTTGTATTGTCGTATGTACAGCTACCTACCTGTTGCTGGAGAAAGTGACAGCATGGATGCAGCTGCAAGTACGGATACGGAGACGGATTATGATTATGGGGTCTGCACTTTGATGCCGGAAGCAAATCGCCGTCCGTCCAGGTATCACCGGAGTTGCAAGTACCTGATAATTTCAATCCCAATTCAATGCCCAGACCCCCTTACCCAGTATATTACCCACCGCAATACGCAACACGCAAGCATCCAGTCTCTTCTGTCAACGTGTCCTGTCCTAAAATTGGTGAGTCGAGAGTCAAATGGAACTTTCCATCACGGCCGCTCTCATTCCACAGCCGACCCAGTGAACAGTGGCAATCACTCAATTGCCGTCATAGGGGCCCCAGTATTGATATGTTTCTCCATAGATAGATAGATAGCACGAACTTACAATCACGATGGAGCACGCAAGAAGGTGTCCATCCAGCTTGTTACTCACAGTACAGTGGGCTCAAACTCACTCTAGTTGCCGCTGTCGGCGGATAAACAATGCGGCACGGCGCTGTAACCACTAGCATGCCCGCTAGCACCATCAAGCATCAATCAATCAATCAATCGATGGGTGTGGTTCTTCCCCCCTGGATGTGTCTTGTCGCTGATCTGAATGGCGAGCTTTTTCGCTAAACGAATGCGCAGAGTGGTGTCATCCTTTGCAAAAAAGCAAGCAAACATAAGCAAGTGTTTTTGATCCATCAAGGTCCAGTTCTACAGCAGCGCGACATTCCTACCCCCTACTGGCCACAACAAGCACTTGCATGAAAATCCTGCTTTTTTGCATTTCCCTCGTGTACGTAAATCGAGAAGAGACTAGACTAGGGCCGCAAAACGTCGCCCTGGCAAAGCGACAGAAAACCAAAGAAGCAGAGCAAAAGAGAGAGAAGAAGAAGGAGAGAAAAAAACCTCCCCTGACCGCCTTCCAAGAGGCTAAAGTCGTCAAAAGGTTGCTGCACGCTGACGCACCTCAATGCGCCTCTAATGCAATCCTCATGCATGCAGGCTACCCCGAATGATACTACTCGTGCTTCTTTGTCTCAGTCCAACAACCACTACACACACAGCAGCAAGCAGCCCAGAAGACAGACCCCCTAATTAATTCAAGCCAGGAACTAGCCTAGACTACTGTAGAGTGCTGTATCGTACTACGAAAGGGTGTGGCCCCCGTCAATGTGCGTCGGGCTCTAGGGTAGCAAGCAGAAAAAAAGCCCGCTTGGCACCAAAGAGGCAAGTAGGAGGAAAAAGTACCCAAGCAATGACGATTGCTCGCCCGATTGAAAAGGTAAAGAAGTGTGAGAAAAAATTAGAGAGGGCTCCATCTTCCCGTCATAGGAAAAATTTCCCTTTCCCGCTGGAGCCCCTGGACCTGTTTTTTTTCCTCTCTCAGCTACAGTTTATTACGACTACGCTCTTACTAAACACTGCAACCCCAGCCTTGCCGACTCCCGCTTTCTTTTTCTTGGTACGAGTACGTAAAAAAGACTGCACTAGAATATTCCGCAGGCTGTCTGTCCCCTCACCGCCTGCATCTCTCAGTGTCCCTTGTCAAGTAGTTTCTCAGCTAAAGATAGACAAGACAGAAAAAGACAGAGAAAAAAGAGATGGCTGCTGAGACAGATTTTGGCGAGTTCCAAGTCCTCCTGCTAGACATTGGTACGGCGCCCCCTCCCCCCACTTACCCCGGGCTGATCAACTTGGCCAGCGACGAGCTGCGCGAATTCGCATCACGGGTTGCCCTTTGCTTCTTGCTCGCATCTTCCTCTCATGCCTCTCATGTCCTCTTCGCCTGCTGATTGCTTATCGCGCAACCTTCACTCATGCAGAGGGCACCGTCTGTCCCATCTCCTTTGTCAAGGATGTCTTGGTGAGTTCTCCCTTGGCTGGCTCTCATTCGTCCCCGGCGACGGTCTGGATTCGCTGTCCCGTCAATCGCCGCCGGCCATCCCTGTCCGGCAGCCAATCGAGTGGCGATGTGCAAGACTAGACCACCCTTGCCTTTCCCCAACACGACACCTAGCTTCCTGCTCAACCACCTTATGCGCGCATAGTGCTGCTCTTCATTGCTGTACTCGTCCACTCGTCTCTGTCCCGTCCCGTCCCAAACGCCGTGGCTGACTTTGAATGGGCCCTGCGCCGTGTCTCTCCTCACTTCAGTTTCCCTATGCCCTCGATGTCCTGCCCACGTTCTTGACTGAGCAGTGGGACGAGTCGAGCTTTGCCGAGTACCGCAACGCTTTCCCCGAGGAGTACCGCAACGACCGCAGTGCCTTTGAGGCCCACGTTCGGGACCTCGTCGCCCGAGATGTCAAAGCTTCGTACCTAAAGGCGCTCCAAGGGTACCTCTGGAAGAAGGGGTACGAGTCCGGAGTCCTCAAGGCTCCACTGTTCCCTGACGTGCCGCCTTTCATCACCAATGCCCATGCGGCCGGCCAGAAAATCATGATATACTCGTCCGGATCGGTCCCGGCCCAGAAGTTATTCTTTGCTCACACGACCGCCCAACCCCCCGACATGAGCGTCCTTATTTCTGACTGGTTCGACACCGTCAATGCGGGGCCCAAGACCGACGTGGCTAGCTACACCACTATCCTGTCTCACTATCCGGACATCAGCCCCACACGTTGGATCTTCCTGAGCGACAACCTCAACGAGGTGGACGCTGCTCGCCAGTCGGGCATGCACAGTGTCCCGGCCGTCAGACCGGGCAATGCACCACTGCCGTCCCATCACCCGTTGACTGAGTTTGCCATTTCCGAGTTCACTCCAGTCTCTGTTGCACAGGCCGCAGCTGCCATTGCATCCAAAAAGTCGGCCTGAAAGCTAGAAAGCCCGTTGGGGATTGGTAGCTCGACTTTCAACACTCAAGCAAGTTTCCCTCGCCGTGCTTGTAAATACCCCCCACGAGTCAGTTGATGGCGGGGAAAGAATCCGGTAGTCAGGTGTTCAACATCATATTTAGATGACGGCGGCTTTCGTGCAAGTATGTGCTGATATGTCGACAAATTTTGGCCAGCTAAAAAGGAAGCATTGCTATTTGACTGGGTCGCTTGTGAGATCAACCATGCGGGGGACTAGTTGACCGCCATCTCGACGCTCGGTTGGAGGTTTCGACCTGCTTGGGGGTGTGTGGGAGGGGGAGAGGTATGTAGGGAGGAACTTCCTAGGCGGTCAGTGTGTGGCTTGCTTCTTCTCCAAAAAAGACAGCCAAAGAGAGTAGTTCTTTGCCGAAAGTATCATGACGCTCCGCACCCGATTTTGTTGGGCCCTAGTGCATGAAGCTGTTCGTCCAAGATGTCGCATACCGAGTTGGGAGCTGTGTCGTGATCCGAAGCTTCCTGTCCGTCAGAAGATAGACCAATCAGGTCTTTGGTCCTTTGAGAGTCATGACGAAGTTGTTTCTGGTCTTTCCTGGGTTGACTTCTTGCTTTGGGAACGTCAGGCCTTCTTTTACCACTCCCGCGACTCTTCTCCATAAGCTGTAGGCCAGTTTCTGAGTCTTCTTGCTCCTCACTCTCGTGTAACAAAGCGCAGCCATCAGCTCGTCAAACTTGTCATCCGTAAAATACCGCGAATTGTCGACACAGCTCCTCGGTAGGACGACGAAGAGACAGGGAAAGAGAGGTTCGGTAGTAATCGTGGTGTCGGTATCGGCCCGGAGAAACGACAGAGTTCGTAGAAGCATGGCGCCACGGCCGAGAGCATCGGGCACGAAATTGAGAACCAAGCTCAGCGAGATGATATCGAATGGGCCCTTGCCATTTTCAGGCAACGGCCTCTCCATAAAGTCCTGCTGCTGAATGCCTGGTTCCTGGCTGTTCAAGTCAATGTGCTCAACGTTGAAGATTTTGCTAGTTGAACAAGCGTTCCGGGTGCTCAACGCCCCGACTTCGAGCATCTGCAGAGGTTGAGTTTGCTTCTTGAGCTCATCCAGCGGGAGCCAGTCCATGAGAACCTTTGATGTATCTCCCCCTCTGTCGATGCTTTGTCCCTGTAGGCTGGCCTTTTGATAGTGATCCAACCCTCCCAGGCTCTCGAGCTCAGCTGTGACCTTGGCTTCTGTTTCCTTATCTCCAACTCTGATGGCCCTTGTTCTAGTCTTTTCCAGCTGATGGTGCTTGTTGATCAGTGTCCTGCTTGCCTTGCGAGTCATAGAACGCGATGGTGTAGCAAGCGGTGGCCGGCCTTGGGCGAGACGGGTCAACGTCTTTTTCTTCTTGACGACCATGATTCCTGGCGTTGTTGGGGAGGATGCTCCCAGTATATCTGTCAGGCAGGGAAGGTGTCCTGATTATGAGGATGAGCTGTTGATGAGCAGAATGAGCTTCGCGGTGACACTCGCACCAATTCCAATATCATGGACAGCTGCTGACAAAAGAACGAAATGACACATGTGATCCTGGCTGTGACATAGCTAGCCTTTCACCGTTAAAGTTGCATCGTGTAATAAGGCCTCGGACCGATAGTTTCTGCGTTCGAGGTGCTGCGTTCAGAGTCTCGACGCCTCGGCGTGCAGACAAAATGACCATCTGGCCGAAATGATGAGAATGGCCATATTGAACACACTTTTTTACTTATAAATACTCATCCGAATGCGGTTAGCACATTTGGGAAAACCTATCAATGATGCTCGTGGATGAAAGTCACATGATTTTTGCGCTGAACAGGCCAATCACAGCGCACGCTTGCTGGAGCCCTAATTTTTTTTCAATTTCGCCCACACTGGCGGATTAATCTACCTCACGTAGCTGGAGAGACTTCTTTTCCTTTCTCTTTTTTTTTTTGCTTTCACTATTCCGATAAGTCGACAACTCCTCAACAGCACAATCCCTCTCCGTGCAAATTCGACACCAAGCCGATACAATGGCCCCCGCTAACAAGAAAGGTACGACTTGAAAGAGAGTCTTGTTGTCGTCGACGGAGCCGAAAGCCATCAAACCGTTTTTGCGAAGCGACGATATACACACAACACAAAATGCTCTCCCCAATCTCCGCGCAAGCATCATGCAGCAGCAGATTTTGCGAGTTCTGAATAAGAGCGATTGCTGATGCGTCATGTTCATGTAGCTGCCGCCAAGGGCTCCAAGCAGGCCAACGCCGCTGCCAAGGCCGCCCTCAAGGGTGTAAGTTAATTCTCTTTTTGATATAAATCGCAGAACCAAGGAAATCGTTTAAGAGCAGTTTTCGCTAACAATACATGCTTTTGATTTACAGACTCACTCCTCCAAGAACCGCAAGGTCCGCCTGACCACCTCTTTCCACCGCCCCAAGACTTTGGTCCTGTCCCGCGCTCCTCGCTACCCCCGCAAGGCCATCAACCACGTCCCCCGTCTCGATGAGCACAAGATCATCATCCACCCTCTCAACACTGAGAGCGCCATGAAGAAGATGGAGGAGAACAACACCCTGGTCTTCATCGTCGATGTCAAGGCCAACAAGGCCCAGATCAAGCTGGCCCTCAAGAAGCTCTACGACATTGACACCGTCAAGATCAACACCCTGATCCGGTATGTTTTGTTAAGGTTCTGCGTTATGATGAAAGGGGAATTATACTAATTCAATTCATAGCCCTGACGGCTCCAAGAAGGCCTACGCCCGCCTGACCCCCGATGTCGATGCCCTCGACATTGCCGCCAACAAGCTGTCCCTGGTTTAAGCTGGATACTTTGTTGAGCAGAGGTCGTTTTTTCTTTAGTCTTTCTTTTTTTCTCGGAAACGGAATTGGTCTGGTCTTGAACGCGTGCACACAACACAAAAAAGCATGGGCATCGGAAACTATGGGAGTTGAAGCTTTGTCACTTATCGGATCGAAATTATGATACTATGCAAAGACAAGCCGGTCCATCCACGTACCGAATTTCGGGGAAAACCAAGAAGAGAGAATAAATGAAGACGGGAAGTGATGACAATTTCCAATGTTTGCCGTGATACTCTTCCATACTTGATCTATGTTTCAATTCTTCCCACCGCGTAGTTGAATAGTGTTAAGCTCAAGTGAAGTAATCCCATCATCCTCAAACTCACAACCTTTCTCAATGGTTCTCCACGTTATGACAATCAAATCAAATAGAAAGAAGAATGTCTAATTCCCATTCCACATAACCATATCCATATCCTCATAGCACAATACATAGCATCATACATAATCGTACAACCCACCTCCCCAATTCCAACCTCAAGCTTCTATTATGAACGCATGTTATTCAAATGCTTCATCGTCAAGAAATTAATATCCAAAAACCGATCCACGCAGTTCGCCAAGCACCCTTCCTCGCCCTTCTCCAGCTTCGCGCCCTTGATGTTGCCTGTCACGCACTTTTTCCAGCAAATCTGCGTCAAGTTGTGCGTCTCTGCACGTCCTCTCATTAGCAACAGCAACAGTAAACCATTCTCAGCTCTCTGGTAATTTCGAGAAAAGGGGAGGGGGGAGGAGGAGGGTAGAGGGAAACGTACGGGCCTGAATCTGCGATCGCTGCTGCTCATTCGCAAGAAACTGGCGCAGCTCCGTCTTATCTTTATCGTTGAGCTTTTCGAGATCGAGGTTCTCGATTCCAGTCTGTGCGGCGTTCATGGCGGGCAACAAGAAGCTTTTCCCTCAAAGACTCGTGTATATTCGTGAATAGAAATCAGATTTCCCTTGTAAAGGAAGGTGGCCGGAGTATGTGTTCGTCGTAAAGGAAGAAGGGCGGTAAATCCGGTTGTATGTAGAATCGATTGAATGGGATGGAGGCTGATAATAATTTTTCCTTGCCTTGAGTTTGAGCCAATGGTGGTGTAGTGTTGGAGGTGTGGGTAGACGAATGGGAGGAGAGGGATTTGTCCCCACTTTGGGATGGCTTGACAATAGAGAGAGAGAGAAAGGAGATGAAGATGAAGATATTGGACCTGTATAGATTCTTGGTTCTCGATTATAAGAACAAAGATATTGGGTTTGATTTTGCTGTTTTAGCACAAGCTATCGATGTAGATGAAGATGATAAATGTAGGTATATGCATAATGAATTCAAACTATTATATCACAAGCAAGGCTATAATCATGACCACACGCCTCAGAATGCTTCCCGAGTCTATGATGCCAATTCTACCCTAACAACGTCCAATGAATAAACAAGAAAGCGCAACAACAAACGACAAAACAGACAAGACAAAAACAAGCATAAAACACAAAACTAAGCCCCCCTTTTATGTACCAGACCGATACATACAACTCACAACCTTTATATCCAGCGCTTTAGTCTCGCCACGGTAATCATGAGAATGCAGAGAACAGCCATGAAGCCGATGACGCCAAAGAAAGGCCCGAGACTTTCGCCCCCTCCAAATGGCACCTTGACGTTCATTCCAAACACACCGCTGACCAAGTTGAGCGGGACGAGAATGGATCCAAGCATGGTGATCTTGCTCAGCACTCGGTTCGTGTCGGTACCCTGGGAGATGCTGTTGATGGACAAGGTAGCCAGGTAATTGCTGTGGGCGCGAGACAGAATCTTTTCAAAGTGGCCCAGGTTGGTCGCCATGGTCACAACGTGATCTTGAATGTCACCGAGGTACATGCCGATATCCATATGCGGCGTTACCTGGTAGTTCTCGTTACAGCGCTTGGTGAATCCGCGGAGGACGTCAGCCTTGCCGCCCAAGAGTCGCAGGAGGGCCATGCAATTCTTCCGCACCCGTCCAATAGACCGCAGGAACGTGTTTGAATCGTCGTACCGCATGACAAACACTTCGTCTTCTATGGCGTCGGCTTCAATCTCAATCTGGTTGATAACAGGGGCGAAACTATCAACAATGTTGTCACTGCCGCCACATTATTAGACTACCTACATATTGAATGGGGAAAAAAAAGGAGGCATTGTGAAAACTTACATCAATGCATAGCAGATCCAGTCGCTGCTAAGAGAAACATAGTCCTTAAGGGCCGTGATCCTCTTGCGCACCTCTGAAGCATGAGAGTTGGGCGTAAAGCTGAAGCTGAGCGTTCCCTCTCTGAACACAATGACATAGATGTTGAAAGGCTCGTATTCTTTCCCATCAGGTTCGTCCACAACATTAAACGACCGGAAGCACGCAAAATAGTACGACGGGAAAAGCTCAATCTTCTCTCGGGCTTCCTGAGTGACAATATCTTCAATGGTCAGAGGGTGAACGCCAAACGCCTTGCAAAGGCCGTACACTTCTGCCTTTGTGGCATGGTTGACATTGAGCCACCAGACACCGCCATCCTCGTCCTCTGGAAGTTCAAACAGCCCTCGGATATCCTCTCCCGGGAGGACGAGATCGGCCATCTCTGCGGCGTGAATTGTCGACTCCCATGCGGAAGAGAAGAAGCTGAAGCGGGTGTTGTCAACCGGAGGCTTCTGCTGCTGGAGCTTGGGAGGAGAAACACCTTCCGTGAACACCTTCTCGTTAGACATGGAGTCGTCAGAGGGAATCTCGAGGATATCGCCGTCCACCGTAACCATCTGTGCCGGCTTCGGTAAAGTAGACGGGCGTCGCAAGTCCCTGAAGCTCTCTGAGGCTTGAACCTCTGCTCGGGCAGCTCGTTCAGCCCGCTCTTCAGCCATAAAGTCCTCAAGATACTCGAAATCGATCCGGAGGTCGTGCTGCTTGGGATGCTTCTCCTGGAGAGGATAGCAGACATCTTCTTCGGCGGTCTTGTTGGTGAGGAAGCTCCTGGCATCGGCTTCTCCAGCATTACTGCGATGGCTGCGTCGGCTAGAGATGGACATGGCACGGCCAAGGACTTCCTCAACCTCATCCCTTCCTCCAGAAAAGGACATCTCGCGCTCTCTTCGTCGAGCCTCGGCAAACGCTTTGACCGAATTAGGGGGCGAAATGGATCTACCATCCACCGAAGATTCCACCGTTGGGCGACGGCCGTGTCGCGGCGGAGGCTGGACATCTCCCTCTTCGTCGAGGATGGCCTCTTCAAAATCACGGACTCTAACCGCCGCGTTGCCGGGTTCGGACTCGAGATGGCGAGCGCCGTACAAACTGTCAAAAGTTCCACGGCGCGGTCGCTCAGCTCGTTGAGCGGTTGAATGCTGTCGGTGGTCGTCAAGTTCAGGGACGGGGGCATCGTAGCCTCCCGCGTCGGGGAACGTTTCCTCGTGCTCAGACATGGTGAAGAATCTGGTTTATCGAAGGGACAAGAGCGGTCTGAATCGAATCGAAACTAAACTAACACCGCGCAACTCGGACGAAGCCTGCTGGCAACTCTAAGGGTTCTTGGACATAGTTTGACAATGGTTTCTCTGACGCTTTAAGCCTGGGACAGGCTGTCAAGGGCCCTCTCGGCGCGGCAGAGGCGCGCCGAGTAGTTGGTTTGGAACAAAACGAAGACCCCTGGGTCTGTAGATGGTATTTCCCCCGTCTTTTGTAGCTGATGGAGCTACGGTAAAAGGTGAAGGGAAAATGCGGATTGGCGAGCGAACAACTATCAGAAGGCCAACTTATGGGGGTTCTTTGTTGACTCCGCTATAGACCCAGCAGCCGGGTCCAAGGAGCGAGGGGAAGATAACGACCGGGGAGGCGAGTTGAGCCAACTTGAAGGTTTTTCGGGGTCAAGTCTGCGATGCGCAGAAGCGAGGCTTTTCGGGGACCCTACGGAGGGTTTATGGGCTGCACAGCGACTATGCGAGGCCTATCAAGCTATCGAATAGATGGCGGGAAATGGTCCTTTCTTTGAAGGATTGGTGGTGGTTGAGTAAAAAGGAGATTCTCCGAGTCTCGTCTCTTTTCGTTTGCGGCGAAGGGAAAAGGGCTGATGTGTGCGCCGCAAGGAGAAACGACGGGGTTTATACGCTATCACCTTAGCGAAAAAAAGGACTTGACTTGTTGGAAAGGCCCGAGAAGACGCGTCAAGGGCTGATTAAATTAGGGAGACAAAAGGCATCAAAAAATGGTGCCTTTGGCTGATGATAAAAAAGAAGAAGAAAAAGGGTTTGTAAAGAGAACAAGGCCAAACAGCAAGGAACCCGTTATTAGCCTTTTGGGCGAGGAGACGAAATTTTCCCTTTTAGCGGTGCCCGCCGCCACGAAAACCAGCTGGTGGTCGCTAAGCTGGTTTGGCCAGACCGAAGAGCGCTGCGTTTTGGGGGGCCAAAAAAAAAACTTGGTGCTGAGGGGGAGAAATTTTTACTGTACGAAACTCGGAGGACAAAGGTTCCGTGGTACTGGCTTGGGGCACTAGGGGAACGGACTTGGACTTGGACCATGTTAAGGTTCTTACTTGTATTGTATGATTCAATTATCCGGACAAGAGTATATTCTAGCTCGTCGCTCTCCCCTTGCCAGTACCTGCTACCGGCCCTCAACGGTTTTCCCAGCGAGCCACCCCTGTAGCTTGTCGCCCAAGTCCGCGATCACGGCACGTTTCGGCCTGCCAATGGGGAGAAGCAGGGCAGTTTGGGGGGCATATGCAGGTGCAGGGCGGGATTAAATCGGTTTACGATGTTCTGATCGTCAAAGATTTATGTAACTTGTCGAGTAAACTCGATGACAGGTCCAATAGGGCTGGTGATACACACAATCTTTAGCTTGCGAGACAAGCATGTGAAAGTCCAGAACGCTTCTGTTCGGGCAACGGCACGGATCCTTAGTATGTATTGCTGTGTAATTGCCTCTCATCAGAGCTCCCTCCCCGGATGGAGTTTGCCGTGCAAGTAAAATAGCTCTCAGAAATGCTCAATGGACAGATACATACTATCCCGGAGAATGATCGCCTCCATCACTTGCAGATAGCATTTGGTGCTACAGACATACGTCAAAGTACCCTGATTGCCACCGCAAGCACTGTGCCGCTGCCAAGGTTCTGCATCATCTCCGCTCTCGCTTGCTGGACGCATCCCTGCTTGGAAATGATGGATACGGAGCAGCCCATCTCTCGGAAGATTTGATGGACTGACCGAAAAAATCTCCTTAATATGTGCCCGAGTCAATTGCATCACAGCCGCAGAAGCTGTACTCACCTGTAGCTTCGGCACGAGCATTTCATTGTTCTACCTACATAGCTCTAGACTAGATCCCACGATTCAGAGTCGACACTCAAAACTTATGAGACAGGAATAGCATCTACGGATAATACGATGACTCAGTATTACATACTACATGTCACAAATACCAATACATGACACCCGCGTATATCGCTTAGGGAAAAAAAAAAGAAAAGGGAGAAAAAAGCTCATCAGGACGCATCATCATGTCTTCCTTCAGGCCCCAAAATCCAAATGCAGTTCCAGGTTAGGTCCCCAGCAGTGACATGAGCTCGCACCGCCACATTTCCCCAGGCTGAGGCCCCACCATCTTCCCAGTCCGGAGATTTGCGCCACATGCATCACCTCTAAAGACGTGTCTACTATTACGGGCATTCAATGCTCGGCAGACATCGCTACTGCTTCGATTCCGCGCTCGCCCGTCAATCTCTCTACGAAACCGCCCCCAACACACGATCCTACACGAGGAAAAGCGGGTTAATTAAAGGCCGTCGAAGAAGAGGCGCCACGCAACATGGCGGAGGAGATCCTGGACAAAGTTCGGGATGTGGTGGAGGGCCAAATTGTCAGGACACCAGCATCCCATCTACCGAAGCGAACATCGGCTGACTGATTCTTTTTACTATGATAGGACTTTGAGGGCCAGCGACGAGCAGAAGGCCTTGCCACTCTGTTCCTTGCCCTGACAGGAGTATGAATGACCCCCTCCAGCCTCGAATTGATTACAATGCTTACAATTTCCAAGCTCATCGCATTCAACGTCGGATACGTACTACAAGACATCGTCAAATGCCTATACGTTGGACTGGGAGGAACTGTCTTGACATTTCTCATTATCATTCCGCCGTGGCCCTTCTATAACAAGAACCCGGTCAAGTGGCTGCCTATCGGATCTGCGTTTAACACGGGCGGGACATGACGACTGGATAACGCCGCTCTGAGCAGGCCCCGGCGTTTTGTCACGTTGTCAAAATCAGCATGTAGCTTAAATCTTTCCGAAATCATGTGCCACATTTCCTCCTCTCCATGTCGTGATATCGTTCCTTGCTTTTTGCTTCCCGTTCCACGTGCTCCGTTTATCGACCGTACTTTTGGAACTCCCAGTCTCTGTTGTCTAGAGGGCAGACTGATCGGGCCTTTAGCCATCGTGAAATGCAGTGGAAGTGGAAAGCATGCTAGTAAAATCGTCAGTCACCTGTTGCTATCGACGACGGCTGTTTCATGTGTGGGATGGACGCCTTACGTTGCAAATTCCCCATGCGACGGTGCACTCCTCGCTCGTAGCGGATGCCTGGTTCGCCTGACATTCTATGCCTGATGGGCGTAAGTAAAATTCCACCTATAGGGCGGGGAGAAAGGCTCACAAAGATCCATGATATGGTTTCGGCAGATGGCGCAGTTGTCGACTACGATATCCCACGCCCACAGGGCGACAGCGTTCCACTGCTCCAGTCAGTGCTGCTCAGTCCCGCACTATATCGAGACGTCTCCCCAACATACCTTCTTGACTTCAAACTTCTTCTTGTCGGAGCCTTTGCTGACGACACCGTCGGCCTTTTTGGCGGCCACCGGGGCATCGCTCATTTCGACGTCAGCCATGTTCGGATAGCTCGTGACTTCTCAGGAAAGCTTTAATAGTGACGATGGTTCCGTGATGCAGCAGTACCGCGATATGGATGTAGGTGTATGAGGATGTGTAAACGAGGGGAGTAGTCGAGCTCTTGGGACTCGATGGATAGATGGATGACCTGTGCGGCTCTGGTTAGCTATCAAGGTCCGTCGTAGCCTAATGTTAGTCCTGCAGTTACTCGCCTTCAAGCAACGCTGCAAGAAATGCTGCTGATTAAGCCTTGTCACCGGATGCAGCAGCCCTTGGATCAACCGGAACTGCGAGCTAAGAAATGGGGTCTGAGACAAATCCTGCAGAGATAAAGAAGAAGAAAAAAAGCTGAATCAACACCAAAATCCTGCTGCTGCTGCTGGGCTTTTTGCAGATGTTGTAATCGTGCAATTGCTGTACGGGACTCGAGTTACTGAGGTAAGGCAAATCGCAGCGAGGGGCACGCTTTGATAGCGGGCCGTGTACCAGTTGCAGGCGTAATGGATTCGCAGTTACTGCTGTCACTAGCAGCCGAGTGCCCTGCGGGTTGCGAGGATGTACAGTCAGCGCTGTCAGCGTGCGTGAGGAGACCTCTGGGTTACTTTGCGGCTCTGGATACTAGGTACTTCTCTCCGCCGTTGCTGAGCCAGCCAATGACGACAAAGGCAGCCTAAGCAAGTAAACACCAAGGCGTAATACAACAAAGACGTCAAACCAACTTTGGGGTGCCAGAAACTCTAATTCACTGAGGGTATTTACTTCGTAGATTAAGAAGATATACTCATAAGAAGAAGTATAAGGACAGATATTGGAGCTTCTGTATTGATTTATTCTTTGTGTCCTTTATCTCTTTACTTTCTCATCAAGAACTCATACAAAGCGCACCACTTTAACAAAGCCAGCCCTCTGCAAGCGCTGCATGTAGGTACTTCGGCGGCTGCCGACCGGAACAAAACGGAGGGTTCGTCTTAGTAGCAGTACCGGTGCGCCCACGCAAAATTGGCCATGGCTCCAGTAGCGGTACCTCTAGCTCCCCATTTCCAGCTGACAACGCATGCATGCCCAAGTCTTAGTGCCATGAAGGTAAGGAACCACCGGGGCTGAAGTCTTCCGCAACTATCATCTCCATTCCAGAGCAAACGCATCATGAGCACTGCCCAAAGCATTTAGTTTTAACCATCTTCCTCCCCCTCCCGGCCGTTCCACCTCGCATCCTCGCATTCATCACCGAATAGACGAGATCCCCTGGCACTTCACGTGATTGTCTGCCAACCGAACCGAAGCCTGTGGGCAGTGTTTTCACTTGTCTCCCAGCAACAGACGACGACGGTCCTTTGTACTCGGCCTCGAGCAAACGAAAGAATCATCCGATCGACACACAACTTCAGATCCAATGGACGCCCACGCATCACCGAACAAGCCCACGACAAATCGTCGCAGGCATCCTAGAGGCAAGCCTGCCCCTCTCAAAGCCTATGCGTCAGAGAACGACGCCGCTAGCTACGGAGCCTCTCCCCATCACCACCACAAGACGCCTCAAACTCCAAAAAAGATACTCTCTGCTTCCCCTGCACTAGCGGAAAACTATAATGCGCAGGCTGGCGGCAAGCAACGAAACCGTAGCAACAAACCCAAGGGCAAGGTCGACGCTGCCTCTCCCAACTATCACCTGAGCAACAACCAGTCGCCTCCTAGAACGTCGCCGACCTCGAAGCCTGGTGTCAGCGCAGCGTTTGCTGGTGCGACCTTTCATGCCTCGCCTGCTCCAGCCGACCTCCCCATTCCGAGCTTTCTAAAGTCCAACAGCGAGTCCCCGATGGTGCGAAAGAACAGGGGCGTCGTCCCGCAACCGTCCCCTCCGGCTACCGATTCAGAGGCACCCACGCCGTATCGACCCGCCTCTGCCTCTCAGCATCGCGAATCTCCTCTCGACTTCATGTTCCGAGCCCACAGAGAAGAAAAGGCCCGGCAGCAGTCTGATAACACTGCTGGCCCGGCCGCGTTGCTGGCCGGCGTCATGTCTCCACCACACCACACGGACACACCCCTCTCCCCGTCCTCGTCCAACCTGGCACAGAACCGCCGTGCATACAGCCGACAGTCCTCTGGAGGCGTTGAGATCTTTGAACTGGATGGTACCGGAAGCCAACAGCTCGGCCCACCATTTTCAGCTCCCTACCAGGATCGGATCAAGGCTGCTCGCAGTTTCGCCTCAGGCCCCCCGACTGCCCACACGACTCCCCAGCACACTCCAAGCGCCAACAGCAGCACGACGGCTGAGGATCCCACTGCAGCTCTCAAGAGGTTCCTCTTCTCCCCTCAGCCGTCCACAACATCAACCCCATCCGCTGCCAACCTGCCCCCACGCAACCCCGAATACTTTCCTAACAGCCAAGTGGACAGCTCGGGTTATGATAGCGCAGGCAGCATCCAGGCCATGGAGAACGATCTTCGACGGATTTTAAAGTTAGATATGGTTTCTGAGGGTCCGCCAGCCGAGCGGAGACTTTTTACTCGTTAATTGCGATTGACTTTTTCCCAATTTTTTTTTTGCCTTGCATTTTCAACAAATATCGCTTCTTTATTTCCCATCTCGGGTGATATATCATCGCTGCGGCTCACTGGGAAACGGTACCAACCAAGTCCTTTCCCTCCTTTTCTTTGCTATGTCTTTTGCATCATCCTAGAACGGGATACAGTACGGCTGCCTACGTACGGCTTTCGGGAGCACACCAAGGGTTGGTGTGTCTGTGTGTGGTTTGACTCTATGCAAGCTTTCGTTTTCTTTCTTTTGTTTCTTTTCAAACGGCCAAGGAGAAACTTGTATCGAAGATGCTTTGGGCGCAAACAGGAGGGTGGATTTGCATATCAACTATGGTTTTTAAACTTTTTCTGTTCTATTTTTACACGGTACTTGGGAGGAATTTGACTCTGGATGTTACAAGAACATGTAACCTTGCATCAGGACGAAGATTTTTTTTCTGCTTTGGGGCTTGACTATGTTCTGGTTTTCATGATACCCCAGGAGTCATGGGCGGAATGCTGGCAGGCTACCAGACGAAATCTTTTAGCACAGGCAGCGATTCTGACGCTTTCTTGTGCTGTTTGCTTTTTTTTCATCTTTTTTCTTTTCCCCTCGTTTGTTGTTTATTGCCTTGCTTTCAAGTCCTTTTTTTCCCTTTTCTTTTGTTCACATTGGCATTGGGAGGATTTTGACGGAATGGGTATACCGGGCTGGGGCGGAGTTGTTTATGACAATCCCCCCTTTTTGTCGTCTGCTTTGCACGTTTCAGCTGCTCTTTTCTCGATCTTATCTTGTTCATTACTTTCATTAACTTGGTCTTTTATTTGTCTCTCCTTTTACTTCTTAGTTTGTCCTTAGCGGATGATGTTTTGATATGATCATCTGTATGCTTAGGCTCAGCATTCATTTTACGTACATCACTCGTTTTATCTCAATGTCTTTTTGCATGAGTGGCGTGGCATGGCGTAGATAGCATTGTGATTCAAGCTTTGCATTTCCAAATGCGATGCTTTGTTGCATGAAGTTTCACTTTGCATTGCGATAAACTTGCGAGATGGGCATTTTCTTCCATCCTACTGAGCGTTTATTTTTGCATGTGTAGTTATTTTTGCATGTGTAGAGCAGAGAGACTATGGAATTTCCCAATGTTATTTCATATCTACAGGGCGGATTTACTTTCTAGACGGCCTTTTGCTTTCTCCTCTTCTTTTCTTCGCGCGAGAAGAGTTTTCCGTGGGAGACTAGGAGGTACTTTACGAAGAAGTTTTGGGCGAAGTCGTCGAACTTTTGGTATGTTGCGCCGAGGCGGTAGGCGGCTGCTATGCCGCTGATGCAGGCGACTTCGTGCATGTTCTGTTGTTGTTTAATATGTGTTAGCAATATTTTTCATCTTTTACTTGGAGGTGCTGTGTAGTGGGATACGTGGCGATGTGATGATACGTGGTAGTAGAAAAGGGGGAAGAAAAGGGCGAGAGAGTGTTGTTAGTAGAAAGCAAGGACAAAGCATACCACTAGAGTCCATGATCCGGCAAAATAAGTGTTGTTGTGTCCCTGGAGGGACATCATGCCCGGCACGACGCGGACGTAATGCTGCCAGCGATGGCCGAGCTGATGCCACCAGTTGAGCTTGATGATTTTGGCCTCGTCTATGCCGTCGATTGTCCAAAGATCACTCTTTCTTTTATCGAGGAAGATGGTCTGGTAGACTGGCTCTGGAGGCGTTTCAAGCGAGGAAGATGCTTGATTGTGTTTGAATTGGTGTTGGTAGTTGCTGCAGTTGAAAGACATTTCAATGAGTCGTGGGTTTTGCTGGTACGTGTACGTGTAATACATGGGATCGAAAGATTGATGCTTCGAACCGGACCCAGAACCCGAGGCATAACCAAGAGTAGGAGAATCTCCCTTGGCAGACGAGATTTGGTGGCATTGGGCTTCTGACTTGGGCTCTCCGCACAGCTCAGGCTTGAAGCGAGTTTCGTACTGCTTCGTAAAGTAATCAGAGTCGTGATGCGTGACGGTGAGGTCGTCGTAGAAAGATGCGCCGCCGAGGACTAGTTTCTCGCGCCAGGTTGCTGATCTGCCTAGGATGCGGAGGGAGTCGTCGGCGAGGACGCATAGGACGAGGTGGTCGAAGTGTTCTGTTGTGATGTTGTCGGTGCTGTTGTCCTTGATGACGAGATCGACTCCTTTTTTAGATCGTGATGGGATGCTTTGGACTTCAGTGTCGGTTCTGATTGAGACGCCCTTTGCTACCAGGTCATTCTTCCATGTCTCGTAAAAGTTGTGTAAACAGTCAAACGAGTACATGGTGGGCTGATTCGGCAGCAGAGTATCAGCATCGTAATCCCAGAGCTTCATGTTCGGATCGTTAAACAGCCGCTCAACAATAGCAGCGGGAACATTTGCCGTCTGATTCCCCGTTCCGAGAAACAGGGCAATGAGCGGATAAACCATCTTATCACCAAAGTCCTTGCTGAAGAAGAAGAGGCGAAGCATGATGGAGATGGGCAACAGGCCGAGGACAGGCATGGTCCATTTGACGACCTTGAGGAAGACGCCGAACCGCTTGATGTCAGAGGAATGCTGGGCGACGAGTTTGCTGGGGAAGCAGTTTGTCCAGAAGCCGCATTGGCCTTTGCCGAAGGAGACTTGGAGCTGGAGAGGTTGGGCTGGGAAGCCGTATTGGTTGAAGAAGTTGAAGGTGTGCTTGAAGATCTGGGAGAGATGGGTTTGTTAGTCTACTGGTAGCACTCAATGAGGCAAATTGTGTGATAAAGAATGATATAAATGAGTGTAAAAGGGATGAGCCAACCTGAGATCCTCCTTGAACTCCATTGTTCATCCATGATGCACCGAATCTTTTCTCGTCGAGGGGGATGGACGTTGCTTGGCCTCCTACAACGCTATTCTTTTCGAGAAGCGTTACTTTGAAGTCTTTGGGGTGATTGGCTAGAGTTGCAGCACAAGACTATAGAAGTAGATGTAAGTTAGTTATCATATATAAAAACTTATGCGAGGGAAATGAATATGTGAGTTTGGCTGTTGTACCATGCCTGCAGCTCCGCCTCCAACAATGACAATGTGGCGCGGTGTCTTGGTTTGGTTGCGAGAAGACATTTTCACCGTATGTAAGTAAGATAATGATATATTAATAGTTATTCTGAGAGCGTATTATAATTAAATGTTATAATGAAAATGTTAAAATTACGGACAGTAAAGGGGTTTTGTTTTATATGATTTGAGACGAGGCTTCGTGGACGTCATTGTCCGATGCGCGTGTCGTCCAAGGCGCCGCCATGATCGGAAACCTTGTCAAGCAAGGGAGGGGGAAAATGCATGACGACTGTATCTAACCACTGATTGATTCTGCCTCAATAGTCTAGTAGTAAAACAATTATATGTGTAAACAATTTCAAAGTAAGGGGTTTTTAATGCTATATTTTTTCCTGCTCACATGCTGATCACAAGTGCGTGCATCTGCGTGTATATGTGCGTGTTAGTCTACGTTCACATGCACCAAAACCCTCGAATAACCAACTACAAGCCCCAACACAAATACACTCATAGAGCAGCAACACTAATGATTCATCCATCGCTGTAAATTCAATGCTTCACAATGCACAAATTCATTTCATCCGCTCCAATTGAAGCCTCTTAAATAGCTCTTTTCGCCCTGCATTCAAAATACACAGCAATCCATCAAAGAAACACCCCCCCACGTGACAGCGCGCCTGCCTGATTCACGCAACAGGAAAGACAGGGATCACGCCGTGACTGACGCAAACGATCACGACCAAAATCACGTTAACAAATGCGGTGAAATTTTTTTGGCCCCCAAGTTGGATCAATAAGCTTGGTTCAACGACATTCCGGGTGCGACATATTGTGCTCTCTTCTTGTAATCCGACCGCATTGAGACATGGCGAAGCCGGATGGCCGCGTGCCTGAGCTGGCGGACGATGCCGACGACGACGAGGCTCTGCGATACGCGATAGCGCTGTCGTTGCAGGATGAGGCTGATTCACCGGTGGTGATTGTCGATTCGGATGATGACGATGATGAGACAAAGGCGGGTTCTTCGAGGTCAACCCAGCAGATGTGGTCGCAGACACAGACACAAACACAATCATCACAGTCTCAGACGACGCAGGCATCACAGTCACAGCATCAGTCCCAGTTCGGCAGCCTCCTTCTTGACCGCAAGGCCATGGAGCAAGAACGTCTCAAACGTCTTGCCAAACGCCAACGTTCACCCACCGATGACGGGAACGACGACGACGATGTGGTCGAGGTCCCTCCGCCCAAGAAGCAAGCCAGAACAGCTCCGGAGCCCATGAGCAAAACCACCAGCAAAGCAAGACCAACAACAACAGCAGCGTCAGCTCCAACAAGCAACATCACAAGCAGCAGCACCACCAGAAGCAACTTACCGTACCCAAACGGCACCGTCAAACGGACATGGTCTCGCGGCTGCCCACGAACAGGCGACGAAATCACCATTGAGGAAGTCTTTCAAAAAGACCAGCTGGAGCTCGCCGTGCTGTCGTCTTTCCAGTGGGACGAAGAGTGGATGATTTCCAAGCTCGACATCAGGAGGACCAAGATACTGCTACTAGCATTCGCCAAGGACGAAGCTCAGGTACCCTTCCTTTCCCGCCCCTGACGTTCCCTCTCCCTCTCCTATCTCCGCTCTCCGCTCTCCGGGCATCAAACCTTCTGCGGCCGTCAAGTTGCTGACAGGTAACCTCGTATAGAAGAACCTTATGCGTGGTAACATCCCCTCCAACATCAAGTTCTGCTTCCCGCCGATGCATGGCCCTGGAGCGATGCACTCAAAACTACAGCTGCTCAAGTTTGCGGACCGCCTCCGTGTCGTCATCCCAACGGGCAACCTTGTGCCGTATGACTGGGGAGAGACCGGGGTCATGGAAAACGTCGGTATTCCCCTCTCCCTCCCCGGCCACTCTGATATCATATTATTATTCCTCAGCCTTTTTGGCTTTTTTGTCTTTCTCCATACTAACCAGGAGCATTCTCGTTCTTGTCTACGTGCAGATGGTATTTCTAATTGATCTCCCAAGACTGGAGGACCCCGCCGTCCATCCGCCGCAGACGCCGACTGGATTCTATACCGAGCTAGTATACTTCCTTCAGGCAACGGGCGTCGGCGAAAAGATGGTTGCCAGCCTATCAAACTACGACTTTTCCAAGACGTCAGATATCGCTTTCGTCCATACCATGTGCGTGCTTTCCAGGGATGTACCCGAGAGGGGCAGGGGGACGAGAAACAAGACAAATTGCCCCTCCTTTTGACCGACGTTGTATTACTGACCGGAATCAAACCTCATCTTTTAGACCCGGAAGCCACACGGGAAGAGCAGCAGAACGCACAGGTTGGTCTTGACAAAACCCGAGGTGTTATGAGTCGAGTGGGAACTTGCCATCGCTGACTGTTGCCTGCAACAGGATATTGTGGCCTCGGTGCTAGTGTAGCGGCCCTCGGCTTAGCCAATCCCGAACCTGTCGAAATCGACCTTGTGGCACGTTTTCCTACAATATCCACTGGGATGGGATGGAGTTGCTAATGGTAAGGCCTAGTGTGCGTCGTTGGGATCGATCAACCGCGGGTTGGTAGAGGCGATATACAATGCCTGTCGAGGTAAAACGGCTCAGCATGACGGATTCCCACCTGCTTACTCCCCTTGACCAACATGTCTTTAGGTGATGACGGCATCGACGATTACAACAACTCCGGGGGCGCTAGCTCAAGGTCAAGAACGGCCAGAAAACCGGCAGCGACGACGACGTCCAAGGAGCTCAAAGACCGGTTCCGCATCTACTTCCCTACGGACCAGACAGTAGCCCGAAGCAGAGGCGGACGCAATGTGAGTTATCATGGGCCTCCCGAGGTCATTATGCTTGATCAGCAAGCGTTATTTCTGGCCCCGGCTTACGACAGTTCACAACTGATAATTGACAATGACAGGCGGGAGGCACAATCTGCGTCCAGGCCAGGTGGTGGCGGTCGCCTAATTTTCCAAGAGAGCTGGTGCGGGATGTCATCACTCGTGACCGGCTCCTCATCCACAGTAAAGTGATATTCGTGCGTCGGGTCGGAGATGGCCAAGCGACGCGGCAACCGCCAGGCTGGGCCTATGTAGGGAGCGCAAATCTTTCCGAGAGCGCCTGGTGAGTCTTGAGAGTTTTCTACCACACACCCGGTTCCCTTTCCCTTGTTTGTGCTTGCTGATGGGCACTTGGTGACTTAGAAGCTGACTGTGCCCGCCGCCGCCGTTGTGACGGCCGCTGGGGGTGGTTTTCTTAGGGGCCGGCTATCCAGAGACAAGTCTACGGGAGGCATCAAGATGAATTGTCGCAACTGGGAGTGCGGAGTGATCATCCCGGTACCTGAGTCAAAGGCAAAGACTGTTGACAAGATACGGGCTAGCGCCGACATGGCCATGTTTGCGGGGACGGTTCCTGTTCCAATGCAAGTTCCCGGGCCTGCGTACGCATCAAATGACCAGCCCTGGCTTTATCCAGGAGCCTGAATTGTGTTTGATTGAGCGATTTGAGCGATTTGAGGGTCATGCGTAGCTCTTTTTTTCTGGAGCCCTTGCAAAAACCAGGGGTCCCTGAAAGCAGGTCCGCTATGCTTACAGATTTCGACAACGGCACGAAGAAAGATGACTTTTGATAGATGTGTGTAAGATCCCTGGGAAAACCCAAAAAACATGTGGTCAGAAGCGCAGAACATGCTTGCTTGCAGATAGCGTGCGGCCTGCATGAGTGGGGTAGGAAACAAAACCTTGTGGAGATATTTTCCGCTGATAGGCTGGCCCAGATGTGACCAGGGCGCAGTGATCTGAAGAATGATACGATGGCAAGGATGCTGGAAATATGGAGCAGCACTCCACCGCGGCAAGGCAAGGCGCAAGGCGCAAGGCTCAACGGTTCGTTTCTTTGGTCTGGACGGAGAGAGTTTGCTGTTGGAGGATGGATCGATGGATCCCCCCCGGCCTGCGAGACGAGAGACGGAGCAATGGCCCACCGCGTTCGTTCCCATGTGGGTTGCGATGGGATGTGTGAGCCGGGATCATGTTTATGAGCGCTATAGGCGTCAACGAGAGCGGCTTTTTTTCTCAACAGCCAGACCGGCCCGGTTCCCAAGGTCATCATCGCAGAGCAATAAGGAGTTACACCCATGAATGGGCTTGACCAGAATCACAAGGAAATTTACCTGGGTGTGCGCTCCTCGGCCGGCGATGTGGCTTGCGCCCAGAAAAACAAGCCGGGCTAATTCATGACAACGAACGGGCTGAGTTGAGCAGAGGAAATCGAAGGCGAAAAAGCCATGTGTTTGTATGTAGCTAGCTATGGCTTGGGAAATACTTGGCACCTCTTTGGACAACAGCACTTTTCCCCTCTAATTCGATGGCGTATATGGAACCAATCATGTACGGGATCACAAGAGAAACAGCTTGTTTGTGGCCAGTAGTCGACTGCAAGCAGAATGTTTCGTTTCGTGCTAAATGGTTTTTCTGGTCCAACCACCTTGAAATGCTCTGCGAACTACTTCCTTGGCTTGGGTAGCTGCTTGGCTTTGCTAAATCCAGCACAAGTTCTCTAAGAAGGACAAGAAATGAATAGATCAGAATTCAGGTTCCTCGCTTGGAGAGGCCGACGAAACTACGCGCAGCTAGCTAGTGTGGGTGCATATAGGTAGGTCAAGGTAGTGTGTATGTTCGTTTCGTTTCAATGGCATTGGCAAAGGAATTAATTCTGACTGAACCCGATTTGGCGGTGCCTTGCGAAAAAAATGACTGATAGGAAAAAAAAATCCCAGGTTGCGGAGATGACGGCCTTTGAAGGAAATACATAAAATACAAATTAGAATACTTGCTTGTCATAGACAAGTAGTGCCGGTGCCGGTGAGATAGATCGATTATGATAGAAGTGTCCCCCCCAAAAAAAAAAATTATCTGTAACGTCAGCATGGGCAGATGAGGAGGAGGGGAAGAACTAGCCATGCTTAAGTCATCGCGAACTACCTTAGGTTAGTAGTTTTTTTTTTGGTGGTTTGACGAGAACTAGAAAGCCAGTTCGCCGGTTTTCATTTGTCCTGCGTGAAATCGGGGCTTTTTGATGGAGGGTGGGAGAGGGGGAGGGGAATTGCCAAGGGGTCTTTGCTATTTTTCTGGCTGCTTGGTGCTTTTGGGTTGCTCTTGATGGAGGGGTGTGTGCGTTGAGTGCATGTGGTGATATGAAGTGTGTGTGTGTGTGTGTTGAAGAAAAGAGATGAGTGTGTGTGTGAGTGCTGCATCTTGGTGTTCGTTTCGCTTGCACTTTGCAGCTATCGAATGCATCAGGGAGCCGTGGAAGCCGTGTTGGTGCCTTTTTTTTTTTTTTTTTTTTTTTTTTTTTTTTTGTTTTTCTCTTTTGAAGGACCTTGATGGTATTGGCGCTGCATGTGTCTGCTTCAGGCTCAGGCGGAACTAGTTTGATCTATGATGACGAGAGGATTCTCTCAGAATTGGCGTAGTAAAACAAAAACAGTGAACTATTGTTTTGGGCGTTTTGTTGATGGTGGTGTTGGTGTTCATCAAGCAACAACATGAGAAAAAAAATCTCCCCGAAGTTGGCCGTGATAACCAATTAGTCTTGCCGTCATATTCTTCCATTTTTATCTCTTCCTGCTCCATTCCCAACGTCACTTACACGATGAAAAGAGCAGTCAGTGGCTGTGCAAAGCAAAAGCCGTACAGTAAGACGTGTCTGGACTTCTGGTGATGAGATGAGGAGGAGATGAGGATATCAGTTGCGGCTTGCACGAGTGATCATCGGATGGCGCCGGTGGTGAAACAGGGGGAGTCAAGATGACGAAAAAACGACGAGTAACAAAAAAGACAAAAAGACGGTATTAGTTTGCATTGGTACCCCGTATCGTGACTTTTGTTCCAGTCCAGTCCCAGCGTGCTTTGGGGGGAGAGACGGCTCAAGTTAGTAGGTAGTTTTGCAGCTGTTGTTGGCCGAGAGCAAGGACGATAGATAGTAGTACATAGATAGGGCACACAGCGGCCTGAATCTGGATAGGATGGATAGCGATGGCACAGGCAACAGACGAGGCGAGACGAAGTCAATGGAGGAGGAAACGAGGCTACTAGAGGCTAGACAAGTTGCAGTTGGAATGACGAGCCGTTGGCTGCAGTGGTTCTTGGTTGCTTGGCCCAGGTTCCAGTTCGCCCAGTGGCTCCTCCTTCTCAGTGGTTCTCAGTGGTTCGCCGGCCGGGCTTTTTGGGCTCATGCAGGCACTCCGATTGGCTCATGGCCCGTGCGTGAGAGAGGGGGCTTGAGGGGGAGCTTCTGGGGAGGCGCTTTTTGCGGCGCTGTGCTGGGCAAGCTGCGGTCGCTTTCGGGACGTATCCCCGACCCAGCCGTGTTAGTGGGTGTATAGAGTTTGCCAGCCCTGCGATAACTGCGGCTCCGTCCAGATACTTATCTCTGAGGGCGGTGGAGCCTTTGAGGAGCAACCCTGGCGATCCAATTTTCTGCTAGCGCGTGCGATCTGGTTTCCACCATCCGAAATCTAGCCCCGGTTCGGATGGGTCGTGGGTGAGTGGTTGATTGAGCCAGATTGGCCGGTCGCGAGCAGGTACGAGAGCAGTACAGCTGAAGATGTTCAGTTGTGCCGTGTTTTGCTACAAGTTGCTCCAGGTTAGCCCGAGTACTTCTCCGTACGAGTACTAGCACCGCTCGAGTTCCCCTCGAATGGCTGCACTGGCTGTTGGGTGACTGTTGGTTCTACTGCTTGCTTCCCTGCCTGAGGCGCCCGCTTGGCCCCATGGAGCCCTGGAGAGCTGAGCGATATACGACAGACAGTGTGGCCAGGCACGAGTACCGGCGCTGTACTTGGCCGTGACGTGACAGTCTGCACATACTGGCACATACATGGCCTGACCTGACATACCTAGCAGGTAGACGTGGGTGTGCTAAGCGAGCAGCAAGCAACGCTGCCACGCGGCCAGACCAGCATGTGATGAAGACACAATATGATAAGTGAGATTCTTGGCGGATTGGCGATGCAGGTACGCTGCATTTTGACAATGACAGTGGCAATGTCAATGTCATTTGCCGCTTTCTTTCCCACAGCGCTTGCTCGTCTCGTGGCCTGGCCTGGCATCTTGCAATTTATTTTGTCTTCTTCTTTTTTTTCCAACCTTCTTTTTTTTGACTCGCACCCGGCAAAGGGAGAAGAAGAAGAAGAAGCGCATGGTGCTCGCCTCGTGTCGGCCACTTCCGCGAGCCGGGTGGCCGCCAGACAAACTCTGAACCACAAGCTTTTGCGTGTTCCTGAATTCTAAAAAGACAAGCAACAATGGTGTCCCACACGCACAAGTTACACATCATATTCTCGTTGCAGAGCATTAGGAAATAGATACGCATTCTTGTGTGTGCGCGCGGGCAGAGAGAGGCAGAGAGAGATGGAAAGCGAAGGCACAGTAGACAGAGCCAGCCTCTGCCAAGGGAGCCGGACAAGCAGACCGGTCTCATTCGTAGGGTGGCGGACTTGGGCGCAACGAACCACTGGGGCAGCCCTTTGGATCGACGGAAAATTCGGCGAGCGAAGGAAGCTGGCTGAAGATTTGATCCTCATTGGACGTTATTGCCGACCCAGACCAGATACATTGCGTGCTGCCAGATTGGCCGGAAAGATGCACGACTCACTCTGACGGGGTCAAAGAAGCGGAGAGCGGGGGCTTCTCTTCTCCTCCAAGCCATAAGAGCGAGCGAGTGAGCGACAGCCAACCAGCCCAGCCCAGCCCAGCCCAGCCCAGCCATCCAGCGAGCTTTGCCGGGCCTCTCGCACCCTCTTGCTCCCCTCAGGGTGTGTATCCACGCTAAGAGGCTTATTCCAGCCCTATCCAACTCCTAGCGCTATTGGGGGGCGTTTGCTTAGCAGCTTGGGTGATGTTTGGATGTTTTTTTGGTTGGAGCATGGTGGCGAACGGCCGTGGGGCGGCGAACTTGGATCGCCAAACCACGGAGCAGGGTGAGCTCTAGTTTGCTAGTGTGCTCAAGCAATGTTAGTCACGGCATGGCCGCTGCGAAACGAGAGAAAGAGCCCGGAGCCATTTTTGCAAAAATCCGGAGAAGGGCAGGGCAGGGAGATGAAATCCTGGGAACGGCGTCATCAGCGGCCAGGGGGGAGAGAGCGAGAGCCAGCGGTAGGGCGATGAGTTTGATGTGATCTTGGCTTCCTTGGCTTCGCGATTTGACAGGGGAATACGAGGATGAGTAAGGCATGCAGGTATACTTGCGGGTAGGTACGCGGTCATATCTCCGATCAAGAGCCGCAACAGTTGTTAGTCATAGGCAGAGCGAGGCGCAGAGCACGCCGTGGCGGGCAGAAGAAAAAAAGGAACTTGCAAGCCGTACGAGTACGAGTATACGCGCATACAAAGCCATATCGTCAATATCTCTTTTACACGGGCCCTTGTGCGCATCATTGGGGCCCGTGTGTTCAAAACTTCCTCATTCCCTGGCTTTCTTGTCCCGCCTTGCTACGATAAGCGATAAACAAGGCGGGCATGGGTCGATCAACTGTAAACCGGGTTACCGTTACCGGGCTATTAATACACTCAAGCCAATGTTTCGAAAGCTCTTTTGTTGAGGCTCAATGAGGGGTCTTTTTGGAGGGGGCTTTGAATCGAGGCCCACGATCGTCGATTGCTCGATCGTAAGGCCAGGGCCAGCCTCAAGCCATGACGATATTATACGGGACGACACGACTCAAAGCAACAAGGCGGAGAGCGCCGACATCAGCAACCCACGCATGTCCAGTCCCCTTGCTTTCTGGTGAATGAACACGAAGAGACTAGTCGTATACAGTAGAGAGGTGTGATAGAGGGCAATAAGCTGCATATTCGAAGCGTCCGCCGTGTGTGGTATCAAGGGCTCAATTTCTCTCACAAAACGAAAATGAAAACCACCAGCATCGCAGTAGTAGCACGACCCGTTACCGATTCGAGGCGATAAAAAACACGCCATAAGGCTTGGTGAGGTGCGCACTAAGACGGTACTGCATACACTCGTAGTCACAATTTCGAGTACATGCTTGCTTTGCTGCCTTGCTAAAACAAAGTACAGTGCAGTAGTGCCATCATTTTGCTCATAACCTGGACGGCCGCAGCCCCCTCCCCTCCAGCGCGGAAACGGCTGGTTGCGGGAGCAGCAAGTTCGGTGCCTCACCTTTTTTAGGCGCCTCCACCAACCACTTGGTGCTAGGTAGCTTGGGCTTTGGGCTTGGCTGGCTTTGGGCAAAACAAAAACCGCGGCCACGCTCGCGGGCATCCTAGCAGCAAAAAGTAGCGCCCAGCCAGTAGAGGGAGAGGGAGAGAAGTGGGAAAAAAAAAAAGACGAGGGAGCGTTGGGCCTAGCAAGCAGTGGCCCTTATGCCGGTACTATACGAAGCGTGCAGTGCGACGCTCTGTGAGCTCTCCTGTGTCTCTGTCTCGTCGTTGGCCTTTTATCCGCGGCAGGATGAATTAGAGCTGCAGATGTGCATTGGCCGTTAGCAGCGTGTCTCGTGTCATTGGGTAAACTGGCATTGGTTGGAACCATACGGAACCAATGCATTGTCATGCTCGTGCATCTGAAGCAAGCACCTTTTCTCGCAAGTCTCTCTCGTCTTCCCCCGGTATACTTGCAACAAGGTATCATCATTATCACCACCCGTAATCGGAGCCATTGATTGCATCGAGATGCCTCTGCGCACAGTACTGTGGCTAGTCTCCGCGAATGGGTCTTCCAAATCGACGTGTTCCGGGTCTCAGAGTCACGTTTCCCCTCGCCGTCTCCGTTTGTTGTTGCAAATGGCGTCCATATTGGCGAGATGACGCTGAGCGGCGTTTTTCCCAGTCCAGCCTCGTTTCGTTGTCTGAAGCTTGACCAGAACCAGCCGTATCTTCCAATGTCATCTGCTTTATGTCATGGTCCATGGTCCATGGTAGCTGTTTGGTGTACTTGCAAGTCACTTGGCACTCAGCACTTGGGCTGCTAGTACAAGCGGGCGAGGTACAGTAGCATCCAAAGGGCGCCCCTCTCTCTGTTCGCCCACTTTGCGCCCACCTTGTGTCGTTCGGCCGCCTCATTTCTTTCCCCTCCCTTTTTTCTGCTTGTACTTGCGCCTAACATGCAAGAGGCGGAGGGGCATCTATCTTGACTGCGCTCTGGCGTTGTTGCGCTTTCTGGTCTGCACAGCCCACTTGGAGGATCTTTTTTATTTTGATATCTTTGATCTTTGTATTTCTCTCAATTTGCTACTCTTTTTTGTATCTTGCTCATAATATTTTGCGAGTGAAAAGTAGCGCCGATGCACGGTAAGGCGATTGCAATCGGCCCAGATCTCCTTTGCTCAGCGGGTCCGACGCTATGGTGCACAGGCCCCGAGCACGATTCCTGCCTGCTAGGTATGTACATATCAACCAATGCCACTGCATGGCATCACCGTATACTTTTTGTGCCTGGATGCTGCCAAAATGCAATGGAAAAAACTTGTCGAGGTCAATTGAGAAAATGCGATCGATTTTGCTCTGCCACTAGCTTGCTTGACTTTGGTGGCCGTGATGCTTTGAGGCATCCGCTGCCATGCCGCTGCCACGAACAAAACAGTGCAATCAATACAAGAGGCATCGCGCATCTGAGATCGAGGGCCAGTTGAGGAGACAACTGGGAGTGCAAAGCACCTTGTCCCGGCCAATAGCCCAGACTGCTGGTAAAAGGGCCCTTGACCCTGCTGTCGGCAGTTGCGGGAAATGGGGCCCAAGCACCCACGTCTCCGGGGGGCCGCGCTAGACCCAAGCTGCTGCAGTGGTTGATGCACGGAGGAGCACTCCGTCCTGTGTGCTTGTACCGTACCATAATCAAAAGATGAGATGACTTAGCATTTAGCACATGTAATCAGTCAGTGAAATTTCAAGGAGAATATTATCAAATTGCTCTGCTATCACACACATACACTAGACACACATGGACACACACACACACACGCACCGCATCGGTGCTACTGGCGCGCGCACTTGGTTGCTAGCTGTGCTGACCTGGCTGCCAGCGATCCGGCTGCTCGCGCTACTCCAGGTACGTCGTCGCGGTGCTGGCACAGTCGGTACTGTGGAGGTACCTGGCCGACGCTGGGTCCAGCGGTAGGCGCTACGCCGACCTGTGCCCGCGTCGCCCGCACCCAGCCGTGTATCGCCTACATCACGGCCTCCTCTGGGCCTTGTCGCTTCCCTGGGTCGCATCCGCATTGGGTCCAAATCGGTCTCGCTCAAGCCACGGCTTGTTGGCCCCACCCGCACCACATCCAGGGCGTCCTTTGGTACGATACACTTTCGCTTTTTTCCTCGCACTTTGCACCGCCCAAGCATCCAAGGTACCGCACCGCACAACAAGGTATCAAGGTATCAAGGTACCAGACCCAGACCCAGCAACGGAACGAGGGACCAAGGTATCGAGGTATGCCGCATGTAGACGCACCCGTGCCGGTACCTGGCTGCCCACCCTCCCTCCGCCCTGGCCGCCGGTACACACCCTCCGACACCAGCTCATCTGTACCTGCCTTGCTAACTGCGGTCTGCGGGTGGGGCCCGACGCCAGCTCGTTCTGCCGCTCTCGAAGCAACTCCAACGCCCCTCTTCTCCGGCCTCGTTCTCCCTCATTCTTTTGCAACATTGGAAACTTCTTTTTTTTGGTCCCCAGAGATTGCGCCGCTGCCCAGATAAAACTGCGCTCTCGAGCAATTGGGTTTTTTTAACAGCTGCGCTGCCCTGAGATTGCGCTGCCCGGACAGCCAAAAAAAAAATAAGGCGAGAGAAAAAGCCACCGCCGCCATTGCTCGGCCCTGTGACGAATCTTCTGGCTCATGCAACGCCCTCTTATCTCTCTCTCTCGGGGTTTTTTTTTATTCCAGTTGCCTGCGGCTCTGCTTCGGGCCCTGATTTCCTCATTGTTGCTTGCTGCTCTTTTCGTATTTGGGGGCCCTATATAACCCGATCGTCGCCAGTCTTCTGCCTTCGCTTGTACTTGGTCTTGCTCCTTGCGCAGAAACAAATTACCACTATCGACCACCAACTATTTCCCAACGTTCCCACTCACCAACTCCTACTCCCCAATACCTATCCCCTACTTCACTTCCGCTTCTATCTTCACATTCAATATCACTGCCGCTGCCATCTCTCTCACTCCTTACTTGGCAACTGCTTCAGCGGCAGTAACAGCTCCGGCTTCGCGCCCCGGATCTGGTCTTGAACGTGATAGATATCAACCTTTACACTTCGGCAGTGACGCCGATCCGTCTCTTCCCAAGCTTTCCACCCGACGGCTTCCGCTTCACCACTCCCGCTCCCTCAAAGTTCAGCTTGGCAACGTCAAACAAACCCAAACTCAACACAAATTCAACTCCCTCTCTCCTTTGCTCGAGTCAGTGTCCGTCATCAGCGACAAGAACCGGCAGCCCTACTCGTACCTTGCCGGCTTTTGACATCCGACTTGTCTCCGACAACGATAGCTTTGCCCCCCCGGCTCTGGCCTGGTACGTATTGCTTTCTCTCTTCTTTCTCACTCCCCACTTAGATCCCGCACACACACAATTGCAGGCATACACAATACACACACCCTCCTCTCCACTTTTCTTCTCTTCTCTCCTCCTCCTTCTCCTCTATCTCCTCCTCCTCCTCCAGCTCTACTTGTACCTACTGCTCCTCTACTTCTCTCCCCCACTATTATATATCTCTCTGCTTCTCGCTCTCGCCTTCTCTTATCTCCTCCCTCTCCTTCTCCTAGTAACCCTCCTACCTCGTCTCTACCCATCATCTCTTGCCTTCTACCATCCCATCTCTTCTTCCATCAACAACCCATACCATCACTGGTATATCTCTGTTACGCACTTCAGCCTGTCTCACGCTCCCTCACCAACTTGCCTCCAACTGTCCGCTTTGCCTCTTGGGGAGCATCAGGCCAATCTGTGGCATATGGACAGTCTCGTGTATAGACATCGGTCCCGACACTAACACTATCCACCTCGCATAGGCACTCGCTGCTTATTCACACGCTGTACACACACAGAGCAACAACCTTCAAAGCAACAACCTTCAAACTTTAAGCCATCAAAAGATCAAATTCGGCTGCAATGGCCAGTCAATCACCTCTAAACCCTACATTCAAGGGGCACGTAGCCACCACCTGGGATGCACTTCTCCTCTTCGAAGCGTGCTTGCAGGGTCAAATTAACCACGTGCCTCGACGCCCGCATGATCGTGAACGCCAAGAGCTCATTTCTAGCGGCAACATCTTTATCTATGAGGAGCATGCCTCTGGCATCAAGCGCTGGACGGACGGTATCTCTTGGAGTCCTAGCCGCATCCTCGGCAACTTTCTCATCTACCGAGAGCTAGACAAGCCCTTTCCTCCCGGCGAAAAGAAACGTGCGCTCAAGAGAAAACGAGGTTCTCAGGGCGTCAACAAGGCCACCCCTCGGTCAAACTCAACTGTACTAGACCCGACCACCATCGCCCGAGACCCAGAACGGTCGCTGGTCGGTTCTCTGGTGGACTCTTATCTGTTCAAAGAAAGAGGACTCGTCAAGAAGACAATCAGCATCACCTTCCAGGGTGTGCCGCACCATCTGGTCAGCTATTATAGTATAGAAGACGTCGACAACAAGTCTCTGATGACCCCGACCGAGTCCAACTTCTTTTCACACATCAAGCCTCGCACCGAGCTTGTCATGTCCCAAAACTTCCGCAATCCTGTGGATGAAGTCACCTTGTTTGGGCAGGAAGACAATGGCTTCATGGGTGCCAACGCGCACTTCTACAACATGGGTGCCCACGTCGCCAACTTCTCCCCACACTCTCATGTTGCCCAGGTTGCCGACTACGGCTCTCAAGTCATGATGTCTCAAGCCCTGCCGGTGTCAACCATGGCCGTCGCTCCGATGGCTGCCTACTCTAGAGCAGACTACGAATACCTTGCCCAGCAGCACCCACCTCACGATCACTTTGAAGCTCAGGTGGAAGCCCAAGCTCAGGCGGAGGCCCAGGCACGCTATGCTCATCGCCATCATTCATTTCAATATCACGACCACATTCCGCAAGATCAACTGCCGCAAGAGGCATTGCACCACCAGCAGATACAACAGCAGCAGATGCACCACCACCAACAGCAGCTACAGCGCCAGCAGCAGCTGCAACATCAAATGCATGCGATACAAATGCAGCAACAGCAGCAGCAGTTCCATCACCAAATGCACCAGCCGCAGCCCGACGAGCAGCGGCAGCACCAGTTGTCCCACCCATCACCGCACCAGCAAGATGTGCAGCCAGACGAGCAGCAACAGAACGGCGAGGGTTTTGACTGGTCCAATTATCAGGGACCCAACGAATACTACTATCCTCAACAAGGATAGTCGTTTGACGCGGAGGAAGCCATCGTGAGTAGTGTATTGCCACGATGATGCCTGACACGATGACTGACAAAAGCACATAGGGCACTACCGTTGTCTTCTTTAATATGCCTCTTCGCTTTGGTCGCTTCTGGCGTTTGAAGAGAGGGGGTTTCTCATGTACATTTCTGTGCTCCTAGCTGGAGCCTCTCAAAACGGATTTGGCGCGGTGTTATACGGGTGGGAGCTTTGATTTTTTTCTTCTTCTTTTTTCCGTTCTTCTTTTTTTCCGTTCTCTTTTCTTTCTTTCTTTTTTCTAATTCTTGCTCTTCTCTTTATATTGTAATTCTCCCTGGTTTTTTATTTACGCATAGGAATAGTGTTGCGGTGGGTTTTTTTTACACACGGTCTTGAGGGCATGTGTTTTTCCCATAATGTTTTCCCCATGATGGGCCATGGCGTTGGGCTTTGTACAATTGCTTGGACCTGGAGTTAAAGGCGGCGTATACGGAGTAAGGTTTGCGCCATTGTTCGGAACTGGGCGGGTTTGGGCTCGTCGATACTTTGGCTTGTTCATATCATGGTGGTATCTGTGGGTTGATTACCGGCGTTGGATGGGAATCTCTTTTAACGGATGGGCTTCTAAAAGTGCGTGCGGAGACTTGCTGGCTGGGTGGCCATGCGCTCTGATATACACACAACCAGCTGTACCTCTAGTGATAGGTTATTGATACTCTGGATATGTCTTATATCTCTCGAAATTTGCATGTGATGGCACTGTCTGTAAATGTCTGTAGTTTTGTGGTCGGCTTCATCCACGATGAGCGATCAGCAAAGACCAAAGACTACCAATAAGCAAGTATAAGTATAAATGCATGTTTCATTTCCCCCTTGTTTTGTGCCTTGATTTTCTGCTTGCCAGGCTGTTCTGTCAAACTACGGCTGGATGAGGCGGTGATCAGCAGATTTGCCCGAGGGGTGTGTGGGATGCGTCGCCGGTGATGTAATTGGAAACCTACCAAAACCATGGCTCTCATTGTGTTGAAAGTAATTTCCAGGGCTGTCATTGTTCCTTTTTAACCTTTGCATGTCTATCTTAATCTTTATGTTTATCTTTAAAAAAAAAAAAATTGAATTTAGTCTACTGAATCTGAATTCAGCTTCTTCACATGTAATTCTTTACTTTTTTGGGATTTTGGTGGTGTTGGCGGCACGTGTTTGTTTCGTTCGGTACCTTTTGGTGCCCTTTGGCGAATGATGGTGTCCCGTGGGCTTTGTTGTGCATGTGCAGGTGGGAACACGCTTGGATCGGTGTAGGAGTAGATGCATCGTTCGTCATTTGATGTGCTCAACAATTTTTTGGAGGGGGGGGCCCTGATTTGGTAGAAGCCTTGTAGGTCTTATTGCACAGGGCACTCAACGGATATAGATGCCTGGATTTGCCCTTGCTTCTTCTTTTCTGCTCCTTTTCTTCCTTCTTTTTTTTTTTTTTTTTGACCTTGTCTATTAAAGAGGTCTGATTTCTGGCCAGTGTATTTATTCGTCTCCCGTTGAACCTTGTTTTTTTGGGGTAGCTTCCCGCTTTTTTTTCTTTTTTTAAATTTAGCTGGGGTTGCACCCCTCCATCTTCCCTCCCGCTCTTGGAGCTTCTTCTTCTTCTTTGTCTTTTTGTCAATTTCATTGCTGAGCACCTTTATTGGAACGGGTGGCACATAACGCAGCAATGCTGTTATTTCTTCACAGGCGTGAGTTTGGTCTTGCTTCTTCGGATTGTGCCCTGTCTTTGAGCTAACGTGTGTGTTTGCAATGTTCAGCTTTCGAGGCGCTGGCGACGAAGCTTGCTGCTTCTCCCGACGAACGTAAGAGACTCTCCTCTACCAATACATTGCCCTTCGTTCTGTGCCGTCTGCATCGACTCTAACCAATACATTCTCCCAACAGTCAAGCTGACCTTTTCGTTCCTTCTGTCGTATCCGTTGGCGGGCATCCTCAAGCGTCTGCCGGATGCGAAGCCGCTGCAAAAGAACATCTTTATTATATGGTAACTCGCCAGAATTCCAACTTCAAGAACCCCCCTTTCGGCTTCAGCTTAGCTGACACAAGTCGCAACGAACCAACAGCGTCTCGCTCTTCTACCTCGTCGGCCTCTTCGACCTGTGGGATGGCATCCTCACCCTGGCCATCAGCGCGGGCGGCACCTACGCCATCGCAAAGTTCCTGCGCGGCAGCCCCTACATGCCCTGGATCGGCTTCTTCTTCGTCATGGGCCACATGTCCGTCAGCCACATCCAGCGCCAGATCCTGAACACGCCGGACGTGGTCGACATCACCGGCGCCCAGATGGTGCTCATCATGAAGCTCTCGGCCTTTTGCTGGAACGTGGCCGACGGCCAGCTGCCCGCCGACCAGCTGTCTGAGCTGCAGCAGAACCGCGCCCTCAAGGAGCTCCCGCCGCTGATTGACTATATTGCCTACGTCCTGTTCTTCCCCTCGCTGTTCGCCGGCCCGGCCTTTGACTATGCCGAGTATCGCCGCTGGATCGACACCACCATGTTCGACGTCCCCGCCCAGATCGATCCCGCCAAGAAGCCTCCCGTGCGCAAGAAGCGCAAGATTCCTCGCAGCGGCACCCCTGCCACCATCAAGGCCGTCACCGGGCTCGTCTGGATCGGCCTCTTCGTTGGCCTGTCCGGCAAGTTTAGCCACACTCACGTTACCGACGAGTCCTTCACCGAGCGATCGTTCCTCCACCGCGTCTTCCTCATCCACATGGCCAGTCAGGTGACGCGCTTCAAGTTCTACGGCGTGTGGGCGCTGACCGAGGGTGCCTGCATCCTGGCCGGCTTGGGCTACAACGGCATTGATCCCGCCACCGGAAAGGTTTCGTGGAACCGCCTGCAAAATGTCGATCCCTGGATGGTTGAGACGGCTCAGAATCCTCGAGCGTATCTGGCTGGATGGAACATGAACACCAACAACTGGCTGCGCAACTACATCTACCTCCGAGTGACGCCCCGAGGCAAGAAGCCCGGATTCCGAGCCAGCATGACGACGTTTGTCACCAGTGCCTTTTGGCACGGATTCTACCCTGGCTACTATCTCAGCTTTATGCTGGCCAGTCTGATCCAAACGTCGGCCAAGAGTAAGATGTCTTCCCTTTTATCCATATCTAAATACTTGTTAGTCCAAACTAAAACGTGACTGTGATAGACTTCCGCCGACACGTTCGCCCCTTTTTCCTCGATCCCATCACAGGAAACCCCACCCCCAAGAAGAAGTACTACGACTTCGCCACCTACCTCGTCACTCAGCTCACATTCTCCTTCACCACGCTGCCTTTCCTCGTCCTGGGCTTCAAGGACTCGTTCCGCGCCTGGTCCCACGTCTACTTTTACGCCTTCATCTGGACCACGGCGTCGCTCGCCTTCTTCGCGTCTCCCGGAAAGGCCCTGCTTAAGAAGAAGCTCGAGAGTCGTCAGGGTAAGGCTAGCGCCCGGCTCAAGCGCTCGACGAGCAGCGAGAGCCTTTCGGGCATGGAGCCGATTCTGGGCATCTCGAAGGATCCTGAGGAGGATATTGCTGAGGCTGTGAGTGAGTTTAAGGCGGAGATTGCGGCGCTGCAGAAGCGGAAGACGCGATGATTTTTTTCTTTTTTAATTTTCTTGTCGGACATTTTTTTTCTTGGAAATGTTTGCAAGTGTGTGTGTCGAGTATAATGGGAACGAACAATAGACAAATGGGTGAGATTAGGATGGAACATATATTTGCACGGGAACGGTTAGAAGAGCATGCGGATTTTAAGGGGGGACGACCTGTTATACATGTAGAGAGACAAAGTGTAACCCTCCTATGAATTTCTCGCTTTTAGTGTATTTCTTCTCTTACAGGTTTTAGTTTGTATAGCTAAATTGAGAGAGATGTCCATGAAGTAAAAAATATAATGTGGTTTTATTTCATCTGCTTTTTGTGAAAATCTAGCCTTGCCTCATCCTCTTCTCATCATCAACATCCGTCTTTTTTCAAAACACCGTCTCCTCATCAAACATCCTTGGGCTATGCGTATATATCGTACAATATCAGCATGTAACATTCGGACCATCCCTCCATCACCCAACATCAGGTATCTATTCTCATGCCTCCATCCATCAAAGTTGTAAAAAAAAAAGTTATGTATATAATATAAAAAGTTGTGTTTATAAATATATCGAAAGAGACGTTAAAAAGGGGGTTGATTGCGTAACGCATAAAAAGTCGTGTGTTGTGCGTGTGTACACACATTTGTTGTTGTATAAAATGTCTGTAATAATGTAAATGCGAGTGTGAATCGTTATCTCGTAAGAGTTGTGCGAAAAAAAAAATCGAAGTGAAAAGAGAAAATGAATCCGAAACCCCGAAAACGGCGCCATCCAGAAACGAGTTATCCAAAAAAAGAGTATTGTCGTCGTCGTCCCATCAGAAAAAAAAAAGATCGCTAAAATATCCCAAAAGTGTGTGTTTGTCGCTTTTTTGCCCAAGATGAAAAACTCCCTGCCCAAAAGACCCGTTCATGAATGCCACTGCGTCACGCCGACGACAATCAGGACGACGCAGAGGCAGATGATGAGGGCGCCGATGATGGACATGCGCCGGTTGACGCTCCTCCACCACCTGGCGCGTTCATGAAGGCGCTCCGCGTTGATGTATAGCCTCTGGTTGCGTGCCTCCATTCGAATATCCAGATGGCCTGTGCTGTAGGCTTGTTCTGTCATTTCTCGCTCCAGCTTGGGAGGAATTGGCAGAATGGCGCCTATTATCCAAGCTATGGTTTCATTCTGTTAGCCAATGCTCGGCGTGTCCGTACAACTCAATAAGACTTACTAAATGGACAGATGAAGCCGAGAACAAACAGCACAAGCTGGAGGTTTCGTTTCCAGATGCCATAGTCGGCAGATTCGGCCAACGAAGGAGGCGACCAGATGCTAAATCGGCTGGCTCGTCTATCGGTCTGCAGATGCGGTGACCAGACGCTCGAAGTCTGCTTCTTGACGCTATGATCGACGGGCATATAAGGCTGAGGGCGGATGTCCATCGAATCGGATTCACTAGCGCGTCGATGCATTTCTCGGGGCCGACGACGGGGATTGAAAATCTCTCCAGTGTGCGCCTCATAACTAGGGGAGCGGCTGTGGGACGAATCTCGGTGTAAGCTGCTGGTGAATTGCGAAAACATGGACTCGTTGGAAGGTTGCGCCGCCAAAAAGCGCCGTTCTCCACTCCCGTAATAGACCCTATTCAAGTTAGATACACCAAGCTTCACAGGCTGATTACGGGCTCTGGCTTACCTTGCCCATGCCGGAATGACCGACGCGTAGCTTATGCTGTTGTTTCGAGAATTGCTTCTGGAACGGGAACGGTGATTTCTGGCCCCTGAGTGCTCGGAAGCCATGCTTAGGCCGCGGGCACGGGAGGGAAGGCGGTTCATACTCTCCAGGTCTGCCAGACCATCGCCATCCTCATCATGATCACGTACTAGACGAGCAGTAGAGAAAGGTGTATCTCTGCCATAAACTGGTTGAGGTCGGTCCACAGAGCCGTTTCGAGAATGAGACGCCATGGCCAAAGCCTCCTCCACACCAAAGGTGGAGAAGCTTCCTGTCTGCCTGAGCTGGTTGAGCGTAAAGACGCTGCTGCGAGCATTGCCAGACAGTCGAGAGATGGACCGAGTCGTGTCACTCCGTTCGCTCTCCGACATGACTGTGGACAGAGCAGTACCCCATGGCTGCGTTCGAGACGTATTTCTGCGGTGAACACCCTGGCTAGCGGTTGACTGAGATCGTGAATGTCGCCCTTCCAAATCGACCTGTGTGGACACGCCCGCTGGCGTACTGAGATCGACCTCTCGGTTGAACCCGGAGCCGGAAACAGAGTTCAAGGACCCGGTCCTCAGATGCTCGAGCGATCTAGTGCTAGGAATCGTCGAGCTAGAGTAGAGGCGACCTGATCTCATGGGTCGTAAAGGAGCCACCACCATGCTGTTGTTTGAGTATTCGGACGGCGCATGAGAGATATCCGTCCCGTCTGACTGGGTACGTCGGTGTCCGTGGACAACATAGTTGGGAGTTCCCTGGGCTTCTGAATCTGAGTGCGCCCGGGATTGGTCAGATGTTGACGCGCCGTCATAAACGACATAGTTGGGTCCGCCGGGGAAAAGCGAAGAGGTGTCGAAATCCGATGCCATGGAGCCACGGACAGTGTCCGGGCCAGAAGAGCTTTGCGCATACGTCTTGTAATTCGTGCGATCCGACACGGTGTTGCCGGTTTTGTTGGACTGAAATGATTTTTTGGTAGTCAGAGCAAACGCAGCGATGCGCTCTTCCTCCACCGCAATCTTGCCTGAGGCGACAGGATCTTCTTCCAGGAATGGAGGCAGCTGGGTGGGGGTTAATTCGGTCTCGGTGGCGTCGCTGAGGTGACTCTCAACCTTGCGCAGTCCACCAACAAGATTGTAGTTCCAAGGGGACATGGATTCATCATCCTCTTCGGGGATTGATGGACCTAGGGATGATGCGGTCACGGAGGCGCTATCCTCTGCCAATGTCGTCAAGGCCGAGCTGGGGCGATCTTCGCTAAAGATGCTTGAAGAATTCTGCATATAAGAGGAACTGGAGGCGACAGAGTAGTGCGGGTTTGAGTCGGTGCGAGTAGAAACAACAGAGTTTGTCCGGGAGGCCCGAACGGAGTTAAGGGGGACGAGGGAGAAGGTCTTGTTGTCGGAATTAAGGTTGATGTCGATGAATCTCTTGGGGCGACGTTGGACAGGGGATGTCGTAGCAGAGGCGGCGGCGGCAGCAGCAATATTGGCAGTAGCATCAAGTGGGAGTTCAGGTGGGAGTTCAGGGGATGGCGGAGACGTCAGGTTTTTCAATGACTGCGACAGAGATTGAGATCGATATCTCCCCCGAGGGGCGGCCTCGATAGCCGATGAACCGGTGTCGAGGATTTCATTTGGGCCAATACTCGAACTCCGTCGCTTGCCAGCTGAGGCGCGAGACGGACCGGCAATAGTCGAGGCTGAAGAAGGAGGGCTTGCGGTGGCGGGCGAGTCGTCCGCAGAATGGACTTCGACATTGTCCAGGTTCGAGCCGATGGAGGCATTCGGGTTGAAAAGCTGAGAACCGCCGCTGAGCCGGGTTGGTTCATACGGCACAAGTCGAATCTGAAGTTTCTCGTTTGGAGACGATCGCCCTTCCGAGGACCGTTCGGAATCGGGCGATTCGGACATCCTCTTCTCACTAAACAGGAGAGCCGTCTCATAACATTTGCCCAACTAATTTGAAAGATGGCGAGAGGTCGGCGCGGCTGTGAATGAAGAAACTTGGTCTTGCAGGGCGCGAGGATGCGTAGAAGCCAGTGAATCGCTTGGTGCGGAGGTGGCGAGGCCGTATGATAACTCGATATTACGTCCGAGGGCTTCGATTCGTCGTGTGGTGCGAGCCGATCGGGCTGCTGGTCATGCCAATTCGGGTTGGACGGGCAGTCTCGCACAGAAACAAGAAACTGCCGGAGCACGAAGGGGGTATTTGAAAGCAAATATGAAGAGGGGAAAGAAGAAGCAGAAATTGATTGGTCGCGTCAAAAGGGTCGGCGGCTATAATGTTGGCAAGCAGATGAAAATAAAACCCGTGAGAATCGAAAAGTGTAACCAGAAAAAATTAGCAGCGCGCCTGGGAGAGAGTCGCAGGCGAGCTGAAGAAGAATTCACGGACCAGTCCGAAGTAGCGACTGGAAGAATTAAAAATTAAAGAAGGACATAAACCGGGCGATTATTCGTAGGATCCTCAAAGACTGTTGCGGCGGTTAAGCGGCAAGACGAAGCACAGCGATGCCAGCCAAGGCGTGCGCAGTCCGAGTATGGATAGGGCAGAAAAGAGCGTAACGGTCAGCGATTCGAGAGAGCGACAGACGGGAAAATGAGCGTGTGGAGGTTTGCAAAAGAGCGAAAGAGAGCCGACAAGGCGGTTGATGGGGCACGAAGATGCGGCCCGGGGGGGAGGCCCATGAAAAAGGGGAGGTCCGTAGCGTCCATGTACGAGTAGCCTGGCCTGGCCGCAGCGCCCGGGGGATGTGGATGGGGATGGGGATGGACGAAGAGTCCGCAACTGGAGCTTTGGCCCGCCAGAGTTTGTGCTACTGGAACTGGACCCGTCTAGAGAGTTTTTGTTTTTGAAGCAATCATATCATGCAAGGCGACGACGATGGTGGTTGGTAGGTAACATGTCGAGACAAGACGTGGAGCTGAGTGACTGAGTCAATTGTCGTAGATGGATCATGCGACTCGGTTTGAGTTCAGTTCAGTTTGGCACAGATGATCTGTTTCTGGTCTTGTTTATTCATGCGGTACTTGAGCTCCCAGGTCCAGAACAGGTACAGCATGTTCGTGCTGTACATGGGCCTCCCAGCATCGCGATGGGGCGTTGCCAGGTATATTCCCGGTTGTCTTGACTGTCCTTGACCGCCTACGCGTGGCTTCAGCTCCGTGGACATCGACATCCCTTCTATGGCTTCTCTCGATCCGTCTCCCTCCGTTTTGTCGCTGACTGTGTCTAGCAGAAGTGAAAAGAGTGGCTCCCAGCAGGCCAGGTTCGTCGGATGGCCAGACGCAGATGCAGGGGTTGCAGAACAGAGCAGAAGCAGAAGCGCCGCTAGTAACTGGGCCACCTGCAGGGAGATGCAGGTCCGGGCTTCTAGCGACTCCAGCAGCGCGATAAGACGTACGAGTAAGACTGAGAGAAAAATAAAAACAAGCAATTGAGCAAAAATGTGCGCAGCGGAATGGGGCCTCAGACGGCGGGCGCTGGCTGGCTGGTTGAGTTGAAGCCATCGCGATCGACGCGGTCGCAGAGAGACGGGGGTGAGGTAACCAGATCGGTGTCTAGCATGAACTCTACGGGCTGCTAGCTGTGGACTACTAAGATTTCAGGCACCGCTGGTGGTTCCGCGCTGGAGAGGCTCCTCCGGAACGGTGCCTGGCTAGGGAACAGTACCGTTTGCATTAATTACGGTGTCGAGGCAATGGACTGGAATGAAAGAATCCGGGACAAACAGCCTCAGGTTGAGCTCGGATCAATTCAATTCAATCGCGCCCAATTCAATTCGCTGCGGTATTAATCTTACTGTTTAGAGTCTTTTTACTGAGGCAAGCGAGTGGCGCAGTGCGCAGATGCCCTGCATGCCCTGAAATTACAGGCTCGGGCGGATGCATGCACACGCACATGCACATGCACACAAACAGCTTCAGGTCGTTTCCAATCGTTTGTTCCAGTCGTCTGTCTGGTGTCCTTCACCTGCACCGCACACGCGCCCGCCGGGGGCAGAAGCGCAGTGCATGCAGCAGTGCAGTCTGACAGTTACTATTGCTATCTATTGCTACCTAACTGACTGCTGATCGCAGTGATGTGATGATATCCAGTCGATGGTGCGCAGCCGATTGGCAAACATGAAGCCCGTTGGAATGGACCTGAGCGCAGGCCTTTTATGCACGAACACTTGGACGAGTGAGATTGGACGCTGGCTAGAGGCTAGCCAACGCTAGAAGCATTTGGCAGTTTGGAAGGATGCAACGGTGAAACGGTTGCTGGCGTCTGCGTTTGCGACTGGAGGTTTCGGGGCTTTTTTCTGTCTGTTATCTTCATCCACATCCACAATTGATGGCGACACATTGCATCCGGTTCATTCATTCACCTGAAGCGTTTGGTGAGAGTGGCCGATGAAGCAGTAGAGAAGCTCATTACTATCGTTGACGCCATTTGCTCACTTCCGTGGATTACGACAACGATCCCCCTGGCAAATAAATACACAGCTGGAGACGGAGCTCCCGATCCAGCACGGTTCGCATATTGCAGGACTCGCTAGTCCGCACTCGTAGATTAGATGACTGTGACTGTGACCGGGACATCCAAGAAATACTGTACCAGTCAGACAATCAAAGACAAGCAAATCACCACCAAGAATAACCTAGAGCAGCAATCAATTGAGTAGTATTTCTTCATGTAGGTTGTCCATTAAAGTTTCGTTCGCAGAAATAGTCAACCCATCATCTGTAGTCGAGGCTTTAGTCATCAATGATAACCACCCATTCCGCATAGAGTTCCGTTAGAGCCGCAGTAGCATCAACCAAAAGTTGCAACCAAACGCCCTAAATTCTATCTAGTCCTCCGCACCAATTCAGGAACCCATTGTTCTAACCCACGACGAATCCATTCTCTCATCCATATCATGCTCCATTATGAAAACAATAATACCTTCGTCTCCATGATCCATTCTATTATTATGCTGCAGCCAAACTTTGCGTCATTCCACTCCCCGCATAGGGTAGCCATCCCCTCTTTTTTTTTTTCTCTTCTCTTTTTTTAAGCGGAACCACATGCACATGCAGGCTTCTCCGAGTCTTCATACGCTTGCTTTGGCGACTGGCGCGCGGCTGTTCAGCTTCCACCGAGCCTTTTGGTCCTATCCCCAACGCTCTGTGTATCCTGTCGTGTAACTGTAACTTCAACCCTGTTTGACAGCTGGACATCTCGCTGTTTACACGAACACGCTTCACTCTGCAATAGGCCGAGAGTGCCGCTGTTTCATATTAGCCTCATCAGATGGATCCTCCGTCGCCAGGTGCTCTCAGCCAGCCCCAGGCGTTTGGCCTCTTGGTAAGCAGTATCGAAACTCTCTTCAGATCATGCACACGTCGCTAATCTATTATGCTTTATGCTATTTGGGGAAAACACAGGCGGCATACACCCTCATCTATGTGCTCCCCCTCTATGCATCCTCAGAAACAAGAGCTGCCCCTGGCAAGTCAAGAGACGCCCCCGAGGCCATTCGCGCCAGGATCTTCGTCGTCTCACTGTCTACTACCGCGTGCTCTCTCGTTACGTTTCTCCTCTTGCCCTATGTCTGCACCTCAGCGGCCGCCACCAGCTGTAGCCCGCTGCATCTGATGGGCTATTGGCCGCTTGGCCTGGTCGAGACGCTCAAAAGCTGTCTTCTGACGGGCCTGCTCTTTGCCGCACCGCTTTACGAGTGTCTTATCGTCGACGGCGTCTGGCGAGAATGGGCATCCGGTCTTCAGCCTCTCCGGGAAATCTGGGCTGAATGGCCCACCTGGCGAAACCTGGTTGCTGTGAGTTTTCCAAGCATAACCCCAGCACGATGAGATGAAGAGCCCCATCATCGATATACCCCTGCCCGCATGTTTACAACTAGTCCGAGTGCTCATGTTTTTCTTGCGCAGGGCCCCATCACCGAAGAATGTCTATTCCGCTCCGCCGCTATCCCACTGCTCCTGGTGGCAGGGTCTAGCATCAGCAGAATCATCTTCCTATCTCCTGTTGTCTTTGGCCTTGCTCACGTCCACCACTTTTACGAATTCCGCATTACCCACCCGCAGACGCCCCTGGTGGCTGCCATTGCCCGCTCCGTTCTCCAGTTTTCGTATACTTCCCTCTTCGGAGCCTACGCAAACTTCCTCTTTCTGCGGACCGGATCTCTTCTTGCCGTCATTCTGGTCCACACGTTCTGCAACTCCATGGGTTTGCCTCGCGTTTGGGGTGCCGTCCAACCTTATTGGCTTGACGAAGCCGACTCTTCTCGTCCGAGACGCACGATCTTGTGGTCTGGGATTTATTACGTGCTGCTCATTGGTGGCTCAGTTGCTTGGTGGAAGAATTTTTATCCTCTAACTGAGTCGCCTATTGCTCTGGCAGTATTCTAGCATACTTTTCACTATCTGTCCACATCGTTTCTCCCATGAGCTGATACATCCAGCTATGAATGCCAAAAGAAAAGAAAGAAACCAACATTACTCCTGTGTGGCGATTCGCCTTTGCCTTTCATGACTCCCAACCACACTATCGTGGGGTTTTGATGCTGCCCTTCTATATCCCGCAAATGTTGCCTATCAAGCCCGTATAACCAGATGCATCGTCCATCATAAAAACATACTTGTGCCCTATTAGCCCCTCGTATCCCTACTAAGACTGCGTAGCGAGCCTTCTTTGGAAAACTCATCATCCATCAATGGTCTGCGGTGCCGTAGAGTAGCCTGCTCCCGGCTCTCACTTCCAACAGAAGGGTCTCTATCTTTGCCTTTGGAGAGCCCAGTAGAGCTTGTACTTCCTTCTGCCATGGCATCGTCAGGGCCCCTGGTATTCTTCTTCCTTGGCCACAAGCTTGGCAGCGCAATCTGCTGAAATCTTGGCTCGACTGCTCGTTCATCAAACCACCTGTGTAGCCGTGATTCAATCAGCTGGGCAATCTTGGGCACGTCCTGCAATCGTGAACGGCTACCAAGTAAGCTCCTGATGGAGAAGTCGAGCCGGTAGTCGTCGAGGAAGTTAAAGGCCATCATAGTCGGGGTCGATTGAGAAGGGTTGCTCGGGATAAATGATATGGATAGCGTTCCGCTGAATCTCACCACCGAGACGGAGAGGGCTACTGGAAGAACTGCAGATAACTTTTTGGGATAGTTGAGAAGCAGCTTTGTCTCCACGGCCAACGTGAGCATGTCGCTAAGATCGACGTCCATTCGGGCCTGGAGGCGAGTGCCGTCCCGAGCTGCCGTGGCGGGATCGATTTTCACATGGCTGCCCAGGCTGATGCCGTCTTCGTCGACAGGAATAATGCGACAATTGCTAAGGATGGGAAACTCTTCGCCCAGGCTGAGCTCCGTGACGCGAATCTCGTCGACAAAGTCCGGCCTGGACGTCCCGTTCAAGGTTTTGGTGAGGGAATTGAGAATGGCATCGTCATGCTGAGCGTCGCTGCGAAATTGAGCAATCGTCTGCGCTATCAGCACGTTGAACCAGTCCAGGCTTTCCGGCTGGTGGCTGTCGACGTTGTAGTACGTCTTGCTCAGGATGGATCCGATGGTCAGCGTCGGCGGGTTCCTCAGGACGGTGGACTTCTTGCGGTTCAGGGTCTGGCCGATGCGCTGGCTGGGAGAGCGTAGTCTCAGGAGGGACTGCTTATGTGCCAGCGTCCGTGATCTTCGCTCTGTGGCGCGGAGCGAGGCGGCGACGTCGGGGGAGGGCGCATCGCCGAAGATGAAGAATTTGATGAAGGCGGCTAGGATTAGGACGACGGAGAGTTGGCCTACTATGAGGCCTTGGGTGAATGAGAGGCTTGATGCGTGGAAATGTGAAGCTCAGGTTAGTCTTCAAGATGGTTTTCTGCTTTGATACAGAGGACAGCTTACGTCGGTTCATGCCGCGCCGGGCAAGAATCCGCCATTCTCAGAATAATTCGATTTTATTCAAGGAGGCGAAGATAGAGAATTTACTAGGCAAGATTATAGCCGCCCATTGAGTGGGCACTGGGCTGGGTGTGAGGTGAAGAGTGAATTTGGTGCTGCTTCACTTTGTGATGAAAGCACCATGAGATCGACACCTGAGGTTCAATGATGGAGTGTAATGGGCCAACTTTTACGCATGTAAACCCCACAGCCAATCAGGCGTGGGGGACTGCCCACAGCCTTTGGGCAGTCTTTTAGCGACCAAGCAGAGAGAAGCTGCATACCCACCTATTTCGAACTGAGGGCGTTTAAAAAAAAGAGGTAAAAACCTTATAAATAAAATGGTGGAACGATCAGAACATCATGAGTTTTGTTTCTTTTTCTTTCTTTTTTACCGTCTCTTGATGCTTGTGTCATCATCTTCATATGAGCTCTATCTGGTTGGAATTCAAGCGTTGAGCATACACTCTGTACATCTACAGAAAATGAGGCGGTAGACTTCCATACTCACTAAAGCATGGTTATCAAGAAAATTCACCTTTACCCCCTCCATACTGAATTATACATCGCTATGATTCTTCATTTTCCACCTCATGTTTATACTATCTCGTCATGTAAAGATATAACACTGTTGTGAGCGAGGAATATGTAGCTATTTCGGTCATTACGTAGCTTCCTAAGTCTAGTCCTAATTTGGCACTGTTTGCTAAGCTCCCTCATGCGGCAGCCAGTTCTTCCGCTCTCCGTCTTCCCTCATTGGGCATTTCCCTCTAGGCGTCCAGTGAGGTCACCCCAAACTCCATAACACGTCTCCAGCTTGTCGATAGGCGCATGTCCAAGTGAGCGCTCTCAGTCCGGATATTCTCAACTCAGCACTTCAGTTTCTCGCCATTTTCCTGGTTGTCACAAATACCCATCAAGCTACCCGGGGCATGATATCATGTAGCTAGCGACAAAGCGAGAAATTCGTCATCATGGATGTCTCTCAAGCTGTCTCCGGATACCTCTCCAAGATGATGCTATCATCGGGCGATCCTTCGTCTTCAAAGATGAAGGTTCTGCTGCTAGATAGGGAGACTATTTCCATTGTCTCAACAGCCATCACACAGTCATCGCTGCTTGATTATGAAATCTATCTCATTGACCGCCTGGACAATGCTAGCCGCGAGAAGATGCGCCATCTCCGGTGTATATGCCTGGTTCGCCCCTCATCAGAGACGATACAACTGCTTATAGATGAGCTTCGGGATCCGAAATACGGAGAGTATTATCTATTCTTCACAAACGTAGCCAAAAAGTCTGCCCTGGAGCGGCTTGCCGAGGCGGACGACCACGAAGTTGTCAAGCTTGTGCAGGAGCATTTCGCCGATTATATCGTCATCAACCCAGATCTATTTAGTCTCAACATGTCTCTTCCGCAACAGCGGATATGGGCTGGTGGACCTGACAAATGGCACCCCGATGCTCTCCAGCGGTGCTCTGAAGGTCTTTTGGCTGTACTTCTCTCTCTGAAGAAGAAGCCGTTAATCAGATATGAGAAGAGCAGTCCCCTTGCTACAAAACTGGCCTCCGAAGTACGCTACATAATGACAAAAGAGGAGCAGCTATTCGATTTCCGGAAAGTCGATACACCTCCCATACTTCTCATACTGGACCGCAGGGAGGATCCGGTGACACCTCTTCTCACCCAGTGGACGTACCAAGCCATGGTTCACCATCTTCTCGGTATCAAAAACGGCCGTGTTGATCTTAGCGAGGTTCCTGATATCCGGCCCGAGCTCAAGGAAATTGTCCTCTCTCAAGACCAGGATCCATTCTTCAAGAAGAATATGTATCTGAACTTTGGTGACTTGGGCGGAACGATCAAGGAATATGTCGAGCAGTACCAGTCCAAGACGAAAAACAATGCCAATATCGAGTCAATATCTGATATGAAACGGTTCATCGAAGAGTATCCGGAATTTCGGAAGCTCTCCGGAAATGTAAGCAAGCATGTTACGCTTGTGTCCGAGCTTAGCCGGAGAGTTGCTGCGGAAAGTTTATTGGAAGTCAGTGAGCTCGAACAGAGCCTGGCTTGCAATGACAACCATGCTTCCGATCTAAAGGTAAAGAGCACTTCTACGACTGTAACTGGTGATTAACAAGGAAGAATGATGAAGCTAATGATTAACCCAGGCCGTACAAAAAATAATCCAGTCCCCTAACATAACGACAGGAAGCAAGGTTGGAGTGGTAACTCTATATGCCTTGCGCTATCAGAGACACCCATCAACTGCCCTTCCCATGCTCATGGACCTTCTTGTTGCGGCCGGCAATGTATCTACGAGACAAGCAGATCTCGTCAAGAAAGTTCTCAAGTATCATTCTTCATTACACACCTCGGACTCTCGCACTGGCATTTCAGACATATTCGACTCGGCAGGCATTTTCTCTGGCACAGCAAACCGATTCAAGGGTCTTAAGGGCGTGGAAAACGTTTATACTCAGCATAGCTCGCTGCTGGAAGGCACCTTGCAGAATCTCATCAAGGGTCGACTAAAGGAGCAACAGTATCCGTTTGTGGAGGACGGCAGTTCCACTAGAGACAAGCCGCAGGACATTATCGTTTTCATGGTTGGGGGTGTTACGTACGAGGAGGCAAAAATGATTGCCGGAGTCAACGCTACGATGCCCGGCGTGCGTGTGGTTCTTGGTGGCACATCAGTTCATAACGCAACAACATTTTTGGAGGAGGTTGATGATGCCGTCTCCTCTTGGGCTTGAATAGAGACTCGGACAGGCGTTGATGATACGATATGTAACGAAATGACAGATAGCTACTCTAATACTTGACAATATTCAGAATTCTCTTGACTTTAATTGTGAAACCTCTTGTATAAACCGTCTTAATTCTGGTGAGCTACCTAGACGCTGCAGTGGGAATACGTCATATGCATATAGCCGATATATGTATCTATCAAATATCTTATCGATAAAAATTATTGCGACACTTCTAGAGATCAAATCTAGCAGAAGAATTGTCGCATGAGGATTTCTAGGAGGGAGAAAGCATACAGGTGCTGGATCATATCGAGATGAGATGAGTGCCTTATTGCGTCCTCGGTCGTTTCACTGGCGCCCCAGTTTGAGACATCGTCGGTTTGCTACAGTGACCGACAGGCATAGGTGCGTTGCAAGGCTTTTCCGTGAGACCGCAAAGAGAGAAAACGTCAACTAACACGTACAGTAGAGCTTTCGATGTCGTCGTTATAGGCGGTGGGCATGCAGGTGCCGAGGCATGCGCTGCTGCTGCGAGAGCCGGTGCGCGGACGGCCTTGGTTACACCCAAGATCGACAATCTGGGGACATGTTCCTGCAATCCGAGTTTCGGAGGCATTGGCAAGGGGACAATCATTCGAGAGATTGATGCGCTAGATGGACTGGCAGGGAGGATCATTGATAAGGCTGGTGTTCAATTCCACCTGCTGAACCGTAGGAAAGGACCGGCTGTCTGGGTATGACTGCTCTGAATTTGTCATGTTGGGCATACGCCTTGTCTGACTATCATGCTAACTTGATGCTTTCTTTTATTAGGGTCCGCGTGCACAAATTGATCGAGACCTTTACAAAAAGTACATGAGAAGCGAACTCGAATCGTATCCGAATCTATCGCTTGTCCTAGAAAGCGTGTCGGACATTATCTTAGCAGAAAACGAAGGCTCTAGCGACGGCGCAAAGGGCACAATCGCCGGTGTCCGACTCGAGAATGGCGAAATTTTACAGACTGGAAGAGTAGTCATCACGACTGGAACTTTTCTGGGAGGCGAGATACACATTGGGCTTGAGGCTTATCCAGCTGGCCGCATTGGAGAAGCAGCAACAACGGGCTTGAGCAAATCATTACGGGAAGCAGGCTTCCAACTAGGACGATTGAAGACGGGTACTCCGCCGCGACTCGATAAATCAACTATAAACTTCGACATACTTCAAAGGCAGCTGGGTGATGATCCCCCCGCTCCTTTCAGCTACCTAAATAGCCAGGTGGCCGTTCAAGATCAACTCACCTGCAGCATAACATTCACCAACGAGGCTACGCACAAGATTGTCCGCGAAAACTTGGATAAATCAATACACATTCGCGAAACTGTCAAGGGTCCGAGATATTGCCCCTCTCTGGAGTCAAAGGTTATCCGCTTTGCAGATAAAGAGCGTCATATCGTCTGGCTTGAGCCAGAAGGTTTCGACAACCCAATCATATACCCTAATGGACTTTCCATGACAATACCCGCAGAGGCACAAGAGCAGGTGCTGCGTTCAATACAAGGGCTGGAGCATGTCAAAATGCTGCAGCCTGGTTATGGTGTCGAGTATGACTATGTTGATCCTCGGGGATTAAAGTCCACCCTTGAGACAAAGGCAATTGGTGGTCTTTATCTAGCAGGACAGATCAACGGCACCACAGGATATGAGGAGGCTGCGGGCCAGGGAGTCATAGCCGGTATGAATGCTGGACGAGCTGCCCTTGGATTGCCAGGCGCCTCATTATCTAGGTCGGATGGCTACATTGGCATCATGATTGACGACTTAATCACCAAGGGTGTGACAGAGCCTTACCGCATGTTTACATCCAGAAGCGAATTTCGCATGGCTGCCAGAGCAGACAATGCGGACCTACGGTTGACGGAAAAGGGACGAGAATGGGGCGTCGTCTCGGACCATAGATGGAGCGCTTTCTCGGATGAGAAGCAACAGATTCTAGATCTCACCAAATCTCTCGGTGCCGTTTCCTTGTCGCCCGACGAATGGATGAAGGCAGGGTTTCAGTTGAAGAAGAGCTCTCAGCGCCGAACCGGCATTGACATGCTGAGACTTTCCAATACTGCCGAGCGAATCCAACTGGACCAGCTTAGCGCCATCGTGCCCGAAGTCATGAACTACTCGCCGCGCATTCGAGACAGGGTGGTTATTGAAGCGGCTTACGCACCTTACATTAAGATGCAGGCGGCGGAGCGCGGGCGGTTCGTCAATGATGAAAATATTCGCCTCCCGCTTGATTTGAACTATGACTGCATTCCTGGGTTGGCCTTGTCCGAGAAGGAGGTTCTGAGGAGAACACGGCCTGAGACTTTGGCGCAGGCTCGCCGTGCCGAAGGCATTACTCCTTCTGGGTGCATTAGATTGCTGGCTTACATTCGTCGTCAAGGGTCATCTGCGGCAGTGCCTATTGGGTTAGAAGAAAGTGCGTTGGATGCTCGCCTCTGATGATGGACGGACACATGGTTATGATTATGAAGGCTGCGATTGTAAATGGGGCGTATAAGCCGGAATATTACTTGTAGCAGTAGATATTTACCTGTACATTATTATCGAAAGAAAAGACAACATTACCCGCTACTGTACCGAGAAAACTCATCGTCATTGTAATTAAGCTTATTTTTCTCGTCAGTTTCCTACACGGGTTCTCAAAATACAACGTAATAAATATCTGTCCACTCTTCCTGTCAGACGACGACCCGAGGAGCTCTCAAACCCTTTCCGGAAGCTAAGTTGAGTTAGCCTATTTGCCGATATCGGTAGTGACTCGATGAGCTGCATAACAGACTAAGACTCACCCCACCAAGAATTTCTGACCTCCAATTAGCTTTTGGATAGAGGGGGAAAACTCCAACAAGAACCTTTTTTTTATACTTTTGTCTTTTGCGAATCCCGTCCTCATTGAAAGAAATTGGTCAGAGGCGGCATCGCCTTTCAACGACCAATAATGGCGGAAGCAACGAAAGCACCTCCCCAGACGATTTCGATCCTGGGCGAGCCAAACATCGTCGTCGACCATGCCCTCTGGCCCAACTACATTGTCCAGGACCTGACTCAGAATCTGGCCTCGTCGACGTACGTCCTCATCACCGACACGAACCTCTTCGACACCTACGTGCCTTCGTTCCAGAAGCGATTCGAGTCGTCGAAAGCGAACCAGTCCGCCCGGCTGCTCACGTACGCAATTCCTCCCGGCGAGGCTTCCAAGAGCAGAGAGACCAAGGCGGAGATTGAGGACTGGCTACTGTCCCACCAATGTACGCGGGACACTGTCATCATTGCTGTCGGAGGCGGTGTCATTGGTGACATGATTGGCTATGTTGCGGCGACTTTCATGCGCGGTGTTCGTTTTGTTCAGGTGCCGACGACTCTTCTGGCCATGGTTGACTCATCCATTGGCGGAAAGACGGCCATTGATACCCCCATGGGCAAGAATCTCGTTGGTGCGTTCTGGCAGCCGCGCCGGATCTTCATTGACCTTGCTTTCCTGGAGACTCTCCCTGTGCGCGAGTTCATCAATGGCATGGCTGAGGTTGTCAAGACTGCTGCCATCTGGGATGAGAAGGAGTTTACTGTCTTGGAAGAGTCGGCCGCTACCATCTTGTCGAGCGTTCGCTCCAAGGGCCAGAACCGACTGGAGCCTATCAAGGATATGCTGAAGCGTATTGTCACTGGCTCTGCTCGAGTCAAGGCAGAGGTTGTCTCCTCTGATGAGCGTGAGGGCGGACTTCGAAACCTGCTCAACTTTGGCCACTCGATTGGTCATGCTATTGAGGCTCTTCTCACCCCACAGCTTCTTCACGGCGAGGCTGTGGCTATTGGTATGGTGAAGGAAGCTGAGCTGGCCCGATTCCTGGGCGTCCTGCGGCCGGAGGCTGTCGCCAGATTGGAGAAGTGCATTGCATCCTATGGACTGCCTACCTCGGTAAAGGACAAGCGAGTCGTCAACTTGACTGCGGGCAAGAAGTGCCCCGTTGATGTTTTACTCAAGAAGATGGCCGTCGACAAGAAGAATGACGGAAGCCAAAAGAAAATTGTGCTGCTGTCTGCCATTGGAAAGACACATGAGGCGAAGGCAAGCTCCGTTGATGACAAGTCTATCAGAATCGTCCTCTCTGATTCCGTTGAGGTAACTCCTGGCATTCCCTCTGATCTTCGCCTCACCATTACCCCCCCCGGATCCAAGAGTATTTCAAACCGAGCCTTGATTCTCGCAGCTCTCGGCTCAGGCTCTTGCCGAATCAGAAACCTTCTGCACTCCGATGATACCGAGTTCATGCTGTCGGCCATTTCAACACTGGGAGGTACTTCTTACTCTTGGGAAGAGGGAGGCCAGCTTTTGGTTGTCGAGGGTAACTCTGGCAAGCTCAAGGCCTCGGACGAGCCTTTGTACATTGGTAACGCAGGAACTGCGTCGCGTTTCTTGACCACGGTTGCAGCTCTGTGCGCTCCTACTAATACGGCGACTACCACAATTCTCACCGGCAATGCGAGGATGAAGCTTCGACCAATTGGCCCCCTTGTCGATGCCCTGCGCAGCAACGGAGTTGCAATTGATTACATTGAGAAGGAGAAGAGTCTTCCCCTCCGAATCAATGCCTCAAATGGCCTCGAGGGAGGTGAAATTGAGCTTGCAGCAACTGTTTCCTCCCAGTACGTGTCTTCCATTCTCATGGCTGCACCTTATGCCAAGAAGGCCGTCACACTGCGATTGGTCGGAGGCAAGCCCATTTCCCAGCCATACATTGACATGACCATCGCCATGATGAAGTCGTTTGGCATTGAGGTCACTCCTTCTACCACCGAGGCGGACACATACCACATTCCTCAAGGCGTCTACAAGAACCCCGCCGAATACACCATTGAGAGTGACGCCAGTTCCGCTACCTACCCGCTTGCAGTGGCTGCTATCACCGGAACTACTTGCACTATTCCTAACATTGGTTCCAAGTCCCTTCAAGGTGACGCACAGTTCGCTGTCAAGATTCTCGAGCCTATGGGATGTGAGGTTCACCAGGATGACTACACCACTACTGTCACGGGGCCCAAGTCTGGAAATCTCAAGGCTATCCCCAATATTGACATGACAACCATGACAGACGCTTTCCTCACGGCCACTGCCTTGGCAGCTGTGGCAACCGGAACGACGGAGATTGTTGGTATTGCCAACCAGCGAGTGAAGGAGTGCAACCGTATTCTGGCGATGAAGGATCAGCTTGCCAAGTTCGGAGTGGTCTGCACTGAGCTGGAAGATGGCATCCAGATCACCGGCAAGTCCAGGGAAAACCTAGTGACACCGACAGAGAGCATCCACTGCTACGACGACCACCGTGTTGCGATGAGCTTCAGTGTCTTGTCACTTGCGGCTCCCGGTCCCGTTTTGGTGACTGAGCGAGAGTGCGTTGGCAAGACTTGGCCCGGATGGTGGGACGTCCTTGCTCAGTCCTTCCAGGCGAGCCTCGAGGGTGTGGATACGGAGAGCAGCCGTGAAGTCAAGCCCAAAAATGCTACCAGTCTTCAGCGCTCCATCTTTGTCGTTGGCATGAGAGGCGCCGGAAAGACAACTGCTGGCAAGTGGGTTGCCAAGACACTTGGCTGGAAATTCCTCGATCTGGACCATGAGCTTGAACGCCGAGCTGGCATCACGATTCCGGAGATGGTTGGAGGTCCTCGTGGCTGGGAAGGATTCCGGGAAGACGAACTGGCGCTTCTGCGTGACGTTATCGAGGCTCACCCCAATGGATACGTCTTCTCATGCGGAGGTGGAGTCGTCGAGACCCCGGCTGCCCGGGAGGTCCTGAAGTCGTACGGCGCCAATGGCGGCCTTGTTCTCCTTGTCCAGCGGGATACTGATCAGGTAGTTGACTACTTGACCCAGGACAAGACACGACCGGCATATACCAACGAAATTAGGGAAGTGTACGAGCGCAGAAGGCCCTGGTACAGAGAGTGCAGCAACTTCCTGTACTACAGCCCACACTCACAGGACTCTCCTTCAGTAGGAGAGACTGAGATTCCCGATGACTTTACACGCTTCGTTTCTTTGATCTCTGGAAAGTCCAAGACTCTCGAAACCGTCTCCAAGAAGAGACAGAGCTTTTTTGTGTCATTGACGCTTCCTGATCTCAAGAACGCTGTAGACATTTTGCCCCGCGTTACTGCTGATTGTGATGCCGTGGAGCTCCGCGTTGATCTTTTGCAAGACCAACAACCACAAGCCGTTATGAAGCAAGTCTCTTTGCTTAGACATGTCACTGGAAAACCCATCATCTTCACCGTCCGAAGTGAATCCCAAGGTGGCAAATTCCCTGATGACAACAACGACTTGCGTCGTGCGCTCTACCGCTTGGCCCTTCGCATGGGTGTGGAGTACATTGACTTGGAAGTGACTTTGTCTGATGAGATTATCCAAGAGGTCAGAGATTCTCGAGGACACACTGTCATCATCACGTCTCACCACGATCCCGCTGGTACTCTGTCGTGGAAGAATGCGTCCTGGGTGTCTGCTTACAACAGAGCTCTGCAATATGGCGATGTGATTAAGCTGGTCGGCACTGCTCGAAGCGTCGAGGACAACTTTGACTTGATCCGCTTCAAGTCTAGGATGCTGGCAGCTCAGCCAACGCCCATCATTGCCCTCAACATGGGTTCTGCTGGAAAACTCAGCCGCGTGTTGAACGGATTCTTGACTCCCGTCTCACATCCAGCCCTTCCATTCAAGGCTGCTCCTGGACAGTTGTCCGCGGCTGAGATTCGACAGGGCCTAGCTCTTCTGGGCGAGATTGAGCCGCAAAACTTTTACTTGTTCGGCAAGCCGATTTCCAAGTCGCGATCGCCAGCTCTTCACAATACCCTCTTTGGTCAGGTGGGCTTGCCTCACGAGTACCAGCGCCTAGAGACGGACAAGGTTGAGGATGTGCTGGAGGTATTGCGCAGCCCGGACTTTGGAGGCGCATCAGTCACCATCCCTCTGAAGCAGGACATTATGCCTCATCTGGATGAATTGACCGATGCGGTCAAGATCATCGGTGCTGTTAACACTATTGTTCCTGCGACTGAGAAGTCAGTGGATGGCCGCAAGCGACTCACTGGTGACAACACAGACTGGCAAGGCATGGTCTATGTTCTCCGCAAGGCTGGTGTCAAGACCCAGTCTGGCAGTGCCAGCGCTGCTGTAATTGGAGCCGGAGGCACAAGCCGCGCCGCCATCTTTGCTCTGCACTCGCTTGGCTTCCAGCCCATCTACCTCGTCGGCCGAGACGCCAAGAAGGTTGAGAGCCTTGCATCGAGCTTCCCGGCTGAATACGGTGTCCAGCCCGTTGCCAGCGCCGCTGATGCCGAGAAGCTCGCCAGCAGGCCTGTTGTCAGCATCAGCACCGTCCCTGCCGACAAGCCTCTTGATTCAGGAGTTGAGGAGACCCTCGGCGCTCTCTTCAAGTCAACAACTGCTGCTCAGGGTGAGAGCCGCGTTCTCCTGGAAATGGCGTATAACCCTCCCCGCACCCCTGTGATTCAGATTGCGGAGAGTGCTGGTAACTGGACGACGATTTCTGGGCTGGAGGTTCTTGCCGCTCAGGGCTGGTATCAGGTATGTAAACCCCCTCTTTGATCTTTGACTTGCACTCTTCTTCAAGTTAGGCTTACTGAATCTAATACGTTCTCTTTGTCTTTAGTTTGAGACTTGGACGGGCATTAAGCCGCTTTTCAGCGACGCTTATGATGCGGTGGTGGGTAAAGAGTAAATAGCTACAAAAGTTTTTATTTCTGAAATATAAGTAAATAAGATTCTTACTTATGGTTTTGTTCCTTTTATTATAACAGATTAGAGATAAATATAACGGTTCTCTATACTTGAGCTCCCTTGTTTTATGTACTGAATTATACAAAAGTATTATTGTACTTAGGTATATAAAGTAAGTAATATTATTATATACTTATTTTATCTAAGTATTCAATATTTGAAGGAAAAAAAGAGTAGTAATTTGTAAGCATAACAATTGTTTCAACTTGAATTCCTCAAGGATTGCTACTTTAGCAGTTTTACTTTTTACAAGCCAAAACACCACTTGTAGAGATCAAAATAATAAGAAAATAGAAAGTTGATAGTGATTTTTTTATTTATTACAGTCAAAATTGTAAGAAACCCAAAAAATAGGGGCTACGGGGTTCGAACCCGTGCATCTCTCGATAATGGTGTTAAACTAAAGAACTTAAAACCATCGCCATAACCACTCGGCCAAACCCCTTTAGTTTTGCCCATTAGCATTAAATTTACTCTTATAAACTAAACGCAGGTCTGACGCAACCAATATGTAAAGTAATGCTCAACGAAGATAAATACATATAGCTGGTTAAAACAAAAGAATATTATTAATTTAATTTCCATCTTCGTATTTATATACACAAGATACTTCAGGAATTGGTATTTACACAATACAAGTCAGCATGCTGATGCCTAAGCGGCCGCTTGCTGTAAGATATAGGTATCGGTCACCGATTTTTAATGTCAGACCGGATACTAACAGAACTGCAAATGCCCATATCCTCACCGATAATTTGGACCCTCTCAAAAAGATAATAAGAGAAAGAAAAAGAAGCAAAGGGAGAAAAATGGAAAAGGAAGAGGGAATATATATAAGCGTAATATCTCTCTTTTGCACACTAGGTAGCAACAGGGACTTAACTCGAGCTATTTACCAGTGAATTAACTTATAACTTATATTTAGTTGTCGAAGATTTTGCTTAGACTTGATGCTGTTTGAACAAGTTGAGAATCACATGTGGATCCACGTAATCCTCCTTATGTTGCAAGCCGCGACTGGCCCGTTTACCGTTTATTATGAGAAAACAATGTCTTTTTTTTTCTTCCTCCTGCCTTTTCCCTACCTTAGATAGCTTTCTTCTAGTCTATAGAAATAGATCACCTAGGTAGTTCTTGTCAGAATAAAGCAAGTTGCAATAGTCTCTTTGACTTAAATTCTCTAGATTCCTCTATTATACTGTGAGTATCCTAGGATAACTTTCCAATAATAGCGGTTAAATTGAAAGAAACTTAAAACCATCGTCTCAACTATGCAAAAAAGACTAAGGTATGTACATTCAGCTTCCAAGTAACAAGCTAGCTGTAAGTGGCCATAGAGGAGGGGGTTTGGTCAGTGCTACAGTGAATGGTCTTCTGCTGGTGACCCTGGCCGGCACTGGAGCCAGTACCAAGAAGACAAAAAACAAACAAACGGATATTTCAGCTCCATGGATCCACAAAGACCATTACAACAGCCCTACATATTTGAAAGTGCCCAATACACCTTTTCTTTCCCGATTTACTTGTGCTCAACTTCCGGAAATCTTGTTTACTTTCTGTCACGTTTGGACAAGGCAGACTGCGATAATTTTACCTGCGATACATCTCTCATTGAATTCTTCCATCATGGGGCGAGCATACTGGAAGGACCTTCCTGATGACCCAGAGAAACATCCGCAATTTATTAGAAAGATCATCCAGCAGAGCGATAGCAATCTAGTCAAAGATATACGCCAACATGAGTATCAACGCAACTTGTCGTTTAGGTCAGATGACTATCCAACGAGTGTGAAGATCCATGAGCTCAGAAGCAAGATCGCTGCGGCTATCCAGCAGCGAGGCGATATCGCTCATAACCCATGTGGTCATTGCGAGCAAGGAATTGGTCCGTTTGTAGGCTGCATCCATATTCAAGGGATGCAGCATGGACGGTGCGGTAACTGTATATATGAAGGAGAAGCGTGTACTAATGCAGATGGTAAGCTGTGTTTTCGTTTCCGACTTCTTCAGTTATCCCAAGCTGACCTATTTGGCACTCTAGATGGCAAAAAAGAACTTGCCGCATTAAACATGAACTCTTCCAGGACAGGAACAGGGCCTGTGTCTGGCGCAAGTCATCGTCCCAGCCCGAGTTCTACGGTTCTTGAGGAGCACGCTTCTGGGCAAGCGGAAGAACAAGCCAGCGGGACAGACAATGCAGACTCTTATCTTGTTCTTGGAAATCTGGTGCTTCCACGCCCCCCTCAAGAGCTCAAGAATCGAGCAGAGAAATGGGAACCGCATCTTGCAAAGCTAAACGCTCGGAATATGGAAGGTGATGTTGCACTCAGCCACGTCTTACTTCGAGGAGTAATATTCTGACTGTATGAGTATTTCAGACTTGCGAGACCTTCCGATCAGAGATTTAGACAAGTCATTCCTGGAATTCCAAGCTCGGGAGTCAGATATATTTCAGTCTGTATTCCCAAAACCGCCGTCACCAGAGCTCCTAGTAAAGCCATCAGGCTCATTGGCATCTCCACTGGCTCATCGGTTGCATCAACCCTCTTTCACGACAGATTGTCGTGACAATGCAGAAACGGCAGATCCTTCTAATGGGTGTTTAGCCATGGTCATGGGGAATGTGTATACTCCGGATACGTTGGTATTTGATCACATTCATCGACGAGATGCCCAGTCGGAGGGCATTCAACAATATCCGCCAAGGCTGCTTAGCAGCCATGAAGATTTTACAAGGGACATTGCTCAATCAATGACTGCCAAAGTGGAGATCCTTTACGGAAAAAAGCTGCAGCAAAGAGTGCTACAGACTCAAGGTTTTGAGATCCTGCCTTTGTGGGGAGAGTTTGAAGGCGTAGTCCTCTTGCTCGCCCTCGAGTCCAGTTATGGTAATGCAGACCCTCGATACCGCTTTCGGCGTATCATGCTAGTTGCAAGCCATCCTCAGCACATGTTCTACCAATCTCGAGGCAACGCTACTGCATTGAGACAAGACAAAGTCATGGAGGCTGCCGCCCTGATGGTTTGTAGTGCTGTCCCCTGGGTAGCCAGGTATTTTTCAGATAAGCTTTGGATGAGTTGTGTTCCGTCTCATCTACAACTAAAAGAGATTCGGCTATTTGGAAAGATCTTGGGAAAGGAAGACCGAATACCGACAGTTCTTCAAATTGATGAAGACGAGGCTGGACAACTGGACAAACCGGCGGAATGGGGTGCTTGGGGTGCTTACTTTGATGCCCAGCCGCACAGTAACAGCAAGTTGATGGGCTTGATACCGCCAGCTTTGGAAGCTTTGCGCAAATCGGACTCCTCGAATACCTGGAACGAGCTCACAGATTTACCTGAGCCTGTCCTGGAATGGATTAGGGGACAGAAGCACGCTTTGTTCCCAGATGTCCCCTTATCCAACCTTTCAGAAATGATAAGCGCATTGGAGGAATTTCTTGAACAACCAATCCCCAAATCTGTCTCTGAGCCGGTAAAATGGATCCTGATAAAGGTACTGAGATTCCAGAAACAATTCTTGGAGGCCTCTCCGGGTCGAGGCCCAGAATATTTATACAGCACGTTTGGCAAGCCCACCATTGAGCTCAAATGCAATCAATGCAATCAACTCTTGGCCATTGAAAATAATCCGCTGTGGCTAGTCTATCGACCTGGCACCCTTTCGTGTACCACAATACGATGCCCTTCCGAGAGTTGCAAAAAGAAAACTCGCACCGCCATCCCTGTAGATGGAAGCATCCCTTCTTCTAGATCGATGCCGACAAAGCAAAGCCCGGCTCCGGCCGCACAGTCTAAAACCAGTCCATATGAAGATTATATCTTTCAGGAAGGCGCCGAAGAGTACAAGTTGCCTACCAAAGTGATATGCCGATGTATATTATGTGGAATAGACGAGCACATCGACGACAAACCGAGATGGACAATAGGCTCTCACTTTTACCTTGAGCGGAGGTTAAACTGCAAAAACAAAGACTGCCCCGCGCGAGGAGGGCGATTTATTCCAATAGAAGACATCGATTCTATTGCGGAGGATAATATCAGAAGTTTAAATGATCGCTGTAAAGGGTTGAGTCTCGAAACGCGCTTAGCATTGATGGCTGAATTGAAGCCAGGCTCACGAGAGGCAAGGAAATCGAGGAACTGATAGCGAGAAATGTAGCAATACTAGAAGAAGATAGTGATACTAGAGGAATATACTTGTATTGATCGTAGCAGAGAGATTCAACAGAGCAGGCTACGTTGCACAAGACAACTTCTCAACTGCAATGCCAGTGCACCAGTTGCGAAAAATGACGAGTTCCCCATCACCGGAAAATCACGGGGATGGACGATTGGCTCTCGTTTATACATGCCATGACCGGAAAACAAGGTGGCAAAAAAAGCTGCGAGGCAGCGCAAGGACCATATTCACCCCAATAGAAATATTGCGGAGGACAATGGGGGAGGAGTCGTGAGCATGAGCGCCATGGTGGCTCGAGCCTCAAAACGCGCCCCAATTGCCCCAATGTTTAATGGCTCCATTGTCAGCACGTGTTACGAGAGATAAGACGATTGAGGGGATAAATGTAGCGATTCTAGAAGAAAAAAATGTGATACTGCTAGATAAATATCGCGGGACTAGAAGAAACATATCGATACTACAAGAATACAGTAGAAGGCGTAATGGGTGTCGCGGTATCGGTACATAAGATAAATAAGGATACCCACATTGAGTCTGAAAGTAGTTTAGCGCCCAAACCCCTTTGTACCTCCAAGTCGTTACCAGAGGACGCAACAGACGCTGTTGCCTAGTACTAGCTGCAGGGCACGCCAAAAGGAACGGGTAGCCGAATCTCGAGCAGCCGTTGCCGGCCTGCGGAATATCGCTTTGAGGCTATCGCCACGCAAGGCCACGAAGAGGACCGATTCGCTGGCCGACCTGACGCCTCCAAGGCGGACCGCGCCAGCGTCTTCGTCTGTAAAGAGCATATCGCTTGCTGCCACCACGCCTGTTCTGCTCCGTGATCTGGTGCCCGCATTTCCAGAACTTCCTATACCTCGGCTGGGGCCATTTACCCCAACTGTGGTCGATGACCCCTCCTCCTTTGCTCTTGAGCCCGGCCTGCCAACAGTAGTTCTGGGCACGCCGATTCCTCGAAGCACTCAGTCTACGACTCCTGTTGTTGTGCTAAGTACACCTATACCGCCACAGGCTCGTCGTCGTGGCCGCTATGCCCGTCAAAGTTCACAGCCTCAAGAGCGACAGTTTGATCAGATAGTCGATCCGCCTTTTACCGGGGACCTCAACCTGCCTGCCCTCAGTAAGGAAGATCAAGGCCTTGGGCAGCAGTTCTATACTGCCTTGAATGATGACAAGATGCAAAGCTGCCCCCGTTGCCAAGAGCGTTGGTTCGATATGAAGAGAAATAGCTTGAACATCTGCAGCCGCTGCATTAGTCGAGACAGGAAGAGAGCCTCGGACGAGCCCTGCTTCTTCAGTGCTGCCAATCACCTTGACTTTAGGGAAGTCCCCAGCAATCTACCTAATCTGACGATAGTAGAGGAGATGCTTATTGCCAGAGTACACGTACATGTGAAGGTCTTACAGGTACGTGGCGCCCAATATAAATACCGCGGTCATGTTGTCCACCTTCGCAATGTTGGCAAACTGTTTGAAGAGCTCCCAGTCTTACCTGAAAACCTAGATATCATACTCCTACGGCCTCCTGTGGACGGCGACCCTCTCCTCCAGCCGCAGTTTGCTCGCGATTTCCGGGTGCGCCGCTCATGCCTGTTGATTTGGCTACAGTACTTACAGCGCACCACCAGGGCTATCGTGAAATTGTTGTGCGCGAGGATCTCTTGCAAAGACTTCCTGTTGACGGCAGCATTATTGATTCCATTGCTAGCCAAGTGGCTGACATACCTGACAGCGAGGCCCCTCAAGGCCCTGTTGAGGAAACCGCCGACGACGGAGGAGATCCAGGCGATGCCGACGCATCGGCAATCCCGAATTTGCAGGTTGCCGACACCGAGCTAAATGCCCTGCAATCCCGAATTTTCAACGGCACGCCTGATTATGAGAGTATGACTGTTCTTGAGGATATGCCGCGTAGCGCGCAGGCTCAGCACCCGATGTCATTGCCTTCCATTCGCAGGACCCCTATCAACGAATTCAACCATTCCCAGCCGCTGCTATCGCTCGCGTTTCCCACCCTGTATCCTGAGGGCAAGGCAGACTTTACGGAGCCTCGCCTGCGGAGCATCACGTACCAGGACTATCTTGCCCATGCGATGAGATGGCAAGATGGACGTTTTGCCCGCCATAAGACGTGGCCTTTCGTCGCCCTCAACACGCTGTTGCGTGCGCACGTCCGGAAGCGAAGCAACTACTTCGTCAAGCAGCACGAAGGCCGATGCCAGGCCCTTACACGCGCTGACCTAGAGGAGGCCATGGCTAAGCCTGACGAGCCAGAGGCTCAAGCCCTGATCCAGTCAATCACACGCCAAGCCGCTGTAATCAGAGGCACCCGGCCGTATTGGTATAAGCAAAGAAAGGAATTGGAAGCGTATGCCTATAACCTGGGCAGGCCTGGCCTTTTCGTTACTGCAAGTGCAGCTGATTACCACTGGGAGTCCCTGTACCGTCATATACCTCGATTCCAGGAGTGGCAAGCGGCTCCTGAGGCGGCCCGGCTAGCCCTGTCACGGCAACTGCTGCAAGACAACGCCCATATTGCTGCTTACCACTTCCATAAGCGTCATACGCTATTTAGAACCATTGTTGTGAAGCAGAAGTTTAACCTAATAGACTTTTGGGGTCGCTACGAGTGGCAGGGCCGGGGGTCCAGTCACCACCACGGCCTCTATTGGTTAAATTGCCATCCAGATCTTGATCCTGACAACGATCAGTCCCGCGAGCAATTTGCCCGCATCTGGGGATATCACGTGTCTGCTGTTAACCCAGAGCCTCAGCGAGTGCAGGCCCCTGGAGAAGGAAATCCGCTGACCATGAATCTTCTGCAACAGCCCCTCACGGTTCAGCTACTATCAATGGTAGTCAACCGTGTACAACGTCACCGCTGTAACAACTACTGTATGCAACTCAATAGGCGTACCAAGCAGGTGGAGTGTCGCTTTGGCTTTCCTCACGGTCAGCGCCTACTAGCCTCCCTTGACAAGCTTCCTCATTCAAAGCACTGGTGCTTCAGGGGCGAGCGGAACGATAGCCAAATCAACCACTACAACCGCTTGCTGACCGTTGCATGGCTGGCCAATACAGACATCTCGCCATGCACGAGCCTACAACAAGTAGTCGATTACGCGGCCAAATACTGTTCCAAGTCGGAAAAGAAGAGCGAGACTTTTGCCCAAATTGGGAAGGCCCTGATGCCACGGGTCAAGGACCAGAACCCCTTGATATCCTTCACGTCAAAGCTCCTGAATCAGCTAGTTGCTGAGCGGGACTACTCGAAGCAGGAGGTGAGCCACTTGCTCCTCGGGTTGCCGTTACAGGAGGGCTCACGAACCTGTCTATATGTCGACTGCCGTAACCCTGCTAGGCATTCCCGCTCCCTACAAATTGACGGTGGGGAGGTTGACGAGGCCCCCAACGTCTATGAAAAATACAAGCAGCGCCCAGAATCCCTAGAAGACCTGGTTTACGTTTCCTTCCTCAAATACTGGAACTTCCGTTCCAGGGACTCCTCCAAGTGGAAGCAATGCCTCATCGCCACCTTGACGAGCTCCTGACATATGATGGCCAAACTTTTAGTTCTCACGCGGAGGCCTTCTCCTACTGTTGGCAGCACCACAGTCATAATGATGACCATTACGGCCAACCAAGGGAGGCTAGCTTGCAGCCTCAAGAGGACCAATACGAGGCTTTGCCCCTGGAGGAAGAATATGATGACGAAGACTGGATGCGCCTCGCCGCGCTTTTGCCTGACAATCCCCTTACCCAGGAAGGTCTTGACCTGCTTAGCCGTCGCGATATCGATGTGAATTATGACTGGACACGGCATGTAGGCACTTATCCAGAATTGCGAGCCAGCTACTGGAAAGACCTTATCGCTAGCCACTCCATACGAAACGATATGGAGGTTCTTGGCCCTCGATGGCGTGATCAGCTCAACCCGCAACAACGGCTCGCGTACGACACTTTCATGGGCCACTTTCAGGCTAAAACTCCAGCTCAAATACTTTTCCACGTTGACGGTGGTGGCGGCACAGGCAAGTCCTTCCTCATCAAAGTGCTGTCGTCCCATCTGCAGACGGCTGCCCTACCAACACCTAGCCCTATTTGCCGCGTAGCGCCAACCGGCGTTGCGAGCAATCAGATACAAGGCAGCACCATTCATTCGCTACTACGCCTCCCAGTAGGTGGTGCCTTTAACGATCTCTCACCAGCGGACGCAGCTGCCCTTCAGTCCCGCCTACGGCACATCAAATACCTCGTTATCGATGAAAAGAGCATGCTGGGGCTTGAGCAGCTAGCGAGGATCGATTCCCGCCTCCGGCAGGCATTTCCGCGGCGTAGCTCCGAGTTTTTTGGTGGCCTGAGCGTCTTGCTCGCATACCTGGGCATTTGAGTTAACTCATGAGTTTCGGCCCTCTTAACTCACTCATATGAGTTACGGACAAGTCGTAACTCACAAAATTGGTCACGTGACGCGTGCGCTTCCCTTCGAGGTGCTTTTGTCTATAAATATGGATGAAGTTGTGGAAAGAAAAGTCGCCTACTCCTTGTGATGGATGCTTCAGCCCGTTGAAAAGTGTTGATAGTGTAGATGAGCGTTAGTCTCTGGGTATGGAAAGTCCGGTGTGCCATTGCAATCTTAGACAGTTTGGAAGCCTCACGTCATCGCAGGGGTTGGAGAGATTGGAACGTTAAATTGAACCAATGACATGCCAGGAAGTGTGGGTATGAGTTTGAGTTAACTCATGAGTTTCTGGTCGTAACTCAGACTCAACTCACGTGAGTTTTTTGAGTTTGAGTCACGAGTTAACTCATGAGTTGGCATTTGAGTTAACTCAAACGCCCAGGTATGCTTGCTCGTGGGTGATTTCTTCCAGTTACCACAGTCCGGCCAAAGCCGCTGTATTCGACTAGCACCAGCCTGTCTTCGTTGGAAAGGAAAGGACAGGCCGCCTACCAGTTGTTTGACCGCACCATCTTCCTGACTACGGTACAACGCCAGGCTGGTGATGAGCAAGCCCGGTTCCGTCAGGCGTTGCAGGAATTGCGTGAAGTTAAGTTATCTATTCCGTCTTGGAACCTTCTTAGCAGTCGGGCACAGGCCAAGCTAACACAGAGCGAGGTTGACAGCTTTAGCGCTGCATTGCGGGTGTACTCTACAAAGGCCCGGGTCAACGAATATAATTACGAACATATGGTTCGCCTCAACGCGCCAGCAATACAAGTGGAGGCAAAGGATCAAGGGAAAGGTGCAGCGCAAGCGCCAAGCGACAACGCTGGAAACTTATCCAACAAATTCCCCGTTGCTAAAGGCGCAAGGGTAATACTCACGATTAATCTATGGCAACCAGCCGGCCTAGTGAACGGAGCCCAGGGCACTGTGTACGATATCGCTTGGAACGCAGGTGCCGACCCATATAAAGACCCCCCAGCCGTCATTATGGTAGATTTTGACAGCTACGACGGACCTTCGTATCTATCAACTACTGAAGGCAGGAAAATCTGCCCAATACTCCCAGTCACCCGTGACTTCCTAGTGGGCAACGAGACCTGCGCTCGCACGCAGTTTCCCCTAATTGTGGCGTTTGCTATCACTGTTCACAAATGCCAGAGCCTGACGAAGGATCGAATAGTTACTGACCTCTCCACGCGCGACTTTCAGGCCGGTATTAGCTATGTTGCTGTCTCCCAGGTCACCTCGCTGCAAGGCCTACTCCTTGAGGCGCCTTTCGACCGTCAGAGCCTTTATAACCACACGCCCACGGAAGGTTCCTATGTCTGTGTTTTTTCATGTCATGCTTTTACGGCTAACTATATGGCAGGTATGAAGATGCGCCTCGTTGACCAACAGCGCCGTCAGGCTCAACAGCTAACCAACCCGCCATATCCACCAGCCTATCTTGACTAGACGACGCCTTCCTGTAAGATATTATTGAACCTCTCTGTACCTATATATAGTATGAAGTTAGACCGGGCGTATCTGGAAGCGGTGGACTCTCATTCAGTCAACTTATGCCCTTCACTGTAGAGTTGAAGCAGTAAAAAAAAAATACATTTAGCTGTGTGTACTGCTTTTTGGAGCGTTTCAGCAATTTTGGACCTAACTTAGAGGCGTAGACTCTAAGTTGGTGACTGAAAGTGGGACCAACGGGTAATACCATACTGTCCAGTTGACCCTCATCTGCATGTAATGGCTTCACGATGACATAATCCAGAAGCCTAGACCATGAAGCGGTCGAAGGATGGTGGACTTGATGATGGCGCACAACCAAAAACAGACGAGACGGACAGTTATTCTGCGTGGCTTTGGAAGTACAGTACAGTACTGTAGTGATTCATAATGACAAATTAGTTATATCGCGGCGAGGGTGACCAGCTTCCGCAAACGGCCAACAAGCTTTTGGAGTATGTGCATCCGCATTTCTTAATATTTCAGAGTGGGGGATGGCTTATTGAGAATGCAGCCTTCGCTCAAAGCTTCCTTTATAAAGGGCCCCAGCATAGCTAATCCTTGTCCACAGTAACGCAGGCTACGTAGTCAGACCTTCAGTATATAACAAAGTTTACACTAAGAGTATATACAGTAACGTTTACGGAAAGCCATGCCGAAAAGGGTTCGTCGTAAAGCGGTATTCCATAGCAACTAGGTTCGTCCTTCAATAGACAGGTGGCTTAGTAGGTCATAATCGCGGAGTTTAAGCAAGGTGTAAGGCTGAGAATAAGGGTGACTTTGGCAGAGCTTATCAAGAGGTGCGTAGTAGAACTATCCGATGCTGTCAAAAGGAAATAGTGGCCTTTTAACATCGGCGAGGTGGGGAAGCCGTTTAACGTTGAGTCCAAGGGGCTCGCCCGACCAGCCAATACCCCCTGTTCATGCAGTGGTTGACGGATTGAGCCATACGACTGATGTATGAGCCACGACGCATTGCACTGTATTGGCAACATTCCCCGCAATGTAATTCTTCATGGAGATATTGAGGCGCCAGGCTATAGTCTCTTACCTCTACGGGATCATGCGTGCCAAACCTTGACATCGGGGATGATTCGATGAAGGTGGCGTTTGGGAAATGCACGTTATATCGGCGACAAACAAAAGCAGAAGAGCTTTTGTCAACAACAGTGGTTATGAAAACAAGATGTCAAAATTTGGTAGGAAAGTGGAAGCTAGATTTTGCTCTAAAGTTTACTGATTGACGTACTGACGATGAGCTGAAGTGGAGATCCAACAATCATTTTTTTTCCTGACAAAAACCAGTCATTCGTCTCTCGTGAAACACCATAACCCCAGCAGTAGACGCAAAGCGGGTTGTCGCTAATAGGACTCCACTCAGTAATTAGAGGCGTTCCAAGCCCAAGCCCTTCAATACCACCAACATCTTGAGGGATCATAATTGTGCCACGCTTCTCAGGGACTTCAAATTCCGTCCATTTTCGCGAATGCACCTCTCCGTCGTCAATCGTCAGCCCCAGCTTTTTCTGTAAACCCCGCTCCACGACCAAGGAGGAGAGTTCTTTGAAGAAGTCATCATATTGATGCAAGTCAGAACCTGGGCCTATCGTGTATTCGTATGGTTGGAGTCTTCCGTCTCCATCGACAAAGTAATTAAGACCGCGAAGAGGAAGGCTTTTTTTTAGGTGTCATTGGGCCCGTAATCGAGACAACACCTTGAGTTGGAACTGTAATGTCTCTGGATACCATAACCTCGTCGCCTTCAGTATCGAAATGTTTGTGTACGAGCTTAACGCAGAAGCCCTGTGGCAATTGATGTTTGCGGAACAGAGATACCAGATCCGTAATATCTTGATTATTGTCATGTGGGACATTCTCATTGTCAATTATATACGGAAGACTGTTATGTGCCTCGGAAGGCAAGAAATCATCTTTGATAAGAGACATGATATTTGGCAAGCGAAAAGTGGCTTTGGTGAGAGTGTCCAATTCCTGTTAGGAAACACAAATAAATATGATATTACTTTCCGTATATGCAGAAGGGTTCTTATAGTTCCTAGCGCACGCTTCATCGTAATCTGCAATGCCCTTTGTAGCTGTCCAACATAACACAGTGACGTGTTCGCTCTGGCCGATGAGTTGTTTTGTCCGCAAACAGCCAATATTTGATCCATGTTGCATTTTCTCAGTCCGATTCTCCCCTTCCGGCCCTTCCGGGCCCTGCCTATCAGGTCTGGTTTGGGAACTGCTGGTTGGCTAAACGATATGGGAGTTCCCTGGCTGACAGTCTCTCTTTGATTCTAGGCGGCTGAGACTGCTTTTGAAAAATTTGCCATGCTGTCACACTCACATTTGTTTGGTGTAGGGAGGTTGACAGTGGTTAGCATAGGTGGTGGTAGAATTTACTGTCGCTTCATACCGGAACCAAAAATGGAGTTTACATCAAAACTAACCTTATGAGCCGCCAACATCTAGGGCGGTCGTTTGCCATCTTAAAGTTTACTCTAATAGCCACATCGCGATTAGTCTCTCTATGCCCGCTGCCCTTTCTGGCAGAGATGAACCCGTGGAGTAACCTTGTCAACAGTATCCTGCCACATTCAACAAAATCCGCTGCGGAGCGAACGCAATGCGACAAAGGCCAATCATCAAATTCGACTATCTCCTTGCTTTCTCTCTGTTTTGCCCAGAATTAGGAATGAGAAACTTTAATATTCCGTGAGTGAGTTCGTCTTTTTCCTTAGAACATATTAGATATAAAGTTTCCGATCAAAATAGGAACATCATACTTAGTCATGGCCTAAAGAAAAGGCTCAAATATTCTGCAGGGTGAAACACCCGCACATTACAGTATGCACGGAGAAATGGAACAGTTCATGCTCTCGACAACTCTATTAAGAACACAGCTATTTACAACGTCCCATGGAGTTCAACAGAAGACAACATTTCGTGGGGATGATGTTACAGTAACTGAGTGACACACATGGAGAAGCACGTAAGAGCGAATTTAGTTCGAGTTCGCGGAAACTTGGATTAGAACATAAGCTTAAAATGAGAGAACGGCTCGCTGTGAAGTCATTTGTATCTGTGCGAATAGTAATGCTCTAGGTTTTTGGCTTGGACGAATATGCCGAGCCTCTTAACCTTCAGTCAATGTATCAGTCTCGGAAGCGTGGCCGCTGATTACGTGTGCCAAAAAACCCTACACTGGCTCGAGTGCCACCCCGAGGCGAGGAGCTAGAAAAGTGGTGCACCCCTGCCATCTTGAAACTCAATCGACAAAGAACCGCGATGTGTGCCGGCTCAGCCGCCTAGTGAAATCTTAGTTCTAGACTTCCGCAGAACCCACTTTGGCTCGAAGATCTCGATCCACAACCCAGTCGCATCCAATTTTGGCACAAGGGAGCCTCACTCTTTTCCCAATCCAGAGTAGGAGGTTCGAATCCGAACCACCCACCATGGACAGCTGCATTCCTGACCAACGGTCTATATGACGCGTATACTTGTGTTTGACTGAGGGAAAATGCTCGAACAAGCGGAAATCTAGCGCATAAATATTATATAACAACCCGTGTGAATGCTGAGAATGCAGTTCAACGAAACATATTTAGTTTGTTTCAACCTCTGCACGAACAGCTACTATTGCTCACCTGTCCAGGCCCTATTAGTACGGGAAATGTCAGACAACAACGAAACGAAGCCAAACCTGGACAATCTCCAGGCCGATATCTGGTACGGTTATCGAACCCGTCAGTTGTTGATTCTCCATGGAAACTGATCCGCGCGCAGGCCCGGCTTGTTGAAATTTTACCAGATCTTTTACTTCTTCAATATCGACGAAGTCCCAAAATTCAGACCACAGCTGAAGATATTGGCCGATACGGTCATCACATCTGCGAGCGGCGCCCAAGCCATGCGAGACGAGATACTTGTTTCCAAGAGTGCACAGGCGGCGGATATAGCCACCCGCCCGCAGGTAGTGCCAATGGCCGGCGTCAACATCGCGTTTAGCAAGGTGGGTATGGAAAAAGTAAGCCTCCGAGTGTACTTTTCCATCGCGATGCGAAAGATACGTGCTAAATCTAATCCGTCGTATAGCTGGGGAAAGAAGGGCTGAAGGACGAAGCGTTCAATCATGGTCAATTCAAAAGCATGACACAAGGGGAGGGTGTGGGGCAAGATCAGGAGGATAATTGGCTGGAGACGTTCAAAAACGGAGTGGATGGCGTACTGCTGATCTGCGGCACCAAGGACAAGGTGGAAGCCCGACTGAAGCACCTTGAAGAAGAAAACCTGGGGTCATCCTGCGGCGTGAAGGTGGCCGAGGTTCTTCGGGGGGAGGATCTGAAATCGCGGCCCGGCCATGAACAGTGAGTGTGGACCGCTCGTTGAACTTCCCTGTCAGGCCATCTAACTCTGTCCCCAGCTTTGGGTTCAAAGACGGTATCTCTCAGCCTCTACTTAAGGGTCTCGACGATGCACAAGCCAAGCTTCCCAATAAACGACATATACTCACGGATCCAGGGTAAGTTACCCGGCAAGCCCCCGTTGGAAGGCCGCCGCAAACATTCTAACCAGACGGCCCTAGAACTATCATCACCGGAAAGGATGAGCCCTCTTGGGCCACGGATGGCAGTTACATGGCTTTCAGAATGTTGAAACAATTTGTTCCGGAATTCCGCAGGTGCGTTGCGGCACGTGGTGTGTCGTTTTCTTTCTGGCTGACTGGCTCCTGCAGCTTCGTGGAGACCGAAGCTCCCGGTTTGAATTACACCCCAGCACAGCTACGTGCCCGCCTGGTCGGGCGCTGGGAGAGTGGTGAGTCTGGGGAGCCACTTTGTCGTCTCCAATATAGACAGAATCTGAGAGTTGCTTGCAGGTGCCCCGGTGCAGGTGTTTCCCAACGTCGACAATCCTAAGGAGGCCGAGAAAAACGACTTTGATTACACGGAGGACCTCGAAGACAAAAACTGCCCTTTTGCGGCCCATATCCGGAAGACGAAGCCTCGTGGGGACCTCGGCGACCGCACCGGCTACGACATCATGCGTCGCGGCATTCCGTATGGGAAAGAATTTGTCAGCGGCGAGGAGAAGATGCCCGAAGACCGTGGCCTCCTGTTCGTCTGCTACCAGAGCAGCCTCGCAAAGGGGTTCCAGTTCATAACTAAGAGTATGCTTTCCCGGCCATTACCCAGACTGGAATTGTCGACCGTCTAACTCACTCCGTTCATTTCTAGATTGGATCAATAACAAACGCTTCCCACCGAGAGCTACCAGTGTAGACGTCACTCCCGGAATCGACCCCATCATGGGTTCCAGTCGCATGAATAATATGAGCATTGTCGACGGCAAAGGCGCGAGGAAGTCGATCAACTTCGACTCTTTCGTGCAATCCAAAGGAGGCGAATACTTCTTCATGCCGTCCTTACCACTTCTGCGGGAAATGGCAACCGTGTAGAGGCCTTGCGTTTTCCTTTAAATCCGGCCAGAGATGTTAATCGCAGGTTTCTGCTTTTAGTGCTGCCTCAGTTGTCCTCAGGAACCGTAGCTACGTATGCCGGATGAACCGTTGTGGAAAGTTGTCACAGTGTATTGAAACGCCCCGCCTTTGCCTTAGCCCGCCCCTATCTGCCTCCGCCTAGCCTGAGAATTCCAGGTGTCAAGCCTAGCCTTGCAAGCGGTGGACAATAAAACAGGGAAAATTCAAACGATCGGCACACAGTGTGACCACTACGCACACTAATTTTACCTTGCTATTAAATAAAAAAAGATGTTTGTATTTTCAGTTGTGTGCGTTGATTTATTTCTGAGTCCCTCTTTTACTGTCCACCGCTTGCCTTGCCCCGGGGGACGATCAATGCTAGCCTGCCTCGATAAAGGGGTTGGGGCTTGGGTAAATTAGGTGGCGCACTCTCCCCTGTAAAAGCATTGTAAACTTACTCTTCCCACCTATTTGCTAGAGCAATTCAAGTACCTTTAGTTAGTGACAACAGCCAGTGTCCAGCCACAATGTGGCTGGTTAGCCCGTGCCAAAGGTACAATCGTGCCGTGTTGGACGTCCGGCTGTGGCAACAACAGCCTTTGAGCCAAGGATTAAGGATAACCGGTGTGCCTGGCAGTCAATCAAGCTCTGTCGCCGAGGCAGAGCGGCTTTCCAGTTGGTAAAGAAATGAAGGCCTTTCCTTCCGCCCACGAGTTGCATTCCCGCCGATCACAGATGCGATCCTCTTGACATCAATCACGGAGGTGACAGAAGCGTATCTTTGAATGTGAAGTTTTTGGGTCTCGTAACCCAAGTCGTGGACTACAACGCGAAACGCGACGGCACAGAGCCGACGGAAAACCTCCAGGTTGAGAGCCATGCCGCATGCCGATGATCAAGTGGCAATCAAGCTAGCGGCGAAAGGGCGCCTTGGAGCAAAGGGCGTGATGATCCTGTTCTCCCACACCAAACTTCGTTGGCAGAGGAGGTAATCTTGGACGCACAGGAAGCCCTCCCAGCTTCCGCGGCACAGACCGTTACGTGTCGTGGATTGTTGAAGGGGTGCCCGGCACAATGCTTAGTGGCGGCGATCACTGGGAAAGCTCCTGGATGNAAAAAAAAAAAAAAAAAAAAAAAAGCCTTGCTGTGTGCAATTCTCACTGTACCAATATGCAGGCAGTAGGCTGCTGCCCTCACCATTTGATTCCTTACCTGCATCCAATTGAACACAACGAAGATAAAACTTCACCTCATGGTGAATTGAATCTTCTGAACATAGTGTAGACACTACTGAACCGTCATTATTAAGGTGGGATGCTCTGGAGTCAAGAGACGATGGTTCAGGACAAGTGTTGACTATGGTGCTCGGAAAGGAATTCAGTATGGCGGGAGCGAAGCCTTTATAGTAATTTTTGTAAGGAATTCCATATGTCGTTGCGGGGATAAGCTATTAACGAATTTCGTCTGGTCTGCGGTGTTTGGGAAAGACTTGGAGGTACAAGCAGTTTTAACGCTAACCTACTTTCAGACCAAAGGTGGGTCTCTCTATTTATCTTATCTACCGATACCGCGACACCCATTTAGCCTTCTCCTGTATGTAGATGATGGAAGAATACCAGACGTCAATAGCGGCAGAGAGCGTTAGCAGAGCAGACTACGGTGCCTAAAACTTCATCTCAAACAAAAGGGCCAAAACTAGCCTTATCTGTAAACTCGTATCTTTGAAATCAGCTGTTCTTATTGTACTATATTATTGTAGGCCGTCACGAATACTCACCGGTTCAACTTACGGTCCTGACCCCCAAACGCTCAAACCACCATACAATCCCACCGCAATGCCTCCCCATTTAAACAAAGATAAACCCCATCTTCTCTGTATTCTTAATAGCTCACTCAAAGCACGTGCTATGAAGCACATACTACAAAGCGCATGCTATTTTTAAATCCATTCATCCTCGTTTCGTCTATAAATGTATGGCCTCTTCCTCCTCTCCCCTCATCATACTCACTCCCATCCACCCTCAACAAGTACAACAAACAAATAAACAAATAAACAACAACATCAATCCTTCAAGATGAGATTCTCTGCTCTCCTCGCTATCATTCCCCTGGCTTCGGCCCTTCCTCAGGTCCCGGCTGCTGTCGAGGCCCGAGCTATCGAACCCCGAACTGCATGCTCTGATACGCGAGACACCTGCGTGGTCAAGTGCAGACCTACCGGGCTTGGCTACATCTACTGCGTGAGCAGCTGCAACGCCGCCTACTTGTGGGTAAGTTACAAACCTTTCCTCCCAATTCCATTAACCCACTTGCGTGTCTCTTCAGTAAGACTAAAGCTCTGAGCAGTGCAAGGCCGACAGCGACGACGAGTAAGCGTGATGCTTCAGAGGAGGGCTGATACTTAAACTGTCATGCCGACGTCCGTTTCCATGTCTCAACAATTCGCGTCTGTACCACTTAGGTGTTGATGGAATCGCCTACAGATAGTTCAAAGTGGTAGAGTCACATCTCCCAGGGCAATGGAGTACATATCTTTGTTCTACTTGGGATCTTATAGAGTAAAGCAAATAGATATAGATACGAAGAGAGTTACATCATTGCTTTTTCTTTGCCAAAATGCTTCTTCCACTCCGAAACTTCCTTTGTTGGTCTATTTGTTGCTCTTTTAGTGGACCAGGTCTAATGGTCCAGCACATGTATCTACTTACAGGAAATCTCTGCATCTTTATGCTAATGAGGCTATCGAAAACGAGATTCGTTGTCTTTTCCCGATATATCTGAATGAGATTCCGGACAGTGTATGGAAGTGATATTTCTGTAACTTGTTAATAAGTAGAGGCAAGAGATCCATGTGTCACAAAATTGGACATGCCGTTTCGTGAAGCGCCATGTCCCAAGTTCTATTCAACTATAGAGAGTCTATAACGTGATTGTAGCTTGGCGTGGGTGTAATATGTTGACGCCTTTTAATCACAGTACAGCAACAGCATGCGTAGCGGTATTGATACTTCTGCGATGCCACAAGTAGAGGCGTATCGTGCACTGCCGGGTATTGTACTGGTACAACTACTCCGTAACTCTGTTACAAAGCCTTCATAAATACATACAGCTTGCATCAAGACTCTTTCTTGATTTGTGTTTTATTTTGAGAGCCTTGCCATCCGCACAACCGCTGATATTTAGAGATGTAGCTTAGCTGTTTAGCGAAACCCCGCCTTAGAATATCTTCTGATACCCAAGCGACCAAGAAGGCTCACAGCCGAGAGCTCAGTGTATGGCGTGGTAGCAGAAGGTGCCATCTATATAGCAAATCTCAAGTACATTCTCCTCACTTATCAACGTAGCCTTCTTACTCTAATTCAATAGTTCCAGGGGGTTTTGAAGATCTATCAGATATTAGCTAGCACTCTTGAATCGAGAGGGAAAAAGGAACATACAGGTCATAGGTGACACGAGAAACTCCATCTACCTCATTGACAATTCTGCGGGCCATGGCCTTGAGTAAGGAGAAGGGAAACTCGTAAGGCTCGGCACTCATAAAGTCACTGGTTGTAACCGCGCGAAGGCTATCAATGAAGTTAGTAATGACCTAGTTAAATAGGGGGTGGGAGTTTTTGGTGTATGGTAGCTTACATGATGATATATCCATAGACACGAGTGTCACCCATCACACCAACAGCTATAAGAAAACAGCCAGTTAGCAACGAGACAAAATGATTTCTCAACTGGCGCATCTCTGAAGTATATACCCTTGCTTGTATCTAACCCAGCGTAGGCTTGGGAAATCTATTGAAGAGTCAGCTGTTGCTCGAACCATTGATAATATGTCAACTTACCTTATTGTAGATTTTTGCTTCCTTGATCATGGAGATGAAGATATGATCGGCTTGCCTTGCGATTTCAATCCGTTCCTTTATGATTGTTAGCTCATAGCTCATTTATGCCTTCGTGTTCTCTGCTAGCTTACAGGTGTGCACTCTCCGAGAATGCGTACGCCAATGCCGGGCCTGCGTAATTCGTAAAATCAAATCAGCTTGTTCTCATAGCTTGACTTGCTGCTGCAAGTGTGCCCTGCTGCAGGGTACTTTTGGCAACAACCAAGTTTATAGAGAATGAACTTACCCCGGGAAGGGAAACCTGTTAACCAGATCTTCGTGAATTTTTAGGCGTCGACCAAGGTTTCTGACTTCGTCCTTGAATAGCTCGCGAAGTGGCTCAAGAAGCTAGGGTACTGTTAGTCAATGTTTTCCCATTCAAAGATAGGTGGAGAGTCCGCTTGAAATGGGGAAGTATCAACTTACCCTTAAGCCTTGCTGTAATCGCCAGAGTCAGTCAAGATGCGGAACGAATAAGAATAACGGGTGCTTGGCTTACACCATCCATCATGCGCTATAACTTGGTTAGTGAAAATTTAGCAAATGGAATGAGGAATGAGGGCTGTGGTGTAGACGGTGTCAAAACGGCTCGTAGACCGATCGGCCACCAGCTGCCGTTTGACACCGTCCGAAGGAAAGTAGTGGGAGAAAGAGATACTTGCCTTGGGTAGACCCCCAACGTTGTGATGGGCTGCGATAAGAGTCAGCAATTGCAGGCCTTGGTGTCTAGTAGAACTACAAACTTTTTATCGTTGCTGAAGGGCCCTTGAAGGAAAGAGATTCAATGCTGCATACAATTAGTTACCCTTCTCCTGGTACATAAGCCACTCTACTTACACGTCCGGGTACAGCTGTATCATGGTTAGTTTTATCATTAATCTACGCATCATATCAACGGGTCATGAGCCAGGGGAGCATACCGTTCCCTGGAGAAACCAAGAAACCTTTCCGGCGTTGGGGGTATTCTCGGCTTCCTTCTCGATCCTGATGGCTTCTTTTTCGAACAAGTCGATCTATGGTTTAGTTAGCGCTACTGGAATTCTGAACTTCGTGGCAAGACTTCGAGGTCGAGAACATACAAAGGTTTCTCCAATAATCTTGCGCTTTTTCTCTGGCTCTGTGACGCCCTTGAGGCGGCCGAGGAAAAGCTCGGTGCCATCAATCACTGTGAGATTAATCCCGAGATGCTCTTTCAGCGTCTCCTTTACTTCCTTGGACTCGTCCAGACGCATCAATCCTGCCACATGTTAGTGTCGGTTGGGCTCATATGAGAGGTTCAGGCCATACCGTTATCGATGTGCACGGCATGAAAGCGGTCACCTGAATTTGTGTTAGTCTCAATACACATCCTTGACAGCCGTAAGGGTCTTACCGATTGCTTCTGTCATAAGCTTGGCTGCCACTGTGCTGTCCACGCCACCAGAAACGGCACCGATGACTTGGGCTTTATCGCCAACAAGCTTTCGAATTCGAGTGATTTCCTGCTCGATGAAGTCGCTCATTTTCCAGTTGGGTTGCGCTCCGCAAATGTCGACACTGAAGTTGCGCAAGAGCTCACTTCCACGGGGAGTCTGTTAGATGTATTAAGTTAGTTAAGTGATAAGGAGTGAAAAAGACAGGATGGGACTAATGCACATACGTGTTCAAGCTCAGGGTGAAATTGTACACCTGTTGGCATTTCAAGTCAGTCGGTAGGTACAGAGTTGATGATGTTGGACTGCGGTAGGTATGCAAAGCAAAAGAGAAAGAAGATGGAGGAGGCGAAAGGAGGAGGTACATAAGAAATAACGGACGGATAAGTGACATGAAGGATGGACATAGGGAGGAGAACTCACCGAAGATGGGCTTGGTCTGGTGGGCAATACCAGCAAACTCAGAGTTGGCCGTCTTAGCCACGACCACAAAGCCCTCAGGCAGGCGGACGAGCTTGTCAAAGTGGCTCATGTAGGCTGTCAGAGAGTTAGGTTTGTAGAAGGCAGGGTTGTTCTATATCGAGTGGGAGCAAACTCACCATGCATGGTCTCACCCAAACCAGCGAAGAGACGGTCAGCATGGCTGTCGACTTTGTGAATGGTGACGTCGGCATGACCGTATTCTGTGTAGCCGAGTTGTTAGAAGATGTGAGATCGGGAGCTTCGTGGATAAATCCAAACCTCGAGCTGTTCCACGAGCAACGTTCTCAGAGTTGCTCTGCCAGGCAATTTCCTGCGCGCAGTTAGTCGCAATAGAATGACATGACATGAAAAATGGCAGAACTTACCTGGCAACCATAGCTAGACTCACGGCATTAGCACCGCGCCATAATGGAGTTTAAATGGAGTCATACCAGATGCCTCTATAAATATGAGTCAGTAAGAGCGCTTTTATCCAACCAAGGGGTTCCAAGGCACTCACAAAATAGGAACACCGAGCTCAAAGACAGCAGGGTCAACGTCTTTTATGAATCAGTAAGACTCGTAGGCCGGATATGGAGGATATGGATCTTACGAGGCGAGCCTTCATCGTAAACGGAGGAGGGACCTATCCATCGAGTTGGTTAGAATCAAAGACGGAGCGAGACCCATAAAGGTTCCTACCTCCAGACAAGACGATGCCCTTGGGCTTCCAGGTTAGATCGGCGAGCTTGGCGGTGCAGGGCAGCATCTCAGCGTACACACTGAGAGCTCGCAGGCGTCGGAGGATGAGGTGCGAGGTTTGGCTGCCAAAATCCAACACCAAAATGGTCTGTAACGAATCGAATCAGTCCTGCACGTGTGTAGCTCGTAGGAATACGGGGATGCGGGTTGTTGGTGCTACCGGGGTAGGCCAAAAAGACTGAAATCTGGGAATTTACACACGTCGAAATTGTTGTGAGGCGCCTCGGCATCGGTATCGGTGGCCATCTTGTCTGAATGCTTTTATCCAAGGATGGGATCTAGATTGATTGATTGATGACTGGAAAAAAAATTGAATGCCCGCCAATTTTCATGGGTGCCCCTCCAGATTGAACGGGTTTATCTTATCTTATCTTATCGCTCAAAGACCCACTCAATTCGCCTGCTAGGTAGGTACCTGTACCTTAATTAACCATGATGCCGTTGCGTGTCACGTGTAGTATGTACAAGCTCTCTCGACATGGAACCGTGGATTTCAAGTTGACAAGTCGATCCCACAGGCGAATTCAATGTAAGTGTGTACATGTAACTTGACAACATATCTTTTGCAGACTTTAGATTGCACACGCATGCATCGCGCTTCAGGACTATAATGGTTGATTTCAAGGCTGCATATAGACAGTTGAAGTATTGATGTCATATGTAACAGTAGTTTCGCTATACTTGTAGCCCGAGGTCAGCAAAAACATTGGCCTGAATGTAGCCTCCCTTCACAAGATATCTTGCTTTGGGAAGTGTGTATGTCCTCGGAAGAATTCCGATCGGTAACCTTGGGCATGAGGATAGAATGCTGACGTCTGCCCCTGCTTCTTCAACCAAGTACATGACAATCTCAATGTCCTCTTGCCACCCACAAAGAGCAGCACCCAATGCACTGCCGTAATTTCCGTCATTCACTTGTGCATTCACATTTGCACCATGCTCTATGAGAAGCTTGACGCACTCCAGCGATCCTTTATTCGCTGCCGTTGCCAAGGCACTGCCGTAATATCCGTGGCTTAGCTGTGCATCTATATCGGCACCGTGCTCTATGAGAAGCTTGACGCACTCCAGCGATTCTCTAAACGCTGCTGCTACCAATGCACTGCCGTAATATCCGTGGTTTAGCTGTGCATTCACATTTGCACCATGCTCTAGGAGAAGCTTGACGCACTCCGGCGATCCTCTAAACGCTGCTGCTGCCAATGCACTGCCGTACTCTCCATGCTCGAGTTGAGCATTCACGCTGGCATCGTGCTCTAGGAGAAGCTTGACGCACTCCAGCGATCTTCCATACGCGGCTGCTGCTAGAGGACTTCCGAAAGCTACCCCTCTAGTTGCAGTTGCGAGATTAACATCTGCCCCGCATTTTATGAGCGCCTTCACCGAGTCGACCGTTCCCCGATAGGCAGCTGCCTCTAAGGCGCAACCAAACATGCAAAGCCGGCACTGGATATTTGGATCCGCTCCTGCTTTGAGAAGTATTTCGACCAGCTGCTCTACATGCTCAGCAGCAAAACAAAGATAACTTTGACCCTTTGGGTAGTTGTCAGGGTTGCAGCCTTTAGCTAGCAAGAATGTCGCTGTTTCAACCTGTTTGCTATCAAGGGCCTCAGCTAGCGCACTCCCTAGGTAGCTTTCCAAGGTTCTGTTGATATCGCTTCCGTGGTTGACAAGATCCGAGCAGAGACTGCGGTGGCCATATTTGGCAGCAATTGAGAGCAAATCCATTCCTCTGCTATTAACCATCAACACGTCGATATCTTTATCCCACCAGCCTTCAAGCAAAGTGTGAAGGCCCAAGGCACAAATCCCAAAAATGGATATTTCTGCTGGAAATAGATCATAGGAATACAAATTTCCAGGTCCAATTCTTATATTAACGTTAACGTGTTGGCACCATGCTTGATACTGTTGGCTTGAAGATTTCTGCGGTCCCGCCGCTCCTAGAAATCGTTTCAAAACCGGTGATACTCGGTGGTGGTCTGCAGCACTGCGCGCATGCCACACCCAAAACCTCCTTGCATAATCTTGAAGTGGATGTTCAAAGTTGAGATAGTCATCAAGGTCTACTGCACCTAATGGTAGATTCCTACTCTCGTTCCAAAGTGGTATTCTCCATTCCGAGTAGCAGTCGATCAAATAAGAAATCAGCAAGATTGCCACATCTTCGTGTGCCCTGGTCGTCCAGTCCTTGTGTTTGCCCTCAAAATATTCTGCGGCTGACGCATGGGGGAATTTCCACACACCCAGCTTAGAATCTCTGACAACCAAATTGCGGCAGATTGACTCCAGTGTAGATTGTGTGATAGGACTTGATAGTCTAAGGGCTGCTTCAGCCTTGTCGTCTGTCTGAGTTTCCAGTCGAATCGCCCACAGAAGCACATCGTTGGAAAGTGGCTCTGCAGCGCATAAGACCCATTTAGTCGCTCGCTGCAAAATGACCAACTCATATCCTTCATTCTGGGAATAAATCTCATCATAAGCGTGCTCAAGACTCCCGGGGAGCTTCCCCAGTCTCTCAAGTATACTTTGGTCGGTTTTAAATCTTTTGAGCTGCTCCCACTGGAGATATGCCCATCTGAACCTGAAGATGGATATTAGCAGAGGATTGCTCAAATAAATGGAAGCAGCGGCTTAATACTCACATCCCATCACTTTGGTCGGTAATCGTGCGCTTGACCTCTTCTCTGACGCCTTGTGAAACCGATTCCCATTCTTCACCAAATCGTGTCATCTCTTGTTCAATGTACTTTTCGATATCGCCCTTATTATCGGAGGTGCCAATCTCGATTAAACTTTCAGAGCCCAGACTTCTTTCAATGTCAGGTTCTCTGCGACTAGCGATGTAAACCTTGACTGGGCGCTCAGCATCCGTAGCAAGGCTGCGCAGAACAAGAATAATATCTTTCCTAGCTTCTACTTCGCATTCGTCAAGAGCATCGAGTACCAAGGTAGTCCTTGGATAGGACTTGAGAAGTTCGGACAGCGCTGCTTTGCATTCGGGGATGCTAAGTTGTCTCTGCTCCTTTTTGGCCTTGCGGTATAGATCGAAGATGCTCTTGTGCATTCCAGTTGGGTAATGATTTAGTTGGGCAAGTTGGTGAATATAGCTTTGGTAAACGGATTTTGGATCTCGGCGAGCTGTATCTGAGCGGCTGCAGTAAAAATAGGCAAACCCTTCGTCGTTTTTACCTTGCGCTTCTTTGTCAAAGACATAGCGGTCAATAACTTTAGAAGTAAGATAGGATTTCCCTGCGCCAACTATAATAACCAGTCAGCTAATCATAATCATATTCATGGCGTTAATCTGATTAGATCTCACGGGCTCACTTACTACTTCCTTGAAGCCATAGAGTCGAAGAACAGCTTGACTCTTCCCATTTAAGAAACCTCCGGTGTTTCAACAGCCACTCGCATGTCTCGGGCGCTCTAGTCTCTCTCTTCTCAAAATGGTGATCCCCGATGGGGATGGCACTTATGTAGTCCAAAGCCCCGTCTAGGCTTTTCTCTTGGAGATGCTCGACCAAGGTTTTCACATTCTCATCAACGCGTCTTAGTGGTGCGCTAAGACTTTGCAAAAGATCGTGATGCTCTTGTAATTTGACGGCACCACAAGCTTGGACTGTCATTGATAACTTGTGTTCGTGGTTAGATAGGGCTGACACCAACTCTGCACCCTTTCCGGGGGACATGAGGGCGTGGAGAAATTGCCGTCTTTGTCCCTCTTTCAATCGCTCAAGTGCATGGCTTAGAAGCTGAAGCAATGCCTTATAAAGATTTAAAAGAACATCTTTCAGGTCTCCTGTTGCGTCGCTAGGGTGCGCATCTTGAAGATACACTATCTCATACACTGCACCCCGTCTCATGACGCTGAGCACCTTTTCAGCACATCCGAAGATGGCTACGAGGTCTTCACATTGAGCTACATTTGTCTTTGTTCACCGTTAGAAATAAAAAAATTTGAAATTGCGCATGAGCTTACCTTCATGAATACTTTGAGGGCAGACCAGATAATGGGAGACGGCGCGGGAGCGAAGTTGACGGCAATATCGCCGATTGTCACCAACCACGTTACTGTCTTGTTGGCATAATCTCTCCAAATAATCTCACGGTTACCTATCTTGAGCTTCGGAGTACTGCCCTTATACTCCTCTTCTCTTTCTCGAACAAGCGTTATAAGGTCCTCGGTCCACTGTTTCCCACTTCCCGGTTTGAGTTCGGAAGTGCCTAGGATCCAATTTCGGGAGTTTTCGTCCAGTTCTTGATAAGCTCGAGACCATAGGTCGGACTCTGAGGCTGCTGTGTCTGAAGATTTGGCGGGCCTATCTCCTACGCTGCTCGTCGGCCTTAGGTTGGGCGGTTGAGACGAATCCGTCAGATCGGATTGTTCAATTGTCTCTGCACCTTTGATAGGTGGCTCTTCTATGTTTAGTGTTGCGTTACTTGACTGGTGAATGTTTTCTTGAGAACTTGGTTCTTTTTTTCGCCGGAAAAGTGAACGCAGCCTCGAAGATTTTGGTTGCTTCCCGTCGCCCATCGTGAGATAGTTAGACGTCTTATCAAGTGTCTAAGTAGATACTGAGAAAGCGCGAAAATGCAAAATAGCTGATGGAGACGTAACAAAAAAAAAATAGGTACCCAACTAAGCGAATTGGGCAGAAACAAGGCCTGAAAGCTCAACAGCCAATTACATGTACATACATGTATGCAAATACCTGCAGCCTCGTACGGCCGTGTGGCAAAGAGTGCAGGGGTATGGTGCCTGCACACATGCAAATATGGCAAAATGGATGTTCGATGCTAGTTGCGACTTCATAAATACAAACATCGATCGTGACATGCTTGAGGTAGCAACAACATCTATACACGTAAATGGACACTGCGGCCGTGATGAGCCTGATACCTTCATGCATCGACTAATGCTTGAGACACAGCGGCTGTCACCTATTGACATCATCTCTCACATCAGATCCCCGTTACCGACAGTTCAGTTAAATATATTACTGCTATATACTATCATACAATTACTTATCTTAAGCTATGCTATATATATACGTATTATGCGTGTAATTTAAATGAGAGTTATAAGATATGTAGTCTATTTCCTATTTAATACTCTATGCTTGGCGCTCATGCTCCCGCTCTTAGCGTAGGAGGCCCAATTACAACTTTTCTTCTCGAGCCCTCTTAAATTATCCACAGATGTCAGCCCAGCAACAATATCCATCCCAACGCTTTCAAGGATCTGTGAAGCCATTGTTATCTTCAGTGAATCTTTGTAAGGTGAGTTCTATCTGCAAAAGACAAGTTGCAATCTCAGTAATAATATTTGGAGTCGTAAAACATGAAACGTTGTGACACGCTATGAAGCGTTTCGCTCAAACCAGTCGGCCGCAAGTTGAGCGTTGGTAAACCAGCAACTTCCTTCCTTTTACCCAAGTTTGTGCAGTAGGGAAGGATGGCACTTATTACATCAGGAATATGGTAACCCACGTCCCAATTGACTTTTCGTCTGCGAGCTCATCGTTGCCATCTAAAGGCGCGGTCTTCTTAATGTCTGAATCCACATATATCTGCGCATCGTCATCAGGCCCAATATTTCCCCATGATAAAGTCTGCAGCGTAAAGGAATGCAAGTGTTTAGCAATATGACTGTCTGTTTCTGGCTGTAGGAGAGGCGTGCCCCTGACGCAAAGTGGGCATGAGACAGAGGGGACTACTGCTTGCATCAGCCATATCTGGCAAGTCAATCTCGTCATATTCCCCGTTGTGTTCAGTCACTATGTAATCATGCCACTCTTTTTTCAAGCTTAAACTCGAATTCAGCCGGATTATCTGATTCAAGCTAGCAGGCAACACAAAACCAGCGAGGCACCCTATGGCAGTTGCTTATATGCCTCTTTCATTCGTCCGTCGTGGCGTACATCTCATCGGACTTCTTGCAGTCTCCATAGACGCAAACATACGGATTCAAGCCTGCGGCCACGTGGCTACTATTGCACTTTAGAGATGCAGCAGTAGAAGGGACACCGGCTGAACGAACCGTCATTTCTTATTCTTGTCATGTTTTGCATAAAAAGAATTCAAGGCTTGAGCACAATACAGACACCAGAAGCCCTTATCTTCAGCGGTAGGGCACTTCAGATAATCCTGTTTAAGCACTCCATGGGAGAATTCTGTACTAATCGACCTTTTTTCCTGCGTTCTTGGCCGCTGAGGAAGGACGAAGCTACTACCAATCCCTGTTGCAGGCTGCTGAGATGATAGCCTCGACCTGGATCTTTTTTACTATTTCTTTTTACTATTTTTTGCTCAGGCGGTGTAACATCACATGCGTATTCCATCTTAGCCACAAAATCGTGATCCTGGACTTGGATAAGAGTCTATCGAGTGTCTCAAGTTGGCTTTAAGATGACGGTTGGGTTAATGGTTAGACCTCTTTTTGGGCCATTGTTGGCTTTAATCTTCCGGCGATACTTGCTGAAATAAATTTCGAACTGCTTTCGTCGAATCAAATTGGTCCGAATGAGTCGCTCTTGGACAAGACTCAGCCTCTGTGCATCTGTAATATACATAGGTAGGTACTTTGCGCTGTGGCAGAAGGGACCGGAAAGATGGTTAAAAGAACCATTGAAACCAGATACAATGGCCGTCACCCATATATTTATAGCATATAAACATTCCGAGTTCATGGTTCGTCTGATGAAATTAGTTTACATACTTACGCGATGGGCGTAAAAACATGAACATTGTCCCGCAGTCCATGCCAAAGATAAAGATGACTAGCAACAAGCCCCCACTTGCAATCAGCTCAGATACATGTAATTGACAGAGGATCGCCGTCGGCCAGGGGCTAATAGCCATCAGCCTTAACCCTAGCACAAATGGAAAAGGGAAGCCCTTGCGAGCCAGCCAATCATACTTGCTTTCTTGGCCATAAATAGCTGTGAGATGTATTATAGATGCAGGGATGAGAGAGAAAGCTTACAACTAATTAAGGGGCCTTGGGGAAAAAACCACTACTATATCCCCACTTAGCTTTTCCCAATGCTCTCAGCTCTGAGGTATTAGCAAATGTCTCGTCGTTGAAAATGGTGATTTGTGTAGAATCCGTCACTAAGCCACGCAACCCGCAGGCTAAACATCGTTGTCTCCAAGGAAGCCAGCTCGTACGTTCTCACCCGACTAGCTGAAAAAGGTCAGGTATGCCAAAGGAACAGATCATCGGGGCAGGGGTGACTGTGGAAAGTAAGATTCATGTTACGAACTCGTGCCTATCGGCGAATTACTCGTTAATATTCTCTTCTTTGGATTTTGCAATACAAGTACAAATACACCCCCTTGAGCAGACTTGACCGTGTTGCAACGTAGACCTAAGCATTTCCCAATTACTCCTTCCCATGTGTTCCAATTCTGTACCAACCGATTTCTTTTTCGTTGACATGGCGCAACAAGACTATTTTATTCATTTCGGCCCAAATGCTAATTGTACTCTAGAAGTAAATGCTATTTGTCCATTGCCAGAGAGCCAGCATCTGCTAACATGTAACAAAGTTGTGTAGTATCGATGAGAGTGTTTACGGTTACCGACCGTCACTAGCCGCAAATGTTATATTCGCCGGACTCTTCACGCTCGCCTTAGGTGTCCACGCCTATCTCGGCGCGCGATGGAAAACTTGGACCTTTATGTGGTGTTTAATTCTATCCTGTCTTCATGAGATCACAGGCTACGTCGGACGCATCATCATGTGGAATAACCCATGGAGTTTTGTGGGTTTCATCATTCAAATCAGTAAGTACCATCTTCGCCCGTTTTCCTCGTAAGCTGAAGTCCATCTTGTCCACTTTGGGTCTCTAATCAGTTGTAAAGTTTGCATTACGCAGGCACCAGTCTTTTATTGCGCAGCGATATATGTCACCCTGCATCAAACGTAAGTGTTGAATAATGTTGCATTCGGAGTCAGCGAGCGGAAATCTCACTGATTGGGCATAGAATCGATCATTTTTCTCCGTCGTTGGCGCGTTTCCCTACAAAAGTCTTGATCTGGATCTTTGTTCCTTTTGATGTCACTTCACTTGCGCTTCAGGGAGCTGGTGGTGCCCTGTCCGCATCATCGTCTGGCTCCAGCCAAACTGGCGTCAACATTGCATTGGCTGGATTAATTCTGCAAGTCATCACGCTGGTTATATTCTGTGCTATATTCGGAGACTTCTTTTTCAGATATGCGAGATCGTCCAAGGGGCAGGTGCATGGGCTAAGGGAAAAGCTTTTTGTTGGCTTCTTGTCCGCGTCTGTTCTCAGTACTCTAGTCAGGTGCATCTTTCGTGCCGACGAACTGAAAGATGGATATAATGGATCTACTGTCAAGAACGAGGGACTATTCATTGGACTGGAGGGGGTGTAAGTGTTGCTCATTGTCCTCAAAGCCGCGCGACCTTTTTAACGCCTCTAGATTGGTTATATTCGCCGTCTTTTGCCTCTGTATTGGGCACCCGGGCTTCGTCTTTAAGAAGAACAACCGTATGCGCGAAAATTCCGAGACCAACAAAGATGCAATGGTTCCTCTTACGGAACAAAATTTTGCAGATGAAGACATACACAACACATCCTATCCTTAGTATTACCGCCTGCATCTAAGGATACTGGTGGTAATACGATCCTAGATCCGACCTTTTCTACTATATAACCCAAGTTTTATTACATCAACATATCGAAGAAGAAATTGGTTACCGCGAGCATGCAGCTTCACCTTACACACTCTTTTTATTCCAGTTTAGATAGATAGATACACTGACGCACTTCTTAATGTCAGCAAAAAGGTATAAGATACAAGTCTGACCTCCGCTAAAAGCTAAAAGCCTAGCGCGCATGAGCATCGCATGTCCCAGAAACAACCAGTGTGGACTATGAAAAGTTGCACCAGCTTCAAAAAATAATAAATGAACAATTTCCTTGCATGATCTCAATAGTGAGGTTCGTGAGTCATCTGTATCGATGAAACAGGGCCTTCATCAATTAGTTCTACTGGTCGATGATCCTTGGCTACATGCATCTAGGTGGCATGGTCTCTATCGACAAGATTGTTTGTTTCTAGGTCTCTTCCTCGTTTCATAGTACAGATGTGGCAGAGAATTCATTATGCCGGAGCGTAACGCTGTCTTCCATCTGTGATATGCCATCCAGTCAATACAACAGGATGTTATTATAACGGAATCCTGACTAGCTAAATGTAAACCTCCTTTTACAATGTAGCGAGAGTTACGTTATACGATGACGAATGTATCTAACTATATGTATGTATGTCACCTTAAGGTACCGACAGACAGCTCTCATCTCATGTATATAGCCGTCAACATCATCCCGCCAAATCGGAACTCCGTTGCCAACGGCTTCATTAATCTGCCGCTGCCGCGTGCTAGCAGTAATAAGCTTATCTTCATGAGTGAGCTCCCGGACAGGTCCACCTGAACTCCGGCAATCATCCCCACTCCAACTCCGATACTAAAAGATGTTCGGAGATGCAGTCGCCCGTCTTGGCTGACACTGAATCTCGACATTCTTCTTACCGAATCATTTTCATTATTAAAGCATATATAAAATTTGGCATTGATCAATGGCTCCTTGGCTCTGTCATAGCGCTGACTATATCATCCGTTTCTGAAGGTCGCTTCCACGTAGAACGCATCCCCAATTTGGGGGCTGACTTACAGTAGAACCAAGTCGCATTATTAAAAGCTAGAGCTCCTGCAGCGTATACGAAATGTGTTCAAATCAAGACTCACTCTAACAATACTCATTTCACTACCACAGTACTCGTAAATGAGATACTCTGTCATAACTTGTTCGCGGATACGATTATTGAAACAACCATGAGCCCGACGTTAACCGTCTCTACACAAATTGAGATCGCAGCAACGCCAGCTGCAGTTCGATCAGTGGTGCGTGTCCACCTTATGTGTAGCAGCCAAAGACTTAACGCGGGGGAAAAAATGCATTAACACCGAAGATGGTTTCTAGTTCATAGACTTCGCTCGGTATACGCAATGGCAGCAAGGATGGAAATTTGAACCAGGCGACTCTGATAAGCAGCCATTGGACCTGAAGCCTGGTGATGGGCTCAAGGTCAAAATGAACGGAACTTCGATGCAACCAATTGTCATGGTAGGCCAACCGTTTGCTATTACAATGGCATTATGTATACTAACTCGCAGAAGGAAAACTCAGCCAATTCCTTCCAGTGGGAGGGATCGCTGCTCGGGCTTATGAAAGGTGTGCATCAATTTCATTTCACCCCAAGTGAAATAAATCTAGGAGGTACTACATTCACCCATAAAGAGGACTTGAGGGGGATTTTAATCACTCTCTCTTCGCCCTTGTGGAGTTCTGGGGAAATTAGCCCAAGCTCTTGGAATCAGTTTAATTCAGATTTAAAGAAGGAGGTCGAGAAGTCTTTAGCATAAATTTTAGAAGCTTTACCCTTTAAATATCAGGCAGAGGTCATGTTAATGGAGTTTGAGTACGAATGAGATGAGATCAAGTTCTTCGCCGTGCATGCATATACATGTACGCTTCATGACATTCCCAACCCCTCACTGGATGATCGGCAACCAAAATAGCTCAAAGAATGCAAGTCGACTGCACAATACTCTTTTCCTTTGAACGCTGATTCGTATCTGCTACCATCATCTATACTCAGTTGAAAACACAGATAAGCTGTCTGTTTCTGGAACATCAAATACCAGAAGACTTGGGGCCAGACCAATATTTCGGACCCGTCAACTTGCCAAACCATGAGCCCATGTGCGTCTTGCGTCTCCGTCACCTATTCCAGCATCGTTCCTGGAGCCATATTTTATTTCGATGCGGACGCTCAGAATAGAGATGAATGCAGATTTTGTGACCTAGTTCGAGGATCATATTTGGAGTACCTCACGACCAATCTCTACTGGATCTACAATCCGCCAAAGGCAACGCTGCAAAAGACAACATCACGGCATCTAATAAAGCTCACAGTCGACGATATTGAGTTAGTATCACCGGATGAGCACCAATGCAACTTGAAGATTGCTCAAGCCACACTCCAAGACACTTGGTACGACGATGAAGTCAAAAGAGCGTTCTATTTCCACAGCAGCCATTCTCAGGGTATATGCAGATTGGATCATGTACCTAATCATAAAGAGAACGGAGTTCTTTCAGCCTGGGCCAGCCTTGGACTTGTTCGGAGCTGGATCGAAGACTGCGACATGCATCATACAAACTGTCAGCCTATTGTTCCTGCAGTGCCTTCAGAGGCACTTCATCCTTCCACAAGATTCATTGATACAATTTCTGAATGTCTGGTCTCTCTTGACGAAATAAACTCGGTGCCCTTCAAATTCGTGGCCCTCAGCTATGTTTGGGGCGTTGACTACCAGTTACAGACAACCTCTGCCACGCTCGAAGATTTCCGGAGGAAACTTCCAGGACTGCCAGCCACCGATGACAATATGAGGTTGCCACTGACGATCAGAGACGCTATGGACGTGACACTCACCATGGGGCATCGCTATCTGTGGGTAGATGCGCTTTGCATAGTTCAAGACTCACCGTCGGACCTTGAGGTCCAGTTGGCACAGATGGGCCGTATATATGGCTTAGCTGCTCTCACCGTTGTTGCAAGGGGCGGCAGAACCTCAGATAGCGGTTTGCCAGGCATGTCCAGTCCACGAAATTGGTTGAGCGGTGGGAACATCAATTTTGAGATGAATGGTACTCTTAGTATCGGCTGTTGGGATGTTCTAGACAGGAATTACGAGAAATACGAAGAACAGCATGGAGTTTTCGCAGACACGGCATGCTACATGTGGCGCGGCTGGACTTTCCAAGAGCAGATACTATCTACGCGAACTCTTGAGTTCAACCGCCGCCGAATGGCATTTTGGTGCGGACACCCAGAACCTGCTGTAGAATGTGGCACAGCTCCGAGGACGGATATGAGAGACGCTCACCACTTCCGCAGTGCGGTCAGGAAGTATAGAGAGACTGATGGCATAGTTCCTCCAGGTCAGCCGGCTTGGGAGTACATGACTAAAGACATGCTCATTAGCCGATGGAGGACTATTCGTGAACATTACTCGACGAGGCACTTTACTTATCCCGGTGACCGCCGGAAGGCAGTGCTCGGGACAGCCTCAATGCTGAGGCATGTCATTGGCGATATTGATAGCAGCGGTCACGTCCTCAGCCAACTTGGTTCTGAGTTGCTCTGGTATAAAACATTGCATCCCGGTTGGAACGAAAGTCAACAGCCAGCCATCAAGTTCTCTTATTGCGCAGTCCCATTTGGCACGTTTCCGTCATGGTCATGGCTCAGTCTGTGGCCGCTAAATTGGCCCAGCGACTATAAACCGTTTCCCGAGGTAGAATTGCAATTACACGATGCTGGAGCTAGTTCTTTACTTGAGATACGAGGGCGAACTCTTGAAATCAATGTGATTGAAGAAGGGGGAGATGGCGAAAAGGATAAAGTCAAAGCATACTATGAAGACGGAACTGATGCGAAACTCGAAGTGTACCTTGATCGATCCTTGGAGGCACAGATGGTAGTTACGTGTATTCCTATTGCTTCGGTGATACATAGCGGGAAATCGATGCCGAAATGGTGTTATGGGATGTTGCTGCTTCAAAATGTTGACGAGTCGGGCTATAGAAGAGTCGGGGCTGCGTTTGTGGTGGAAGCTCGAGCTGGCGAGTTCTTACGGCGTATTGAGTCGGACGAGGCCCGCCACCTTGTGATGAGGTGTGTATGATCCTAGCAGCCTCCCGTCATCTTCCAAGTCACATCGAAGATATCAAGGCGCCGCACATAGATGTGGCCTCCCAGCTTTACAGTCATTCATAATTGTTCAGAACTCTTGTACATCTGAAGCAACACTTACCACTTATATTGAACGCCAAACTTGCCGTCTAATAAACTGCTGCCGATGACATTCTTTGGACACATGGATGCAGATTTTGAGGACTGGCCTGCTACTCGATTTCCCAGGTCGGTCGGTTATGGAAGTAGTCACGCAGCAGCCTCGTGTACGAGACTGGTGGTGGTGGTGGCCACGGATTCCTACACGCGGCTCGTCACCGCATAAGTCATCCACTAATGCCGTGGAAATAAATCTGCGGCTGATATTTGCACGGCTCCTCCACAAAGTTGTGCCCATTTCGGGCTGCGACCACTCGGCTGCATATTGGCCCTCAGCTGGGAGGCTAAGCGAACGATGGATGATGGGCGGTTCCGGTCTCACCTGCATGTCCTAAGAAAGGCGGAGTTCAGGACGAGCCCAACGGACTGACTAGAAGGTTGCAGGGCACGTAGTCAGCCTTGGTACCGTAGAAGAAGGCCCAGAGTGGTGGTCAGTGATCAAACGACCCTCTTTGTGCTGTTCAAGATGTACATTGGGTCCAGATATAAGTGTATCGCTCCCGTTATCAGAGTCTTCCCAAGACAAGAGCCAGAGTCTCAACATCTTCTCGACCTAAGGCACCTCAGCTGTCCTTGATACAACTTTCTCCGCCCTGCCCACAGGCAACAGAATATGATGACTCCAAATCTAGTCCATCTCTTCCCTCTGTTCGCGACGGTGTTCATGGCGGCTGCTGTTCTTGCTTATACTGGTATCACCACCCGATATTGGGACTGCTGCAAGCCGTCGTGCGCTTGGCCTGGCAGAATTCAGGTATCGGAACCCGTGCGAACCTGTAATAAGAACGACAAATGGCCGAACCCTCTCAACTCTAGCGCCCAGTCGGCTTGCAATGGTGGCGATGCGTACACTTGCAGCAACAATGGACCGTGGGTTATCGACAATAACCTAGCGTATGGATTCGCAGCGGCCAAACTTGCTGGAAAGTCTGAGCAGGATTGGTGCTGTGCTTGCTACAAGTAAGTCCAATCTGTTTCCAGGACGTTGGATGAGGAATAACACGCAGGCAATGGGAGATGGAAAAATCCCGAGGACCAATGGTGGAGATCATCATGGTTTATTTGACTCAACTAACGAGTTTCCCCCTATCTAATAGGCTCACCTTCACGTCAACGTCGATTACCGGGAAGCAGATGATCATCCAGGTGACCAACACTGGCAGCGACCTTGAAAACAATCACTTCGATCTCGCCATCCCCGGCGGTGGCGTGGGCATGTTCCCCCAGGGATGTCAATCACAGTTTGATGGCGCGTGGATGGGTGACACATATGGCGGCTACCAGAACAGGAACGATTGTTACAATCTTCCGGAGGGCCAATTCCGCGACGGCTGCTTCTTCCGTTTTGACTGGTTCCAAAACGCCCAGAACCCAACCGTCGAGTTTCATGAGGTGTCTTGTCCGCAGGCCATGATTGACAGGACGCATTGTGGTCGGTGGAGTTACAAGGATTTCGTCGACCAAGGTAAAGACGAGCCCTTAGAACAGGCGGGGCTAGAACTGTAGATTACTTTGTTTTCTTTTAAAAAGTGTCTTCTACCAAGAAGGCTCATTAGAATTCAATGACTAGACCAAGCCACAAGACGAGCCGCTAGGGTGAAAAGGATGAGGATGGCAGCGTAGCTTTGGCTTATAAAGCAGCACGAGGAATACCTTACCCTTACTGTATAAAGCAAGGAATATAAACGCTTTACTAACAGGAAGGATCTTCCCTTTTTCTTCAACCTGATAGGATTGCGATTGCGGCGGTCACAACATACTGAGGAAGTCATCTCACGGGCCCTGACTATGTACATGTAAGCTACATACATGTATCCTAGAGCAGATGTCTAAATGCCCCTGAGGTGCTACAAGCAACAGCTTAGTAGATATTACGATGGCGCCTTTTTGGCGATGAATCATGATGATGAAAATTACGATGCTATGGGAAGGAATGCAAAAAGCAACGGAGGAAACGCTAGCTGGCCTTCCTGACAGCCTTGCTGACAACCTTCCTGACGATATCAGCAACGAGGATGATTTCTACAGCCTGCTGTCATCGCCGACCTTGCCTAGGTTGAATATGCTGTTAGAAACACTATACAAATGCATTATAGGCTTCATCAAGGAGAGCAAGGAAGCCCGGGATTGATAGGAAACAACATATACAATTATTTCCTTTGAAATATTGTAGTGTTTCAATTTTCCGGGCGTTTCATGGATTTTCAGCACCACGTACTCTCTACAATAGGTTGGAACATCTTACTCACCAGATGCAAGCTGAAGGTAAGCAAAGGGGGATGAATGGGACGATTCTCGCCTTCCAGCCTCACTATCATTCAAAGAGCTGTTCGATATGCTGACTTGAAAGCCACATTTTCATTTGACCTCTGAATGCGCAGCAATGGCATTGCCTGCATGCACTCAGCCTTCGGGGACCTCGGAGTACGCCGAAGGTATGTAGGCATCTAGTAGGTAAGATTTTACTTACCAGATGCAAGCTGACGCGCTGACTTGAAAGCCACATTTTCATTTTTTTACCTCTGAATGCGCAGCAATGGCATCGCCAAGACTGCAAGCCAAGAAACAATCAAAGGAAATGCATCCTGCGGTCGCACTATCGTCAGGCTGGCGGACTTCAGACTCTGCTAGGGAGATATCTCGCCAGATAATTGCTCAACTCTCGAGGTATATATACCAGGCTTGCTTCCGCAGAGGAAAGCATTTTCAGATCATCTCGGACCTATATATTCACATCTTCGTTGCTTTGGAAGATCAGTGTTGGTTGGTCTATCCGGAAGGCTACAAAGACCAGCCGGTACAATACACTGTCAAAGATTACGCACAAATTATCATCGTTCAACCACGACCTCCGAATTTTCCACCCTAGCCCACCGTCGACGCCATCCTTATCTGATCAGGATGGCCACAACTCTCCTGAAGATGCTCGCCGTCGCAAGCGTTCTGGTCTCTGCCGAGACTACCTGGAGTGAGAACCTTGTCCTCGCCGACTGCGGCATCGGTCTGGGGCCAAATGGTGGCTCTACATCACGCGAGATGATGTACTACTCTGCTGAAGCTTGGGGAGCACCAAGATACATGAAAAACGTACCGTGGGATGGCTCCTACCCCTGGCGTAACAGCGGCGTGTCTCAGACCCTTCCCAACGGTGATACATGGACCGCGTATATCAACAACGGCGCTGGAGATCCAAACTTGGCTGGATGGGCTACTCATACATATGATAATGTCGTTCTGACATGCTGGAGTCGGCACTTGGATGGGCTCTTCACACTGGCCGACGGCAAGAAGTGCAGCATGGCGTACATCTGCAATCATCAGTCAGTTCCAAATCCGTCTCCGAATCCGCCTCCGAATCCACCTCCAGGCCCAATAGGCGAAAATGCGACTCCTGGTGCCCTCAAATACCAACCTGTAATCGACTTTGACCAATCAGCCTGCTACAACACCGCAGCTATCACCAGTGGCGGGCATTGCAACGACGGTCTCGAAATCGGCCAAGGTGATTGCCGCCAGTTGGATCGCCTGTACAACAGCAACACATACGTTCGCGAAAAGTGCACAAACGACGGCTGGTGCTTCTACCTATACGGTTACTACTTCGAGAAGGATGAGGGAGGCGCTCTGGCACACGGTCACAAGCACGACTGGGAGCATCTGGCCGTCTGGACGTTCAACAACGAGGCGAAGTACCTTGCCTGGTCGGCTCATGGAAACTATAAAGTCAACAAACCCAACTCGGTCGAGTGGCAGGGGAATAATCCCAAGTTTGTGGTGGAACGCGACATGGCCACCACCCACGCGTTCCGCAGGGCAGAAGGAAACGAGCCGCCTGAAAATGCATCGGGAAAATGGTATCGCAGTCCGTTGGTCAGTCTAGAGAGGATGGATGGAACACTCAAGGAGAAGATGTTGACTCACGACTGGGGCAACGCTCATCCTGATCTGACTGATGAGCGATTTGATAAGGCTTACTGGTCTACTTGGGAGGCTGCGAAGGCTCTCGACCATGTTGGACCACCCCGGCCAGATCCTTCCCCACCACCACATCTAGAGTTGTAAGCGTAACGTACGAGATACTACAGTGGGGGAGTAAAAGTGACGACCAGCCTCATAGTGCACCACATATTGGGGCATTAAGGAAATAACAAATGCCCAGGTCCTTTTTAACAGCTTTATTACTGGCGCTGTGTACCCGGAATTACAATCTTCATGTTCTTTTAGGATGAGAATTATCCTTTAGTCCAGTTATAGTTTAACTACCTTTTTAAAAATTTAGTTACTATAGGAAGCTAAAGTTATTTTTGAAGTTTACAGATCAGTCGCCTACATGTATATATTTCGTCTCAAGCTAGGTATTCATTAGAACCGAATTAATATTAGCTAACGATATAGTTCAAATTGGACATTTGACGCTCATCTATCCTGTATTGGCCCATTTCCCCCATTGTGAGGCTCACTACATGTACTATCAATCTCTCTCCAAACAGTGTGACACATCTCCCGGCAAAGGCTTCCCATCTCGACCACCCGATTCAGGTAAAACTCAAAACTATTTTCAGACACCACGTTCAATTCTTTGCAAATATTCCGCAATAAGTTAATCCACCATTCTTGAAGACATTCGATCTTATTTGGTGGCCCAGAAGTGGCAGCACCAATAAAGCAGATCCACAACAGGAATAAATTTGAAGGGTGATTGCCGAAACTTATGTTGTTTTTGTTGATGCTCTGGCCCATGGCGGCATGAAGACGGCCCACGAGGGGTTGGTAAATGCCAGCAGAATGGGGAATCTGGCGAAGGACCAGATAGACGTAGATTATAGCTGCTATTCGTTTTGGTTCATGGTAACAGGAGTATATATCTTGAGGTAAGGAATGTAGAGCGTGCTCTACCAAGTAAATGTTGTTGCTGAAGGAAATTCGACGTGAAAATGAACTGTGAGAGTCGCAAAGCGCAACAGAGAGTTCCGAGAGCATGTCGAATATAGACCCGATGCTTGAAAATAGCGAGTTGTCTTGTACATAGGGTCTTGATAAAGGCGAGCTGGAATGCCTTAATACAGCAAACCGTGGTTTCTCGTTGGTGAAGGCAGCGGAGCAGAGATCTGACCTTTGAGCTAGTCAGCAGGAAATGCCATGTTGGAGCAGACTTCAGTTTTTACCAGCATATGGCCCTTTGCAATAATGATGTTCCACAAACCTGCCGGGCTTCTTTTCCAACCATCTGTAAGCCACCTCTTTGAACAACCATGCGTTGAAGCCCTCGAAGATTCCAACGAGCGTTTTGTAGTCGGCCATCCAGTAACTACTCACCGATGTTAGCGCTCTTCCAGCAAATTGATAGAGGTGACTTGCGTCAAATGTCGCCAGTGCCGTTACAGCACCGATTGTCCCATCGCTAAGTTGCAATGGCGTCTTTGTAATCCGTTCATTAATTATCCTCAGCATCTCGCCTTTATGCATGAGACAAAGCGGAGTAATCTTCGTTCCGACACTAAGATCACGGTACAGACTTGTGAGTGCGAAAAGAGCGTGGAGCAGCGCGGCGTCAGCGAAGGCATATGGTAGAGGGGAATATTCTGGGTTCAACACGAGAGGGTTCTGCATGTAAAAGGTCATAGGGACTAGAAATATTAGACCAGAAAGTTCTGCATCAGAAAGAAAGACCAACTTAGTTTAAGAAGATGTTCTTGCAATGGACCTATCTTGACTGGAAGAGTATGAAATGGATCACTCTTGCCACCATCAAGTACTGGTGGCATGCATGTCTTGCTTGTTGCTGACGCAGCTCTCTCCTCGCTGCCATTATCTTCAACTTTACTGTTGAATTGTGCTTGTCTCGCTTTTCTGATTTGCGAGTAAGGCCTTGATCGAAATTTACCCGTTAACATTGACTGGGGCTGTAACACCGGCGCGATCGGAGCCTGGTCACCCGATAAAGCGGCGGCTTTCGCCCGGGAAGACGCGCGCATAGCATGTTGACGGATCCGTGTTTTGGACTGAGAGTAAATTAAAGATTGTGTAGAATCCAATGGCTGGCCAAGAATTATGCTAGCGAACTCTATAGGTTGGTGATCGGGTGTGGCATCCATAACATCTTTCACAGCTAATGGTTATGAAGGCTGTCAAATTAGGCTTGGAAGAGACCCTACTTTATAGCACCACCTACCGCATGTGGCAGTATTTGGAACCCTGTGGAGGGGGCGAATTTGCTTACTATTAATAGTTGGCTGGTTACATAGTTGGCACGGGTGGAGTTTTCGTTATTTGTTATTAGACTTTGCCCCAAGTGATTCTGTGCCGCTATATGTGAGTCTCCATGTTCTGCCGGCCCACAACTCTTATTCCTACCATGACTCTTTGGTGGTTTTGCCGCGATCCAGGCACTGTAAGTACTATTGAGAATAATGAGATCTATTAGTTTGTGTCAAGGCCACTGGTCAAATGTGAGATTCTTTTGGGATCGGTTGCGTATAACACGAGTCATGTGCATCTCGTGGAAGAGCGGATACCAGTATCCTTTTTGTAATTTAGAACCCACCAATTTCTAAGCGTAAAAGATAGTGTAAACTAATCATTTTACAAAACCTTTACTTGATCTCGACCTGTTGGTTAAGTGTTGCCCAACTATCGCATCTGGAATATTTGATCAAAAAGTATGAGTTTATTCTTTGATTACTACAGTCTATGAATCATGCCGTTGACAAGATTGTTCAAGGTGCTAAAAGTCTAAACTAGGATACCGCGCGTATGTCTCTATGAAGGGTTCCAGCGCTTCAGGAAGAACTTTGCCAGAGTTTATGCTTGTCCTCAATTGCGCTTAATCGTAGGCGTTTGCATATGTTCTAACTCCTCCTGTTGCTTCTCTTCGAGTGGTCTATTATCCTTGGTTGCATATAGCTCGGCATCCGAAGCTCCCTTCTCACCACCAAGCGTGTTTCCACTAACATTGTCATTGTACATAAAAGGCATTTTCATATCAAAGACCTCGCGGATGGCAGTGTACTGGTGGTAGCCAAGGCGAGCAAGAGGAGCTGCTTTCAGAACATCAAACAACTGCGTAAACTCAGGTTAGTTTCGAACGCAAGCACACGGACGTATCGAGAAAGACGTACCCCATCGGCTGTAATATATTCTCCCTTTACATGGATGGCGACGACTCGACCAACCACGATATCAGAATGTCCCACGAGAGAATCTCCTTGAATTCTAATAATTGAATAGACTTTACATTCCAGCTGAACTGGAGATTCTGCTACTCGAGGAGGTTTGACAACACGACTTGGTACTTTTGTCACTCCCGCAATGGGAAATTCGTCATTCCAAGACTCCAGAGCTGAGGCGTTCATTGCATCTCTGGTATCAAACCTGATATAGGATTAGCATAAAGCTCGTGCATATCACTGTCTCGTACTAACGTTGCCATATTCCAGACAAACTCTCCCGTCTGTCGCGCATTGACAACCGAATCCTTGCTTTCACGTTTGTAGACAGACTGGTGTCCCACAAACATGATTGTTGGAGGATCAAACGAGACATTGGTGAATTGACTGAATGGCGCAAGGTTATCTTGGCCACTGGAACTTGTGGTACTGATCCAACCTATTGGTCGAGGAATAACAAAACTTTTAAAGGGGTCATGAGGTAGACCGGACTTTTCGCCTTTAGGTGGCTCATAAAAGATATCAGGATGGGTCATTTTGATGGGTTTATTGTTCAACTGAAAAGTATGGAAAAGAAGATAAGTGTGGTAGAGTGTGTAGATTTTGCTGGAGCTGCCGTTGTTTTATTGTTACTTGTGATTTTCTGAGAGATCCGACAACAACAGTCCTCTTACAACTACTATACTTATACAACACGATATCTGCCATGGATGTTTTATGTAATGACCCCGAACAACTCTGGCCGAAGGAAGAGAGACCCTGGACGCTACGTCACTTCGGTGCCACTCTTAATGGCTGGATCATTAATTCGGTGGGATGCCTCGGCCCACAGTAATCCTCGGCCCGCAGTTTAGAGTGAGAACTTTTGGGTCCTATACAGACATCGGGCGTTCGTTTGTTCCAATTCGTGATGCCAACAAATGTGCCTTTTCTTGATTACTGATATTGTTTTTCGCGAGGAGTGTATCTTACAATCTTGTTGATTATCAATTACGCATGACGCATGAAGAGGCGAACTTGCTGTCTCTCACCCACTGCATCCTCCGGAGAGACGGACTTGTTGATGGAACGGGACAAGTGTATATAGAAACGCACATTATATATAACGCAGTTAATTTGGCTTATAGAGCTTTCATCCTCTCATATGTGTCTCTGCCGTCGTATCAATACCTACAATTTTCTGCTTCAACCTATATTCCCTTCTGAACTCTAGATCAACACGTCTGGTATCTTCGGCAGTACTGCACAATGTCCTCTCCAGTAACAACACGTATCGAAGATACATTCACCAGCAAACGTGTAACCATTAAAACCACCCGCTCATTCGATGAGGTAACTGCCCGCCTTTACAACTCCATTGGGACTCCTGGGGATGCTGGCTGGCCTACTATTGTCACATACCTCGAAGGTCCTTCTCCCACAAAAGAGGGTTTCGTCGCAACTGCGAAGCAGTACATTGGTCCGGAACTCTTTATGCTGTTCTGGGAAATTGACCATAGCCTCTGGACGCCCTTATATGGCATTGCCCCAGGTCAAAGGATTAAGAGAGTTGTTTTGGGAAACCCCATGAGTGCAGCGACAGTGATGGCTCATGAGGTAAAGGCGGGACTGGCAGCGCCAGCGGAGATATTGATTCTAGAAGGAGCCGGTGGAGAAGGGACTGAAGTCATATTTCAGCTGTTTTCAAGCTTGGCCGCAGGCGTGGAGAAGAGCGAGGAGTTGGTGAAGGCGAGTTTAAATTTGGATGCAAAGGTTCAGCACTTGGTAGACCACATTACCTTATGAGGTATTGTCTACTGTTTCTTGACGTGCCAAGGAAGTTGAAGGGTGTGTGTACTTTTGGCTGATAATCACCATATGCCTTTTTATTATATACCTCCATTGCCATTAGGCTTCTCCGCCCGCTCCAATTACGGTACATATGTAGTTTTGATCGGTTTCTCTTATTTTATTTTATCTAACTTTGATCCTAGAATGAAATATTCTTATCAGCGTTGGCTACAGGCACTAAGTAACCAAGCTGATGATACTCCTATTACCAGCATCTGGAAGCATATTTCTTGTCCATTGAAGGAGTACAGTGTATTAAGGGATTTGGTTTTAAGGTTGAGAAAAAAAATGAAACAGGATCTAAAGGGCGTGTTGAGAATCCCATTTGAAAACTCTATTCGTTAACTCATGCGTGAGAGACGAACATAATTGATCACTTGCAAGCTCACAAGTCCATCAAAGTCCATCATTATTATAAAAACTGTACCTAGGGGCTGTTGTAGTTATTCTCTCTTACCAAGACTGGTGGGTAAACGCTGACTGCTACAGTGCTTGAACTATGCGGCCAAACCTGAAAACTTGTGTTGATGCTTACAAGCACTGAATTACCGAAGAATTACTATTTTACAATAACTCCCGATAGCGGAGAATTGACCTACCCCGCAAGTTGAGGTAACCCAAGTATTTTAGATATATAAGGACTAGGCGGTGTCTTCCAGCGCGTTACTATCTCACTTAATTATTACAATTACTGAGGGCTTCTGGAATCTATACCAATAATGGAGCCATCGCCAGTGGAACAAGCCTCAGTCGAGCTAAGGGAGGTAAACGACACCTCCCGAAATGACGACCAACCGACTTTCGAAGCCGTAACCGCAACCAGCATAACAAAAAGGCACAGGTTACTAATAGTAATTTTCATCGTATCTAGCAATATGGTCCAGGTAAGACTCGACTGGCTAATCTCTATCTTAATCTCCTTCTTAATGGGACTAGATGATATCTAACATGGTTGGACTCGCCGCCGGACTTGAGATAAGCAACTCACTGGGCTATGCAACTGGTCCTGGCAAAGCCAACTGGGCGGCCGCGTCCTACCCGTCAGTCCTCACATTCCCAAATTATGTCATTAGGGTATTTTTTAACATTAATGCCTGAAGGCTGACGCAAGGCACCTTCGTTCTGATCAGCGGTCGCCTCGGTGCCGTCTACGGCCATCGACATGTCCTCATCGGCGGCGCTGTCTGGTTCGTCATTTGCTCACTCGCAAACGGCTTCTGCAAGACGTTTGTCACTTTCAATGTTGTCCGTGCGCTGTCTGGTATCGGAGGAGCATTAATCATGCCGAACGCTGTTGCTCTGATCAGTACGACAATACCACCTGGAAGATCGAGAAATGTCACGCTGGGATTTTTCGGGGCCTCGGCTCCTATTGGAGGTTACCTTGGTGCTATTTGGGCTGGTATTTTTGTTGAATATGTGGACTGGACGTGGATATTCTTCGGCTTGTAAGTCTGGTTGTGAGCCTCCCGTTGGAGATACGTCTAATATACATGTATGCAGGGCAATCTTGGGGACATTTGTTTTCGGGATTCTGGCGTTACTTCTCCCAACTGACTCTCCCGTTGACCGAAAAGGGACAATTGATTGGATCGGCGCATTCCTCGGTACGGGCGGCCTGATTGCTTTCAATATTGCTTGGAAGTGAGTGAAACAGGTCTCTTAGCAAGATATTTCAAAACTAACCTTTTGCAGCCAAGCACCAGCGAGCGGATGGGAAACGCCTTTCGTATCCGTTTTGCTCGTGATATCAGTTGTCATGCTCGTTCTCTTTGGGCTCTGGGGGTCAAGGTTTAGCAAGAATCCCATCATACCACTCGGGATATGGACAGCACCATCCTTTACAGCCGTCATCTTGGTCGTTCTCTTTAGTTTCATGTCCAACGGCATCTTCCTCTGGTACATGGTGGCATGGCTTCAACTTCTGCGTGGTAAAACCATCCTCCAGTTTGGCCTTGAGTGGACTCCATTTGGGATTGTTGCAACGATCGGCACGTTCCTCGCAGCATGGCTGATTCCACGCCTCGCTGCGCAATGGATATTGGCAATTGGTACCGCTGCTATCTTAGTCGCGAATCTACTCTTGGCTACGATGCCGGTCCAGCAGACGTACTGGGCTCAGGTCTTCCCAGCGACGATATTCATGGCCTTCTGTCCAGACTTTGTCTACGTTGCGGCGCAGATCGTTGCTAGCAACAGTGTCAAACGTAGCCAGCAGGGCGTTGCTGCATCTCTCATTGGCACGCTTAACTTGTATGGGAACAGTCTCGGTCTTGGATTTGCGGGGACGATCGAGACGCAGGTGAACAAATATCGGGCTGATCAAGTGCTTGGATACAGGGCTGCATTGTATTTTGGAGCCGGCATCGCCTTGGTAGCGACCGTGCTGGACTCGCTACTGGTACGGGTAGTAAAGGATGAGAGGGAGGGATGGACTGATCCGGCGGACGAAGTAGCAATTATGGGGACAGGGTTTGAGGGAGGATTGTCGACGGCTACTGAGAGAATCCGGCGGTGACAGGCTGCCTGCAGAGTTTACGGGACTCGCGGGTTTTGGGCTTCGGTCTCCGGTCCTCAGCAACTGGCTCTTCCTCCTGTAAGACACACCAAGCGGTACAGCTGGATGCATCATCGTCGCTCTACCCCGTATTGTCTTTGCTGTTACATTTTTGATCAGAATAAACATCATAGGGAATATTCATTTTGTTTTCTTCTTTAATTTATAGAGTACTTAGATCACGAGCATTATGATCATGAATTCCATTTCGTAAATTCTTTTACAGTATCATCTTCTAATTCCGGACAACTAGCTCTTTTCTACAATCTCAGAGCGTAGAGTTCTTGATAGCACGAGAATAGCATTGAATCTTATTACAGCAATCTACCTGTACCTAGATTAGCGCCTCGCTCACTAAAACATAGCGAAGTATCGACCATACCTGGACCGATCAAGCCCATTTTTAACAATAAACCGGCGTCTTGATACGGTAAAAGCCGAAGCCGGCTATATCGGCAGACGCCTTAAAGAACGCAAATAATTTTTTCACTTCCACGTGTGCTAGCAGAATTTAGTTAGATACTGGCGATCGTGCTCGTCCAGGTTATTGACGTTATATGGAAACAGTAAATAGACCGATGTTACGGCCTCTGGCCGAGCAAAGACGACAACGCTACCTAACAGAGGTGAGTTGTATTTGAACTTACACATCTGAGTTGGGAGATTTACCGCCCTTTGGGTTCAACACATACCTCATTACCCATACACCGACATTTTAGGTTATTTTCTCTCTCTGTCATTCTCATTGTTTACTTCATTTCAAATCATACATAGCCGTCAAATCATACATAGCCGTCATCGGAGGAGTTGACTAAGGCTGTTTAAACCCCGCGGAGCTGCATACTCGTACATGCATTTTCATATTCTTGCGCCCTCAATCTCCTCCAGGTTGAGTTGTCGTGTGCCATCATGAATCGTCTCCAAGTCGACAGCCACCGCTTACGCGAAACTGCTCATTGGCTTTACCATGAGTCTGGGCTTCGCTCCGTCAATATCACCGGCCGTGATGCATGGTTGATCATCCTGGCACGAACATGTCGCATGTTTGCCTTTGGAGGAACGTCGCTCATCATGGCGCTCTTCTTCACTACCCTGGGCTTTAGTGATCCTCAGCTCGGACTCTTTATGTCAATGACGCTGGCCGGAGATACTGTACTCTCCTTCCTGCTCACCTTTATGGCGGACAGCCTGGGTAGACGTCGCGTTTTCTTTGGTTCCGGCCTGCTAATGTCAATATCCGGGCTGGTGTTTCTCTATTTTGAGAATTTCTGGATCTTGCTGCTGGCCGCCGTCATTGGTGTGATATCTGCCAGTGGAGGCGACTTTGGGCCATTCCGAGCCATCGAAGAATCCGTGCTATCTCATCTGACGAATCCGCAGACGCGCTCGGATGTGCTATCGTGGTATGTTGTGACATCGAATCTGGGATCTGCTGTTGGTATTGAAGTGGCCGGTCGAGTCATTGAAGAGTTAAAAAGGCGCGACGGTTGGAGTGAGATACGCATATATCATGCTGTCTTTGGGGCGTATATCATTATGGGGGTCGCCAACATGGTATTTTCCTGCCTTATGACCGACCACTGCGAAATCACCGAACCGGTGCTGTCAATAGACGAGGGGGCGCAAGTTACACAGGGACTTCTCAGCAACTCGGATGAAGAGGCAGAAGACGAGATTGTGCCACCCACCACGGAGTCACCGGTGGAGCAGAAGAAAAGCCGGTTTGCAGAGATATCGTCGAAAACGCGGTCCGTCATGTACAAGCTTTGGTTTCTTCTCACCGTCGACTGCTTGGCGGATGGCATGGTTTCGTACACGCTGACCAATTACTATCTCGATCGCAAATTTCATCTGCCCAAGTCGCAACTTGGTGACTTAATGTCTACAAACTACATCCTTGGTAGCATATCTACTGTCTTTGCCGGTCCTCTATCGCGCCACTTGGGACTCGTCAACACAATGGTCTTCACCCACTTGCCGTCTTCGATGGCTGTGCTCCTCTTTCCAGTGCCACAAGGAATTGTCCTCACAGTGATACTTTTATTCATTCGGGGTGGTCTAAATAATATGGATCAAGCTCCGCGGGTAGCCCTCATCGCCGCAACGGTGAAGCCCGGGGAGCGAACAGCCGTCATGGGAATCACGAGCACATTAAGAACGTTGGCCTCTCTCTTGGGACCGAGTATAACGGGTGCTCTTGCAGATTCAGACAAATTCTGGGTGGCATTCGTTGCAGCCGGTGCGCTCCGCGTAGCCTATGACCTGGGGCTGTGGGCTATGTTTATCAATGTGAAGCTGCATGAGCATGAGGAGAGTGACCAAGACACGAGCAAGGCAAGGCGGGTAGCCGATGAAGAGGAGTCGACGGATTGATCAACGGGAACAGGAATACAAAAGCGTATAAAGACATTGGTGATTGTGCTTCCCTAACGCATCCTTTCACCCCCAAACGGAATATTGAGCCGATTGCTTAACTGATATACTGTGTAAGAGGTTTGGCTCGTGTAGAATCTAGCCAAGGTCCTTGTGCATGCGCATGACGAAGTGCGCCACGACGGGGACGTGAGGGTCAATTTTGCCAATTCTTGTAGATAAAATAAAGAGGAGCCGCTCACTGGAACCAATCTTCAAATATTTCAACTTATTATGATTTCAGCTTAATTGAGTCAATCTGGTAAATACCTACGTTGCGCAGGGTTATTATACTGCTCTTGATACACTCGCTTCATGTCCACAAAAAGTCCACAAGGCAGATGTTGAATCTACCTACATATACCAGCCTCCACGATACCAAACTTTTTTAAGAGCTTAACACATTTCGTTGTTAATACTCCCAAGATTTGTATTAAATATCAACACCGCGTGAATACAAGCAAGCGATGATATTTTTTGGAGTTCTTTTGACTACCCCATGGATGTAGAAGAAAAAAAGAAAGAAAGATCGGATAACTCGGAACAGACAAATACTGAAGAAAAATTGAATGAAGCAAACTTTTCGAGGGGGAAAGAAGCTTAGTCCATTTGACGGAGTGACGGATGATGCTTCTTGCATGGCTGCCGTTCTACATGTCCATGTAGTCGATGTGGCTGCTAACATGCAAGTTGGTGCAACTTCTACCGTATTTGCATTTCCCAATCTGATAAAAGAAACAGGGTTTGCGTTCGCTTTCCACGGAATTGTTTGATTGACTTGATGGTGCCCATGGAACCACCGCCGTCGGCTTTTCAGCAACGGTCGAAGCGGGGCCGGTACGAGAAGAATTGGAAACAAATTTTACGTCTAGCGGCATTGATAGGAACACGCCGGGAAGCTTCTCAATAGCCATGCCGAGTTTGCGATACTCGGGGTGGAATTTTACACTGGGCGAGTCAATGAGGGTGAGTCTCTCCTTGTTGCCGATATACGTCGTCAGGTCGGAAATGTATCCACCGTCATGACAGGCGGCGAAGTAGATGTGTTTGCACTGCGAGTTCTCTGCGTACAGGTTGAGCATGGCGCGCAACTTGAAGTCGGCATTCTCTTTCCACTCGCCGGCATCCACGTAGTCAAAAAGGCCGTATGACCTATTGAAGCTGGCGACAAAGGGGGTCATGGAGCGCTTCTCAGGTCCAACGAGTCCTGCTTTGTGGAGCGTCTTTGATAAACCGGCGAGATTCGCCCATACGCGCACCATGATTTGACAGTGGTCAAGGCCCTTGATCTGGAGACTGGTCTTGATGGATTCGTTAAGTAGCTGCGCCGCATTACGACCACCATCGATCCCTTTGCTCACTAGGTTCTCGTTGAAGACGTAGCCGTCGCCATCGATCAAGACGAGCACAAATGGGGTTCGCTCCAGACCTCTGGCAATCTGCTTGTACCTTTCCCTGGCGTCGCGCTCCTCCTCGTAATCACTCTGCAGGCGCCTGTAGCTCTCAATCAAGGCGCCGTATCGGTCTAATATTTCTGGAAGCGCGCTGTCCGTGCGGAAGCTGGCGAGCTGCTGTGCTGCTCTTTGAAGTTCGTCTTTGGGTATTTCGTTCATGTTGTTTGAGCGGTGAGCTGTTCCGGAGACCAACATGAGGGGCTAGGATAGCAGGTGGGATTGATACTATTTAAGAGTTCCTTTTCTCTTAAAAACATTCCCACGCGTGCAAACCTACAAAATAATCTATTAGGCCTTTTCGATCCGCAGCAGTCTTGGTCAAATGAAGTTCTGTCGCTTACCGGCTTTCCGTGAAGGGGTTGAGTGGTCACAGAAATGGGCTGACGCTCATACGCCTTGCCAGCTATAAAGGTTCAATGTTTACGTCAGATCGAAGGAATGCTTAATTATATGTACACAGTGAGGCCAATGTCTCTTATATACTTTACTGCTATTTTTTTTTATTCTTATTCTCTCCGTTGCTTGATTTTGTTTTGTTTTGTTTTGTTCTGTTAGCCCGCCAGATACTTACATAGGTATTTATTGCTAGCGATGTTGCCGATATTTTGACGACAACTGGGCCACCGCTGCATATCAGAACCAACAAGAGTATTTCACGGTAAAACGACATTATGCGACATCGCAATCACTCTCACATTCCTAGTTGGTGGGATGGCAATAGGCAGCCATGATTGGGAGCGACAAAGATATGTACATGTGGTCGAAAGTACGCCGACACAGCTGAAGATGGCAAGACTATTGAAGTAGCAGGGGTGCAGAGCTGCATCGGGGAAAAAAAGTGATTAGATCTTAGATATGCAAGCATCTAAGCCGGAGCTAATGGCAATTATCCGTTCAACTCATCATATACGATGATCGATGTTGCAGCACAGATCAAGCCAATTGTCGACATATTTATTCCACGGAGACCTAAATATTCCATTCCCTATGCGCACCTCTGGGCTTTCTTCAAAGCATGCGATTACAAGAACAATGCAATGACTAATAACTTTGCAGGGCTGTAACCAATCGCGTCGAATATCATCCAGAATTCTTCCCCACCAAGCAACACATCCCACAATAGGGTTATAACCTACATTTACACTTCACCAAGCACATACGACCATAGGTAGAGGAGAACTCGGGGTCCCGTCTGCTCCCCCATAGATAAGCCTCTAACCGGCAGATTAGTAGTTGAGTGGGTGACCATCAGCGAACACCGGCTGTTGTATGTTTTCTCTTTTTGCTTTTTTGCTGTATTAGTGTTCATTGGGCTTGGGATTTTGAGACAGTTTACATCTGCAAGCACATACGGCTAGGTGCATTAAGACTTCGAGCTTGGAGTAACATGGTTCTGTTTTCAGGAGGGGTCAAATAACCAGATTTAATAATCTCTTCGGACTAGTAGCCTGTTATTCTATAATGATATGGCAGCCTAATTGTGTCGAGATCTAAACTGTGGTAAGTTATTGTCTACTTGAAGGGATACAATATTGCCCCGAGCTATCTGCCACAATTGACTGCTTTCGTCGGATTCTGGGCAGAGAAAAAGTTATATGAATAGCCATATTGGTGTGTAATTGCTAGTCTCCTTTCATCATGTCAATTGAGAAATAGTTGAGGGAGTTGAGTGAGTTGAGTGACGTCCCGTAGTGATGTATAGGACTCCTCTTCTGGGAGATTTATTCGCAGCTTATAAGACACACTTTTAGATCAGTCACAAATGAAATCTATGACATATTCAAGTCATATCTCCTAAATAACAGTCATTATCAGATAAAGCCTCATACAGCCCACAATCGTCTCTGGAAATTATCACAGCATGGCATTTTACTATTTTATTACAATTGATCCTCGATACTTTAACATTCGGGTTCTATTCGGCTATGCTATCAGTTCCGACTATTCTTAGCGCTGGAACAACAATGTAGACTCTTCCGTCTCCTTCCGTTGTGGCCTGCACTCTCATCACGGAACCTTTTTTTAACTCGCATAGGCTGGCGATTTGAAGAAGGTGATTACGACACCAGAGTGGCCAAGTTGGTGTCTCCTTGCCTAAGCTTTATGATCAGCTACCTATCTAAGTAGCATACTGTTCTTGAAATTAGGCTGAGCCAACCTTTGAGGTCTACTAATGATGTGAGAACTGACGCTACCTCCGAAGCTTGGCCGCTTGGACGACGGCTATGTCTCCATTTCTAGGACAAAGTAGCGTACCATCAGGAGTTATTGTACAGAGGCGAGCTTCGTCGCTGGTAGCCCAGTCTCCGGGGAGAAAATAGTAACGTTCAATCGCTTTCGTGCTTGGCTCGGAGGCTTTTCCCGTCCAGGATGGCAAGCGCCAGGTACAAATCCAACGTTCGACATTAAGGAAGACCAGCCTTGAGCGAGACAGGAAAGCAAGAGGCTGGCGTATGCAAGACGCTATCTCTATTGGTATGAGGGTGTAAGGCAGCACTTGACTGCCCTGGCTTGATTCCTCTTCAGATGATCCCAGCTGCAAGTCATCTAAGTCAAACAAGAGATATTGACTTTCCATCCGTCCCGATGCGCCAGGAGGCAAAATTTCTAGTAGAACTTGAGATGAGTCGAGGCTGGAAATCATCCTTCCCAGTGTCTCAGTGTCCTTCTGGAAACTTCCTGCATGGCCATGGGAAAATGAGGGAAGAGTGATGTTTGCAGAGCTTCCAATTCGAGGTGGGAAATAGGAGTGCACCTCAAGTTCTTGAAGTTTCATCCAGCTATAAATATACACGGCGGAGGTCCCAAATCCAAGAAGGGTGTCGGCGAGCGTCGGATGCCACGCCCATTTCACTCCAGATAGAGTTGTTTTTACCGTCGATCTGGTTATGGCGTGTGAACCGAGATCAACTGAGCATATTGCCCCCGGCGTCGACACAAACAGTTCTTGGCCAGTGGGGTGAAAGAGAAGCTGGTTAATATGGCCCTGCTCCTGGGGAATGATGATGTTGAACTCAGAAGTTACCTGCCAACCAACGGCATTCTCACTAGATCTGACAACTTTCTTAATTGTGAGTTTTCCGCTGAGATCAGCAAGAGCAACGATGCGTCCATCTTCGCTCCATGTTACGTGCTCAATAGACATGTAACTCGCCAGTCTTTCCAGCTCACAAACTCTCCCCCGTCCCGCTTCGCAAAGCATTGCTACACCATCTTCCGTGCCATAACAGTACAGTGGGCCAACCGATTGCCCAGAAAGAGTGATAACACTGTCTATCCGGGCAGTATGGTGCTCTGTAAGAAGAGAGGCCCTCGCGAGGCTCTCAGTTTCACTGCAAGAGTCGTTATTTTGGTCCAAGGCATCCACAAGGCGAACCAAAGAATTTGGTTCCCACACATTGCCATATGAGCCGCGTATATCGTAGAGCCGCCTTGAGTCGATACTGAATGAGAGATGAAGAACAGGGTCTTGTGATGCCAACTGATACAATACAGCAAAGTCCGCGGTTGCGTATATCTTGATTGTTCCGACTGCATCGCCAGTAGCGATGAGAGAACCGTCTTTGCTAACGGTGAGAGAGTGTGCACCCGCCTGGATGGATGCGTTGGCCTCCTCCTCGTACGGGTTCCACCGGAACAATAGTCCGACTTGTGTTAGCCCAAACACTTCGCCGCTAAACGGATGCCACACAAGCTTGAAGACCTCTCCGCAAGTGTTGTATTCAATTGTCATATCTGTTTCTTTCAGCGGCACATAGCACTGACCAACCAACCTTGCCGGCTCAAGCTCCCATGATGTAGCTGGGTGTCGTCGGTAGCCAAACACAATCATATTGCCGTCTGGGCTCAGAGCAGAGCATATTGGGAAACTGACTGCCGTATCGTCTAAGCTCTGTTCCTCTATTTTGGAATGTATTTTCCACTCGTCATCGGTCCCCTCGTTAAGAGACACACTTCTGGTACATCTGTCCTCGCCACACACAAGTATCCTGTTTGGCTTCTCAGAGAAGAGTATGCTATGGGGACGAGGACGTTTTGCGGGGTTTTTCACCGTCTTTATGCAAGCTCCGTTGCTTACATCCCAGACTCTCGTCGTCGCATACCCGTAGCTAACCAAGAGGTTGCCCAACTTGTTGGCCTGTATGCTCAAAACGCGCTCAGGGTGTGTAACCCTACGTTGTTCTTCAAAGGTGTTAGCGTTGTAGACGATCACTTGACTCGTCTTCCGGATCATTGTGAGGACAAAGATGCGGTTGCCGGCAGCGATGACTGAAGATGCAACGACGCCTTCACTCAAGGTAAACCGTGCCAAACAGTCATCCCAGGTGGTGGTTGTAATTCCAGAGACGTGAATTGCTCTACTCTCCCTTTTTCCAAACTGCTGGTATATTATGGAGTCCTCTGGGCAGAAAGGAGGGATGAGTTTGTATATGGAGTCGGGGTGTTCCCTTAGGTTGCTTCCGAACTTCCCCACAACTTTAACAAGGTCGGCAGCCCAGCCCTCGATAACGGCGGCCNCCTGCCGGTGTACCACAAACTCATCGCCAATCTTCCGTAACTTGAGCGCAATTTCGGTTAAGTGACGGGAAGCAGTTACCAAAACTCCAAGTTTCTTTTCTCTAGCAGCCACATATATCCAGGTTAGTATGTGTGGGCCTTTAAGGAAGCTCACTAGTATTTCCAGAATCTCCGGGGTAACAGCTGAGCCGAGGAATAAGTGGCTTGACCATGCACTAACAGCATAATCAAGGAGAGCTGGAGGACGATTTCTGTTGATTTGGCTTCTCAGAGTTTGATCGGTGAGGCGTGCTATACATCTTTTGAATAAGACGTCGTTGGTAGGCTGACGGTGGATGAATAAAGGACGCCCTTCCTCATATCTCTTTGTAAGATATTCCCGAGCCGTCTCATGAATCATCGTTACCTTGCCCTCATGATCTACTATCACAAACCCTCCACACAGATCACTCACAGTCCTATGGATCTCGAGTAAGCCATCATTGCCTAGGGCATCTCCAAGTTCCCCAATACTCAGCAGTCGCCGAGCGCAAGTCGCCCAATTGAGAATACTCTGGCCGAGTCTCCGATCGCCAGCGCTTTTCTGTGACTGGACAGAACTTGCCATCCGATCATATAAAGCTTCCATTCCTGAAGGAAGTTCCATGAGAGCATTTTTAACATCTGGCTTAGTGTAACAGCGGTTGATCTTCTGCACCGCTAGATGCACCCAGAGAAAGTTGCCCTTCGCCCTCTCAAGAAGTTGAGCAGTAACATTTTCTTTGTATGTTGCATCGCCGGCGAGATCCATCTCTTGATCAATGTAGGAACGAAAGTCCATTAAATTTCCTTCCATGCATATAGTTTCCATGTGCACTTGCTTGGCCAGCTTTTGAAAGGCCGAAGAGATTTCATGGGTTTTGCGGCTCACGACCAAGACTCGGAGAGGAATTGTAGTGAGACGTAGCTCTGACAGGAGCTTGATGACAGAAGCCGGCTGTTCTGCTTCATCAACACCATCGAGGACCCAATAAATCGGAGAGCTGAGATCTAGTTGTAGCAGAGACTGCGTAAAAAGCCATTGCCAGAGATTGCGATAGTCTGCCGTCTTGAGATCTGTGGCAGTTGCTATGAGCTTGCGAAGCTCGGCAGCGTATTCAGGGACGGAATTCGCAACTTGACAAGCCAGCGAGCGCAAAATCATAGTTATCATTCGCTTGAGAGGTGAATTGAAACGTATGAAGAAATACTGGCAAGGTAGCTCATGCTGGGCAAGATAATTGATAACGAAGGACGAGAGGATTGATTTTCCACTGGCAGCATTGCCATTAATCCACAAGACTCGCGGCCGGAGCTCCAAGTCATTCATCCATCCCACAAACGCCTCATGGCTGATGATCCAGTTGCAAGTACCAGGCATCCAGCGGTCATGGAAAAAATTATAGTCTCCATCAGGAGACTCAAAGACGGATAGATGTTCGTTGAAATTGGTGATTGGTGGCTTCATCACATCTGTCGATGTCGAAGATTCTAAGTCATGAGTCTGTTAGGCCCCCATAATATTGAAACTAGAGCATACACTAACTTTTAACTTACCTTTTGATTTCCCTTTTCCAATCAAAGTTTTCAAGACATTTATCACGGTTATGTACTTTGGGTCAGCAGGGCTTGCATATTTACAAATCCCGTTGTGGTCAGCGTCAAGTGGCTTTGATATTTCTCCTGGGTACCCAAGGACGGACGAATCCTTATCTAGGACCATCTACGCAATGTCAGATGCCAGTGAAATTCTTTGAGTTTACGGAAATTATACATACTATTTGAGTCTTTTTGAGAATAGTCGTTGGACGGGTCTCGTAAAACGAGACGATTTGGAGCTTTGGGGCGACGTGTCTGAATTGTTCATTAAGCCTTTGAAGGGTCTGTGAACCGGCTGCAAGTTCAGCGATAAACTGCATTGGGTTGGCACCAAAAGACACCTGTAATATACGGTTCAGGGTTTCGGCGAGGTTTGTGCCGCGATGCGGGGTTGAGAGAAATACAATGGCCGAAACTGCCTTAATGATTGTTTCATAAGTCGGATCATACTGGCCTTGTATATATGCCTGGAAATTTGGGGAACTAAATGTTAGCAAGCACCCCCATACTAGAATCTCATAAATGTCACAAAATCTTCGACCTTGTAGAATCATACCTCTTTCACGATTAGACCACCCATAGAGTGAACTAAGAATATGATGGGTCGCTGTCTTAAGAATTAGCTTGCTCTCAGACATGAGTTTCCAGGTAGGCATTTTTACTTCACCCATTCTCAAATTCTGATGTTCTGGCGTTGACTCGTCTTGGGCATACTTAAGATCGTAGAGAAGATCTTTCGCGAAATCCAGAATCGACATCTTGTTCTTGCCGCTTCCCGGCCGAAATTTGCCATTATACCCAAAAGTTAGAATACGCGCCTCGTTGATACGGGGTTCCAGAGGAAGAAATCTCAATGGCCAGCAGAACTCGAGGCTGTGCTTATGTGCCCAAGTCATCCTGCTACTCCCTCCTAGGCCATGGACGAAGATGATATCCACACTGCGCTCTCCTGGCGGATGATATATCACTCTCAGCCCCAAGGGGTCTTTAGAGGATATCTCTTCTCCACGGCGCAAACTCTGAGCCTCCGAGGAGCCCTCGGCTTGATCATCGAAGGAGTTCCTATTTGCATATTCATTGCTAGGAGCAGCGAAATAAACCCGTGAGGGAGCAGAGGCTATATCAACTGTAGTCGACAATGACGCTATGTCTCCTGCCTCGTGGTCTCCATCATCGTCTTCTTCGGCATCTCTTTTTTTCTTGAGGAAGCCGAATTGTTTTTTGAACTATGTATTATCGCAAGCTTCAGGATCAACTATTGCAATGCAAGACCCTAGAAACTAGAAAGACGCACCATTCTGATATGAAATGAAACCAGGTCTCAGGGTTTAGAGTAGATCAGCGTACCGCTTGATTGTTGTCTTTTCTAGAAAGAATTCAAAAAAAAAAAAAAAAAAAAAAAAAAAAAAAAAAAAAAAAAAAGGAGCCAAATGCACGGTGTCGGTCAAGATCGCAAGTACATGTATTCGGATGATCTACACGGGCTTCCAAGCTTATGTTTGGCACCCGGATTCCGTAGGGGCGAGCCGACCTTTAAGCTCCCAAAAGCCCCTCAAATACCAGATAGATTATCAGGGAGGCACATGTCACATGTAGTAAGAGTAGTAGTAGCACAACATGAATGTATGTATACTGCCGTGCGTCGGCCAACACATAGCTCCCCTCCCATAATAGATTAGCCCCCCCCCCTCCTCTCTTCTACTAGAAGAGAAGGGATACAAATAGACGTGGTTTGCCTGAAAGCTCATGCTTGTCGGCTGCATACAGTTTTCAATCCGAAAAAAATCCTCCAGTTTTCGAGCGCCACTCTGACGATACATAACATACCTACATGCACCTATGCATAAATTCTAGCCATGTCGCTGGAAGTTATCCTACCCCAATTACCACAGCCCTTGGTAGAGCTGCAATTTGAATATGCACATGAAGCATCTCCTCAAGATGCTTATGTGTCGTCTCTAGAACATGCCGACAAAATCCTGGCTACACTTAACAACGGTCGTCAGCAGCCACCTGAGGATGCGAATAAAGCATCGCCACTGACGATCAAACAAATTCTTGTCCAGCTTGACGGAGTGTTTCCAATGGATGAAGCCGTGGTTGAAGGTATTGAGCCCGCTGGCCGTTTCAATTCCTTAAACTGACTCTATCTTATAGCTCTTCCAGTTGGGAGTACATTCGTGTCCGTTGAGCAGTTTGGTACCAGCGCTTGGACCATCACTGGACGGCTTACAGCCTTGGAGCGTGATGGATCTGAGAAGGCGTATTTTGTAAAGGTACCACACCATCTCCAACTATATAAAAATTGTATCATCAGAGTCTAATGTGCTTCTTTGGTGGAAAGGTTGCATATGGCGAGACGGGCCGCATCATGCTTCACGGTGAATTCGAGTCATCCAAGGTAATATACAGCACCATGTCGGATTTCATTCCAGAACCATTTGGGTTTGGTAAGTACAAGGTTCAGAGTCCGCCAACGTACTTTTATCTCTCCGAATTTATCGACATGGACGTCACAACGGCCCCGGATCCGGGAGATTTTTGTCATAAACTTGCTACTCTACACAAGTTGAGCAAGTCTCCAACTGGCAAGTTTGGGTTCCACACCCAGACTTGTGACGGTGACAGGGCTCACGTGGTTGACTGGCAAGACAGCTGGGCGGTGTTTTACAGGAAATTATTCCTTGGTGTCTGTGAACTCGACATAAAGCGAAATGGCCCGTGGCCAGAATACGAACGAGCCATCCAACAGGTGGCTTGGAAAATCATCCCTCGACTACTTGAACCTCTTCAGTCAGATGGGCGTCAGATCAAGCCATGTATTATCCATGGCGACCTCTGGGAAGGCAACATGGGGATAAAGATGGAGACTGGAGAAACCACCCTATTTGATGCAGGTTCGTACTTTGCTCACAATGAAATGGAGCTGGGTCACTGGCGGTGCGAATTCACCTCCGTTTTCAGGGCCAAGGTGTATACGAAGTATTACCTGAGAAACTATCCTGCTGCGGAACCAGTTGACGAGTTTGAGGACCGCAATCGGCTTTACAGTCTCAAGGGCGCTATCAACTACGCCGCTGGACATCCAGGGAGCGTTCTGAGGAAGACGTACGTACCACAACTCGTGCCCTAATCATTCTCATTACTGACTCTAGAACAATTAAGTGCCTATAATAACATGTGCTATTTGTGCGAGAAATACGCTCCTATTGGTGGGATTGACAAGTACGATCCTCACATCGATCCGTCAATCACAGGAGCTCGCATTATCCCCCATGTTGATGATGGTTTGATTTAATTTTGATTAAAGGAGTGGCGTTGGATAAGAGCGGGTGTGCTTGCTGGTTGGCTGGATAGATCATCCGCGCTTGGATACAAGTAGTGCGGGATGATGCATGTGGTTGATAGTGCTCGTACATCGTTAGGTCTCGATGAATTATGAAAACCAACTTCCCCAGCATGATCCTTGCGTCTCTTTCGTCAATATCGTCTTACGTCACAACTCGGAAACCAATCCATACAATCCTGTGTATTTTCGGACATCCCGACAAAGCGGGACACAACTCCTCCCACCGCATGTTAGAACCCGCGAGGCGGCTCCAATCAACACCATTCTCGCTTCACTTTGCCAATCCTGGTATCATTTTGGAGAACCCCGCATCCGTTGGTCAGACCATGAGGCGAAAATGAAGGTCGTACATAACGAAAGTCGGTCAACGCATTGGGCAAAGGCCGCTTATAGGTCCGAGCAACAGGTCATTAATCCTCGGAGCGGAGAACTGCCCTCAAAGGTACATGTAGGTTGCCGTACCTATCGTGCGACGATCTTGGAAATTTCAGTAGCCTACCATCGGATAATGTGCATAGGACTTACCCCTTCGGATCCCATGACTAAGTTATCTCGACTTAATAAACAGATAAATGACTATTGCCTTCAAGTTTTACAATTAAATTAGTTTTTAGCAACTTTCCGAATGCAAGAGGAATAAATACAAATATAAATTTAGCATTGGCTTTCTAGCTGTATACAATCGAAAACCAGATTTCTATTTCAATAGCTGTTTCATATATGTAATTTTATTATAATGGATTTTTTTTTCTGGGCTTTTCCAACCCAAACTTTTTCGGGTGCTTTTTCTGATACTTGATTCATACCTGTACCTTTTCCAAACCCTTAAATTCCTCAATGCATTAAATCCATCCTTTACAGCTACCTCTTACAAAACTTATTACAGCACCTCTTGCAATGAAAACGAGATCAATGAGACTAAATACTACAGGCAATATAAAGCATTATTAAAAGTACTAGTGAGAGTCTTGGAATTGAAGAGTCTAATTGATCCCGGTCGCTAAGTCTCGCATAGTCATGCTTTTACCTATGTACATATAAGTTAAAAACTTCCACTGTTCTTATTAAAAGCTACAGTTTGGAGTACAGAATAACAGCTCACGTTAATTAAAGATAATGTCAGTTTAGTTTCCAGACCTAAGTAAGTATGAATCAATGGGTTTATAAACTCGCGATAGCGGTAGACTCCATACCCTGTCAAAGATTTGGCACAGCCGCACCTTGCTGTCGTACTCAATGCGGCCATGTCAAGACAGCCAGTCATGTTGACAGAGTTCCCACCTACATTCTTTTGTCTACATGCATGTGGTTTTATCACCAACCGTGCACGTAGGGCGAGAATCTCTTGTATTGGCTGTTGGTGGTGTTAGCACATTCCTCTGTAAAGTACGCTTTGTCCTGGAATTGGCAGTTTTTGGTATAAATACAGGCCCATGGAATCTCGTCTTCGCAGACATTTGGCGACTATGAAGTGTATGTCGCATTTGGCGGTGGAATTTGATCATAAAGTCACGACCTTTCGACTGCCAGAAAGGCCAAAATGACGGACATAGAGATGGATCCGGTGCAATCACCGATAGCGATGGAGAAGTCAGAGGCAGCGCAGCATAATGAGGCTATCATCACCGATGCGGATCATGAGGAACCCTGCGAGTATTCAGTATTCTCTATGGCATTGCGCACCTATCTCACATACTTCCTCGGCTTTGCCATGATCTTATCAACTTTGACGGCGACAATCTACTTCCCCCTTATCCCCATCCTCAGCACCCAGCTGCGCGTTTCCATCCAGGCGATCAATCTCACGGTGACCGTCTACGCAATCGCACAGGCCCTTTCACCGGCATTATTTGCCTCTCTGGCAGACAGCTTCGGCCGCCGCCCCGTGCTGTTGGGTCTTGTGACGCTCTACGCGGTCCCCAGCCTCGGCCTTGCTCTCAATCGCACGAGTTATCCGGCCTTGCTAGCACTGCGTGCCCTCCAGAGCATTGGTGGATCTTCCATACCTTCTATTTCCTACGGTATCGTCGCCGATGTTGCTCCTGTTGCCGAACGCGGGAGTATGCTGGGCCCTATGCTGTCGACGTGCAACGGCATCTCCGCTGTTGGGCCAGTCGTCGGTGGCGCCGTTGCTCTGAGTACCGGAGGTGTGAGATGGGTTTTTCTTGCTTTGTTTATTGTCGCAGCTTTGTGTGTGATGCTGGTTGGATTTACATTGCCCGAGACTGCGCGGACTGTCGTTGGGAACGGCAGCGTGCCAGCCGTGGGAACATGTCGGACGTGGTGGTCAGTGCTCCGAAAGAAGAGGCCTCAAAGAGAAGACGGGCATGACGAGTCTCATCCGAGCAAGGAAAAGAGATCATGGCGAGTTACCAACACTTTCGCTGCATTTCGCATCATCCTTTACAGAGATGCCGTGGCTGTGCTTTGGATGGTGGCTTCATCATATTCCGTCTACTATACGTTCCAGGTTGCAATTCCGGTCATCTTCGACAAAATTTACAAGTATAACGAACTTGAAATCGGGCTGGTCTTATTACCAGGATTGGCAGGAATGACTATTGGAGGGATAATCGCCGGAAAGCTCGTGGACAGGAATTACGCCATTACTGCGAGAAATCACAATGTCGATCCTCGGGAGAAGAACGCGAAACTCCGAATAGACTTCCCCATAGAGGCCGCTAGATACAGGAATTGCTTTATCTTTATCCTGATCGAGGTACTTCTGGTCATTGGCTACGGCTGGGCGGTCTACTTCCGTTTGCATCCTGCCGCGCCTATTGTTCTTCAGTTTTTTATATGTGGTACATCAACCTTGTTGAGCCACACTGCCAGTGCATTGCTTGTGGACATATTCCCCGAAATGTCCAGCACTGCCTATGCCTCAGGGCAGATCATGCGGTGCGGACTAAGTGCCGCTTCAGCTGCTGTTATTCAACCGCTCATTAATGCAGTGGGATATGGCTGGTACTTTACCATGTTTTCCCTTTTTATTGGAACAACGGGTGGCGCTTCAGTTTTAACCAGCCGTCTGAAAGGAATGAAGTGGCGGCAGAAGAGAGTCTCACAACGAGATCCCTAGTTCGTACAAACGAGATGAAGTGTGGAAGCTTTGCCAAATGTCTATAACGTTATCGATGTCGTTCTGATACCTTGGGAATTGAACTGTAAACTGTCAAAGCATATTTCATATACCTTACATATAAAGTAGTTCAACATCATCAATTTGCATCTCTTCAAACCTTTTAATTGCGTAAATAAGCATGCAAATAGGTCATATTATCGCCGCATGATCTCTACTTAGGCTATAGCAGAAAGTGCGGAATATCATGGCATATACGGATGTCCGTCACCATGATTGCTACAATTGCGATTATTGGCCTACTCTTTTGCCCTGTTGGCGCTACGGTATAACGGAACGTAACAGGAAAGCACCTGCACCTTGAAACACACAAAACCCTGCTTGTCTGACCGCCATAAGGACCATGGCACGAGAACAAGTCAGGGAATCAACTGATCTAGTTGGCCCGGCTATGCTCCCGTTGGAGCGAGGCCGTCTGCAAAACCAGGGGTCATTTTGAAGGGAAAAAATGTCTTGTTATTGCTATCAAGTTTGAGGAAACATGCCTCTTTTATACCACGAACTCAGGCTAGACCCGGCTTAGCCACCAACATGAAGCTTAGTCAAAATAACAGGCCCTGAAGATCCCTTAAGTCTTAATTAAAATTTGCTTGATAAACTTGAGAGGCATATCATGACCAAAAGATTTCTTGTACTCTTTCTGAATATCATCGTCAGAGAGTCCAGCAAGTCGCAGGCCCTCAGCAATATCAATAATTTCGTCTTCATTAAAGCTCGCAATCTGGGCGACTGTCTCGTCAACAGAGTCTGTAGGGACTGCTGTCATGGGCGAAGATCCGTATTGTTACAGCACTGCTTTGAGGAGGTCAAGGACTTGCTCAGCAGTGGTGAGCGGCCGAGGATTGCCTCGACACCACTTATCTTTCAAACAGTTTGCAACCAATTTGTGCAGATTTTCTTCTTGAAAGCCGACGTCATGCAAACTCCTTGGCATCTCTAAATCCCTCAATAATGCGTCCAGAATCCCTCCTAAAGTATCGGCGGTGCTCAGTCCACGAGAGTGAAGGATAGTTCTTATCTGGAGATTACCAAAGAGCGTTTCCTTCACAACCTCCTGTTCATCTCGATTAACGGGGAGATTGTAGAGGCAAACAGCAGGGAGCAAAACGCAGCTTGTGTTTCCGTGGCCGACACCAAATGGCCCGAGTTGGTGTCCAATCCCGTGGCTGGCCCCAAGAGTTACACACTTGATTGCTCTCATTGCGTATACTCACCCAATTTGACACAAGAGCCGTGCCTCCTAAGTCATTTTCGTCGGATTTTGATCGGCAAAGGCCGCGCACGAGCAAAGTGAGACCTTTTGCTGCATCTTCCAAATTTTTGGGTGGTGAACTTGAGTTGCACATAGTTTCCACGCAGTGGTCGACAGCACGAATGCCACTGCTTAGCCAGGAGGACAGCGGAACCTTGACAGATAGCTTTGGGTCGAGAAATACGAGCGAAGGAGCCCTGCATAGGAAGCTTGCCTTATGGCAAGAGACGTCATCTGTTCCTCCAGCGGACGGACTATATTCGGCGCCAGACAGAGTGGTGGGAATAGCCACGATCGGAATCGCTGGCGATTCACATTTTACCGTTGTCGTTTCCTGATAGTCTCGGGTGAGAGTTCGCAGAGAATCAATATCCATTGCTTCATTAGCAACTGCCTGCGACTCTGGTCAGCACTGTGAAGGCCCGGTTCTTATCGCTGTCACCTACAAAAGCGACAATTTTTGCGCCGTCGGTCAAGCTACCACCACCAAGCGTTATGATCATATCCGCCTGAAGTGTCTTTACCTCTCTTGCTATCTCGACAATTTCTGACCATTTGGTATGAGATTTCATTCCGGTGCGGACTCCAATGCATCTGTCGCCTAGGGTGTTTGTAAGTTGTTCGAGATACTTGGTATGCCTAGCCAATGAGCCTGAGCAAATGACATATATGCGCAATGCTCGTTGCAAGCTAACTATGTGTTTGTCAACTGCAGCTAGGAATGAGGTGTTGTAAATAACTGTTGGTTCGCGGTTCATGCCAAAAGGTTCTGGCCCAAGATCGTGGTTTTGGGCAAAATCTAGCTCACCAACCTCATCAATAACAACATGTAAAGTCCTTTCAGGTCGCTGCTAATATTCAATGTTAGCAGTTATGAGTCTCTGGGTCACTAAAAAATCTACCTGAGCTGCAGTAATTTGATCCATCGAGTTTGATCACTTCACCCAATAACGGTGGGAACTATTGATTGGTGCTTGCTTGAGCAGGGATCTGTAGAATCTCGAGTTTCCGGCTAATGCTTAAGACGTCTTTTAGTTAAGAGATGACACCCATTGAATTACCTTCCTTGGAAGTATTGAACATTTAACAGGCCCAGCGCATAGCTTTCGCAGCTGGAGCTTCGCACCTCAGCAGCTGCGTCACTCCAACAATATGCACTTGAGTATGGAGTTTCCGTACGTGGGTCTGCATGACCGGTTCCGTGACCCAATTCCGCGAGACCATTCCGTGTGCGTATTCCGTGAGTGCATTCCGTGAATCCCTTCCAATATTGCTATTCAGAGTGCTTTCCAAGAGTTCATTCGCCAAGCATTCAAAAACGCGGCAGACTTTGGAGTCCGAAATGGCACTTACTGTTAAAGGAGACGAGCCCGCCTTTGGTTCTGGTTCACCCGCCAAGTTCGTCAGCCCAGTCAAGCCAGCTGTGAATATACATTCGAGTTACCGACTACGCCCGGGTGCGATTATCTATTTTTCAGAAAACATCAATAGAAGGCAGAAAAATGCCCGTCACAAAATTCCAAGTTGCCGAGAAGTATGATTACTTGCACGGATTTGGCTCGTATCATGAGTGAGTGCGTGCCCAACGGAAACATGGTTTAAGATAGTGTAGCTGACAGACATAGATCTGAAGCCGTAAAGGGTGCTCTTCCTGTAGGCGCAACGTCACCGCAAAAGCCTGCGTACGGCCTTTATGCAGAAAAGTTTTCCGGCACCGCATTCACAGCGCCACGCGGAGAGAATCTACAGTCCTGGCTGTATCGCATTCTCCCCAGCGCCGCCCACAAGCCGTTTGAGCCGATCAAACGACTTGGTAACACCTCATTCAGTCAGCCGTTGCATCATATTCCCAACCAGCTTCGCTGGGACCCATTCAACACCAACGTCAATGCTGATTGGACTGATTCCCTGCATTTGGTTTGCTCTGCCGGCAACCCTTGCATGAAACAGGGTCTGGGTATCTTGATATATGCAGCGGGAAAGTCAATGGAAACAAACGAAGCCTTCTCATCCGCAGATGGAGATTTTCTTATAGTTCCTCAACAAGGAGTTCTTGACATCCAGACAGAGCTCGGGCGTCTTCTTGTGCGCCCAAGAGAGATCTGTGTAATACCAAGGGGGACTCGCTATAGGGTGTCGCTCCCCGGAGGCTCGGTTCGGGGGTATATCCTCGAGCTTTACCAAGGACATTTCCAACTTCCTGAGCTAGGGCCAATTGGTTCTCAAGGCCTTGCTAATTCTCGAGATTTCCAAATTCCGGTTGCCGATTATACTGCCGACACAGAAACCGAATGGCACCACATTACCAAATTCAATGGCGAATTCTTTACGGCAAAACACAACCATACACCATTTGACGTAGTCGCATGGCATGGTACCTACTATCCCTATAAATATGATCTTGGCCGTTACAACACCATTGGCACGGTTTCATATGACCATCCCGATCCAAGTATCTTCACAGTACTCACAGCTCCATCGGATCACCAGGGAACGGCAGTTGCCGACTTTGTAATTTTCCCGCCTCGATGGTTAGTGGCTGAAGATACATTTCGACCTCCTGAGTTTCACCGGAACACCATGTCGGAGTTCATGGGACTTATTGACGGAATCTATGATGGTAAGGAGCGAGGTTTTAGTCCCGCAGGCGCGAGCCTGCATAACATTATGAGTGGCCATGGACCGGACGCAGAGGTCCATGAAAAAGCATCTAATGAGGACTTGAAACCCGTCAAGGTTGGAGACGGCAGTATGGCATTCATGTTTGAGAGCTGCTTCATGATGGGTGTAACAGACTGGGGTCTTCATGAGTGCAAAAAGGTTCAGCCAGATTATTCAGACAATGCATGGGGCGCTCTAAAGCCATCATTCGATCTTGCGGTAGATCGAAAGACCGAATAAAGATTAGTTTACTGAGGTAGAGAAATTTTTGATGCCAAACTCAGCTAATCGGCAAGTGATTCCTGCATCCTGTTGAAGTTCCGTGAAGGGCAGTATTCGCTACCGAACAACATGGAGACGACGGATCCAGTGCCATGATCAATTCCGGAGTCATCGACTGCATTCCTGTTATTCACATGGACTCCTCAGAACAATGGTTTCATCATCCCCGCACGGCTTTTGTCGCAAAGTTTATTCGAGGGGCCTATTCCGGAGCCTATTCCGGTACTATTATTCCGTGGCCAACGTAAGACGTACGGCTTTCCGCTTGGCTGAAGCGTCGTTGTTTGACGTGCATCTCATCTACTGTTCCGTCCAGGGAATACTCCTGAGTACATGCTGTGAAGTTGCAATAATGCTGTATTGAAAGGATGACATTTAAGATGAAATTTGCTCCAATGAAGTTGAACCCGACTTCGATGGGTTTAGAGGGTAATGTCTTTCGAACCCAGCATCAGCGACGGGCCACTGCAAGACGTACTCCCTAGTGCAGTTCGTGCGATCTGTTATGGCTCTAGTACAGCAGAATTCTCCAGGTACGATGATGACGGGGTTGGTCAGATCAGGTCGTTGCCGGTGAAGAGGATCAAAATGGTCGAGGCCCTGATCAATCTCGCGAGAGCAGCCCACACCTCTAAAGGAGCCAGAAGGCAGCCACCGGCAAGACTTTCGTTTGCCTCTTCCATAGCGGTTGTCAGGAACTATGGCAAAGAGTTCTCTGCTTCGTCTTCATCAATCACCGTGCCAGAGGAAGAAATGCAGAGTCCGGAGACAGTGGTACCCATGGGCTATGCAGAGGCTAAATGGGTATGTGAACGTTTGCTCGGCCATGTTGGTCGCCACTTCCCAGACGAAATTGAGCCTATTATTGTACGAATTGGCCAACTTTGTGGGCCGGAGGCATCGCCGGGAATATGGAAGTCGTCGGAGTATATTCCGGCATTATTGAAGGCGAGTAATCTCATTGAAGCCATGCCTCAACTTGAAGGAGTAAGCCAATCATGTCCTTGATTCCAGGTGCTGTTTACTGACATATCGTACGAAATATCTTGGTTGCCAGTCGATCGAGCCAGTCGCTCTTTGATCGACATTCTATTCCAGCACGATAAGGTACCTTTGGTGCTACATGTCGAGAACCCCGTGCAGCAAAATGCAGATAGCATCATGAACACACTGGTAGATGCGCTAGGCCTCTCTCCTGACAGGAAGATGCCCTACCAGGAATGGCTCCGTAAGGTATTAAGTCTAGGTGTATTCGACTCCCTAATCGATTTCCTCACCAACGATTTCCAAGACTTAGCTCTTGGAGAGATTCGACTAGATACGAAGAAAGCAATATACTACTCAAAGACATTGCAAGAGTCGCAGGGTGTCAATAACGACGTATTGATAGAATACATCAGGCGGGGGGAGAAACAGGGAATGTTTACAAAAGCTGCGCAATAGCCTTGAGCTAGGCACTCACCATCACTTATACATGTAGACATTCCCACTAATACAATCATTACAATCTCCACTGCGAATACCACTAGCCGTTGGTGTTCCAAATCTCTCTATATGTTCTATAACTTTAGCCAGAGACTGAGTTTCTTTGCGAATTCTAGATTGTTAGGGTATTTACGTCACAGAAGTAGAGTGCCTCAACATCACATATAACCTTGCGAGAAAGAATAATAAGCACATACGACCATAGGTAGAGGAGAACTCGGGGTCCCGTCTGCTCCCCCATAGATAAGCCTCTAACCGGCAGATTAGTAGTTGAGTGGGTGACCATCAGCGAACACCGGCTGTTGTATGTTTTTTGGTTTTCTTTTTACTTCTTCTTTTCTCTTTTTTTTTTTTTTATGTGTGTGTGTGCGGATGTGTGTTTGCCCAAGTTTAAGTGCGTATATGCTGTGGTGTGGTGGGGTTTTTGGGCGGCTGAATTCGTGCATGTAATAACGCTACTTGAAAGCCTTTGGCTGCTTGTAAGATGATACATTTACATGCCCATACATGCCTGAATCGGTTCAATTCATCTGCGAATACCTAGTAAAACATTCGTGGTTACTAGTAACTTAGAAGAATATTCTCACATTGGCTTCCTTCCACATGCTTACTTCATTGAATCAATAGTAAGAAGAAGAAACACACTTTCCAGCTCAAGACTGAGCAACTACCTCATCAATCGCCTATTTCCTGACTCAATGCTGTCCTTTCTTGTCTTTCTTTCCTTTCCTTGATGTGACTTTGTGATCTTTGCCACGAGAGCCCTTTTGCTCCTTTTTGACTTCTCTCTTGGTAATTATCTTCTTAAAACCCTCAGTCTCTTTCTTTTTCCCTTTCTCTTTCTCAATTTCCTCCTTTATTCTCCTGGGCCCATATTTGTTAGACTTTTGCTCACTGCCATGACTTCATCTGCGACGCCAAATTGAGATGTCCGCTTACCTGCTGGTATTCCCGTGTCTTTTTTGCTCATTCCACTCGATCATTTCCTCGATTCCGGCCTTAGCATTCGGTCGCTTGGCGTAATATTTGTAAATCATATTTTTCGAATCTCCTTTTGTAAATTCTTTCTTAGTTGACTTCCTAATGCGAGCAGCCATTCTGAAATCGGCCACGGTATTGAGCGAAATGGCGGACAACATGGATGCGATATCACAATCGCCATATGCGTGCTTGGTCCAGGGGTTGCGTTCGTCCTTTTCGTCCTTGATGATCAACCCCGTCGCAGTTTTGCTGTGGCGTTGTATGATTTCCTCTTGAATGTTTTCGTCATGTATACTTTCCTGTTCTTTACTTTCCTCGTGTATGCTTCCCTTATTAATGCTTCGTTGAGGTCTCTTGCTGTTGCTTTGTTTAATTTCCTTCTTCTGGCTTTGTGTGCTGCCCTCCTCATATTCATACTGGCCGCTCGCATCAAACACCTTTAAAGCAGTATCTTTTCTCTCTTCGCCAAACTCAAATCGGATGAGAAAGTGCGGGTCTTCAGTTTCAGTTGCCACAAGAGGCTGCCAGCACATTTCCTCGAAATCTTCCACTCCCTCCAGCTGTGCATCATCAGTAGCCTCGATCAACTCCCAGAATGCTCCCACCAGTTCGTACAAGATGGCTTCCTCACTTCCTTCTTCGAGCGGCTCGTCATTGTATATCTGTTATATGTCAATGCGTTAGCGATATATGACCCCTAGTAATTGAGTCACTCATACTTCTAGGGCCAAGACACACCTCTTCTCTCCTCTCCTTATCATATTTTTTAATCTTCTTGGCTATAGCCAAGTTAACGGCGTCCTTATTAACGTCGCCATTTTTCTTATAGTAGTTGGCCCCGTCGTCTGCAGCATGGTCGAGTAAGTATTTGAAGTATACTTTTCTCCAATTCGCCCAGTTATCCTGGGCCTTGATTCTTTCCTTAGCGTCGGCCATACGCAACATTCCTTCATTGACTTCCTCATCTTCTTCTTCAATGTCTTGATCCCCTTTGTTAGCATCGTTCGAATCTTTCTTATCCTTTTCTTCCAGCATCTTAGAGTCTTCTTCAGCACTTTCCAGCCGATTTTGCATAACGGCTCCAAGTACATGCTTAAAGTTAATGTCCTTGTAAGAAACTTCGCCTTTGCTGAGCCAGTACACTGAGCGAGTCGAGAATAATCCTTGTCCTCTTTCAGCCTGTTTATTGTTTAGGCCTTGGCTGCTGATGTTTTTAGACAGCTCTTCAAAATAGCTTCTTAGAATAATCAGAACATCCCAAGCTGCCGAAAGAAAGACCTCATCGTTAGCTTCATCATAAGCACTTCCGTTAATCGGCGGAGAAAGGGGGCTTACTGGGGTGACCGTGGCGGGTTCCTGGCGTAACGAGTACCTTGCTAGGCTTCATATAATCGATGACTATGCCAATCTCTTTGGCATCTTTCATCGCCTTTTCTTGATCGTTAGTCACCTCTATCTCCAGATCGTCCGTTTTCTTTGAGTTTTCCTCCTCCATCTCGGCCTCCGAGTCAGTATCTGACTCCGACGGGGTTTCCTCTTCTTCAATTTTTTTGTCCTCGCCTTCTGCATGGGGAATTTTTCCAAGATTCTCCCCTGTTGATCCATGGTGATCCAACTTGACCATTTCCACGTCACCCCCAGGCCAACGCTTCTTGAACCACTCCTGTACAGGCTCTTTGACTACCTTCGGGTGGCCATCTCCGCCCGTGTAGTACGAACAGAAGTCCTGGCCCGTCCAGTACAGGAGAGCAAGAATAGACGTCTCGTTGCGTGTTGGTTTCGATTTGCAAGCGATTGGCATTCCAATCCCGTATCCATTTGCGCCCACCACACAGAAACGCGGCGTGTTTTTGGAAACCGGGTCATTTCCGTCAGATTCTAGCCGCATGCTGATTCCTCGAGTCTCTTTGTAGCTCGGTAGTCCCGTTTCGTGGTCGAAGTAGAAACTGCGAGTGAAAAGGTCAAGGCCTATGAGGGCTTGGCCCCATATACACCTGAGCAGCGTTTGTCCCTCGGGACTCCTCTGTTTGGCTTCTTTCAAGCCTTCCCAGAGCTGACATTTATCCTCCTTCACAAAAAGACGCAAGAAGTCGCCTCCTCCCTTGAACATGGCTTTGGTGTCCCATGCTCCGCATAATAGCACAGGCTTAGGGTTGAAATAAAGAGACGCAAAGTTTCCAGGGCCGCCCTTGGTGACGTTGGCTCCATTACGGTAACAACGCGTGAACTGGATCTCATTATTGACAAGCAGATCCTTAACGCCGCGAAAGTGGTCCGCATCCCAGTGAGTAACCACCCAGGAGTCAAACGTCCAGCCACTGCCCAATTCGAGGTCGATGAAACGAAGGGCCTTCATGATTTGGGCCCAGGCGGCATAAATGCCCGCGTTGGTGCCGCCATCCATAAGAAACGCCCTTTGCACAGTTCCCGTCAACTTATCAACAAGGAAGTGTGCGGAACAGTCGCCGATCGGCACGGGGATCTGATAATTAACCACTTTCCAAGGGGAAGGATTGGCCAAACTGTTAACCCAAGTTCTCTAGTTAGCTCTGTCTGTTACGAGGGGCCACTCTCAGGTTGACTGTTGTCCACTGACAGATTTAGGCTGATGTTGCCAATAACTTGGTCATTGGTACCTGTATCCACGTAAATGTTGTCCAGCTGTATGGGGTTGCCAATATGCTGGTTATTGCTATCATGTGCATATGTGTTGTGCAGCGCTTCATCCGGGGTTATGTTGCCGGCTATGGTACTCGTGGTCTTCTTCTTATTTGCCCTCGCCGTTGTCTGTTCTGCACTGTCCGTCTTCTTGTTCCTAGTGGCCTTTTTCTTCTTCCCGCCGTTCACATTCTCAAACTCATCAAATTTAGGCTTTTCCGCCGCGTTTCCATTTTTGCGACTTCTCGTATTGTATATACGGCCGTTCGTGTTGTCGTCCGTTGGGGCCTTCATGTTGATGAGACTATGGCTTCAGCAGTTGGCAAACGTTGCAGAAGACAATATTTCAATTCAACAAACAACAGGTCTGGGCATCCTCGTTCATGTAAAACTCGGTACCATAGTGTTTAAAAAATAAAATAAAATAAAATAAAAAAAACGATACACATGTGAGGCTGAACTACATGTAGTCGTAAGAGGCATTCCTGTGTCGACTATACAGCTGAACATCGGATGCTTTCAGTGGTCCACATCTTCGTGCAAGGATGTTTACAGGCCAAGAGTAAGCTATTGTCAATAGCGCTTGGAACTAGCATTTACAGCTCCGTCCACTTCCCGCTCCCACGCATGGAAGTAGGTGTGGCGCTCTCGCGTCGGCCCGGACAGGACAGGACAGGCATGTAATAGTTTCTGGGCTGGGATGGCAAACGCCTTCATTCAGCACGCCACTCCCCTCGGAAGGATTATAGCGTAGCTACAATTTGTCTTCCCGGTGGCTACTGATTCATATACAGATATTTTACGCTCATCTCTCGAGAGGGTGGAATTGTATAGTTGGCACATTGGGGTTGTAACGTGGATATACACAAAATACAATGCACATTGTAGACAATACACCCCGCAGGCATCTAATTTGTTAGCTTGGTACTGATCATCAAATTGCCAAACACACATAGAAAAGTATACCAAAGTCACAATTTAGATGCCTGTGGGATGTACAGTGCTTGTCGTCAGGGCCATTAGACTACATGTACTAAGCTTGACATACTGCACATTTGAATATAGCAAGAAAGCAAAAAAACATGCATCTTACTCTACCGCAAGCCAGGCAAAGCGCATCTCGGTCATGATCGTATCACCCCACGTTCCTCCATGCCAACGCACCTTGTCCTTAGTCGCCCACTCGAGCTTTCCAAATACCGGCAGAGAACCCGGGACAGTTGGATCTCCCGGAAAGTCAATGTAGTTGATACCGATAAACACTTTTGGCTCTTTGCTAAAGCTGCCGTTGTACCAAGTCTGCTCGGTCGCCGCCTGGTCCTTGATGAACCGTTCATTCCCAGCCCTGACTGACTTGCCGTCACACTCGGCCGGCCATGCCAACCACCCGACACGCGCCACTTCAAACTCACTGTTGTCCCAAGTGTCAATATGGACAGTCATCCCTACAGCCGTGACATTGCTGGTATATGTCCAGAGGTACTTGCGAGTGTGTGGCTGCGAAATCTCTGTGAACCAGACAATAACCTTTGGCTGTTCTTTGAAACGCTTGCTAAACGTGACTGAGATCGTTGCATTCTGATTCGCCGCACGGCCGCCAGGGTTGTCACTTGCGTCAACATAACCATGCTGGAAGGGAATCTTGCCGTTTGGCAGGACCATGGCGCTGGCCTCGAGATTTAGCGTGCCGTGCAAGAAGGACTTGGCCGACAAGGTATATCCCGTTTCTGAGACAGACGGGAGACTAAGGGCAACACGAGGGCCGTTGACGTTGGTAACATCAATGGCGAGGAAGCCGTAGATGACCGTGGGGACAATGGGTAACGGCTTGGAGAAATTGTGCTGGAATGTGCCACACCGACCAGCTACGGTCCCTCGCCAGGCTAGATGCCTGTAACCACTGAAGTAGCGAGCCTCTGCATCGGTTGTGACTGTAGACGGGTCGATTGTATCCTCCATGGGGTTGCCCACAGCGGCAGCGGTACTCTAAAGCGTCAATGTCAGTAAAAAAAAAAATCCACGGAGACGATGCGGCGTAAAAAAACAAACCACTTTGTTACCCCAGATCGGGGCCAGACGGAAGATGCCGCTCTTGGAATTGATTTGAGGCGTTGTGGTGCCGTAACCCCAGAACCCTTTGATCTGAGCATTGACGAGCAGAGGGTCAAAGTGCTTCATGGAGAGATTCTCGAATTGAATACCATCACGGATGCCCTCTCCGTTCACGGCAGGCTTCCAGTCTTCCGAATTGCCCAAGAGATCCGGCCCACGGTTGGTGTAAAGCCGAACAGCGGTTACGCGGAGCGGAGCATTGTCTAGACCCCGGACGCGGCCCGTCTCAATTGAGCAGGCAATAATCTTCTCGCCGTCTTCATGGTGCACCGTAAGTGAAGCCCTGTAATTACCTCCGGCCGTCCCCACGGCAGCTAAAAGGCCGTTGGTATATCGGGCACTGATGCCCGTAACCACGCCGTCGTTGACGTCGACGGAAATGGTGCGTAGGCTGAAATCAGGTTTGACGAAATCCAAGTTGCAGAAGAGAGTGCCTTGGGCAGAACCAACCATAGGTGCCAGCTTTTGGAACACGCCGACGTCAGGTTGGTCTACTGCGTAGCTCTTTGCCTTGGCATCTTCGTCGTCAGTCGTACCGTCGCCGTCGACACGCTCAAGCAAAGAAGGGTAAGGGGCATTAGTTCCGAAAATCTCACGATATGGTACTTTTTCCTTTTCTTTGACAGTGGGAAGTCGCTCGCGAAAGATGATGGTGCTCTGTATGGCCTCTGGACGCTTTTCATCGGCGGCATAGTCCGGACGTTCCTCGATTGCATCGATTTCCTTGACAATCTTGACCATCTGGAACCGGCAAGCACGGCGGGCCAGGTCAAGCCCCTTAATGGTCGCAGGGAAAGGGGTCTCGTCGGTGGTCTCGATAAGGGTAGAGGAATCAGCAAATTTAATCACATCTTGACCCCATTCTCCAAATTTCTTCGTGCCGGCTTGGATGTCAAAAAGTTGAGTTCCGAGGGTACGGTATATCTACTTGAATCAGCTAGCCGTAAATAAACTTCTTGTGGAAAACGAAAGACGTACGTTCTTGTAGTCCATGTAAGCGTCCAGCAGAGAGTTGGTGTAGATGGCTGCATTTTCGTAATACATCGGCTTAAGCTCCGGGGGCTTCAGGGCCATGTAACTCCGAAGAGACTCGTACTTGGTGAGGATAGCACTGAAGAATTAGACAACCTTCGGTAGTTTGGTAAACGTTACTGAGGTGACTCACTAAGTACGCTGGGGGGAGTTCGCGACGAGGTCGGGGAACTTGGCAGCGGTCTCCATCAAAGTTTGGATCGTCCAAAGTTGATCCACTGTATCTAATCAGAATACCGAGCAGAAAAGGCAAAGGTGGTTTGTGTTACCCGGCTTGATGTGGCCGCCACCCGACCAGCCGACCTGAACGGTCGTCTCCGTCTGGGACGAAAAGTTGGACTTGCTCATGTCAACACTGGCCTGAGCTTTGATGTCCGCAGCTCCAGCGCTCAAAGCGATTTCTGCTCTGTTCCAATGTCAGTTAATCATGCGCCGTTACAGCAAAGTGTTAACAAGAAGGGGGGTATTTACTGGGCTTTGACAGCCGTGCGCTTGTCCTTATTCAAGACTTTCATGCTTACAAGCGCGTTAAATTCACCGCCTTCTAGAAACCCCGATATGAAGCAGTCTCCAAAGACGGAGCGAAAGTTATCCTTGTTCACCGAGGGAAGGCCCTGGAAAACAAGGGCATCCTTGATGTTGATGCTTTGGTTGATGACCTTGACGGAGATGAAAAAGTTGAGATCACTCTCCTTAAATTTGTCTGTATCAATAAAAGAGCCTTTGCCGGAGCCACCAATGCTACCATACTTAATCGAAAGAGATCCAGAGATGTTCATATCGTCAGTTATTTCACTAGGAAGTATTAGTTATATCAACACAAGACAGATAAACGAAGTGATCAAATACCTAATTTTATTCACAAAGCGTGAACTATACGTGACGATTTGGCTCGGGCCACGCGTAGACAGCTCTCGTGCAGCACCACGAGGATTCTTACTCTTTAGGCTAGTTCCATTCGTTTTGAGGCGAGCAAGACGCATCCGCTTCTTTTCGAGAAGCAGAGCATCTCGTTTTGTATCGTCACTGCCGGGGCTAACCGCTTCCTCGATGGCGGACTCAAGCCTGGCAATGTCCTCGACAAGCTTGGCTATCGTCTTGACATCTTGATTTAGCTGAATTGCCATACTGTCAAGAGCTGTTGGAGGCGCAGGTCCTATCATGGCTGGTGTCCCACCCGAGGCATCAGTTCCTGTCAAAACAGCCGGTGTTGGAGCCACTCCGGGTAGTTGACGCTGAGGTTGAATCCCGTCCTCGTCCTCATCGTCGTCTTCAGACTGATCTTCAACGGCGGCGCGGGCGGCATTAGCTCGTGCACCAATACCGTACCGAAGCTCTCGCATGGTAAAGCCATCGTTGGTAACCGCGTTATCGATGCGGTCGGGATCAATTACAACAGCGTCGTCAATACAAATTTGCTGTGTGTACGAATTGAAGCTGCTGCTGTCAGATTCGTCATCTTTTTTAAGTCCAATTGCAGAGCCTACCCTTGGCCTACATCATGTCTGTCAGTGGTCTACGTAGGGGAAATCATGGGTGATGTGCGAACAACTTACCAAGGCGCATGCCATTGTTGTAAGGCGCAAGACTCAGAGACATGATTGCACAACGCCAAACACACACGACCAAAAACAAACGAAGCAGATTCTCAAATCTAAAACCAGATGAAATCCGACAAGAGATTGAGCCCAATGTTTTTCAACTAAACCTCTGGTAAGACCCTCCATGGCTGTCCATTTTACCGTTCCCGTACTTTAACAGCGTTGATGGAGCTTGCGACTATTGCCAATATTTGACAGGGATATCATGCCAGGCAGCGGGCCAAATTTTGATAGTGCCATTTTCAAAGGCCACCTGCAGGATGTGAGCCCGATGCAGGTAGGATATAATACGAGTGCTGATCGCTGAATATCAGCAAATGATGTTGGCGCATCTGCGAGAGCTGAATCCCTCTTCCCCACAAGTCAGCTTTTTTCTTTCCGAGAATGGCTTCAAAAAGTGACAGGTAACCTCAGCCGCCGGCACAACACCAGCACACTCGGGTAATTCCGACGCTTAAGGGCAGTCCCGAAGAAAGGTGGGCTCGGCTTAAAATTGATGTTGTTGTTGTAGTCCTTTGTAAAAAGCTGCGACGCCATGATATTTGCCTCCTCTGCGGGCAGCCAAGAGCTCTCAGCTGGCTTCACATCCTTGTCCCTCCCAGTCTAGAACGCAAAAGCGGCGGCTAAGGATAGACTGTGGGGGGCGGCTGTAGTCTGTGAGATACTGGAGCCGTGAAAGCTCCAACATACATTTCCAATCAGATTAGTTTCAGAAGAAGACGTACAGTACTTTCTGAACTCCGGGCCGCTCAACGTTTGAAGACCTCGTCAGTCCCTCCTGCCTCTCAACCAACACCATGCATGAGCAGCCATGCCAGTCTCTGGAATCGCCAAAGCTAGCAAACCGGCCCCTCTGACAGCTGATACCCTCGACCCCGATGAGTTCGACCCGCTCATCCCCCGCGTGGTCCAGCAGTCCCTCACGCGGTCCCCGATCCGGCTCCCATGGCAGGCCCGCGTCCTTCCCCTAGGCATGTTCTTCCGCTCAGCGGCCACGGCCAACGGCGAGAACCCATTCTCCATGCAGTCGGCGTGGGACACGGATTCTCTCATCTCTGCGCCGATAGAGTTTACGGCAAATGATGGCAACTGCAGCTTCAGGTCCTCCGAGGTGATGAGCTCGTCCGCATCAACGGACCATCTCAGCGTTGGCGCGGGTGTCGGTATTGAGATGCCTTGTCTCGAAGCCAGCGTCTCCGTCCACTATGATCAAGATGTCATGGAGAACCGGGACTCAAACAAAGCCTCAGTCACCACGAGTTACCGCGCCGGCACGGTGGCTTTTATGCGTCCTCCAGAGCTCTCACCAGATGCCTTTGACGTGTTGTATGGTCAGGGCATTGATGCGTTCAGCGCCATATACGGCGACTTCTACGTCGGCGGCTATCGTATTGGAGGCGACACATCGGTCCTCTTCAGCACGGATGCGAGTTCCCGCAGCGAGTCGGAAACAAAGAGGGTGAATATCGACGTGGAAACATGGCTCGGCGACTACCACGAGGAGACGTCAACAAGTTCATCGAGCACGGAGCACTCCACTGTGATTCGCGTGAGTGCCTATTCGACGATTGAGCAAGCTCTCATCTCGCAGGCGGTGCAGATGGGCACGCCCGAATTCAAGGCCGCAACCGAGAAAGGTAGAGCCATCTCCCAACGCGCACGGGGACTGGAGGACTCTGTTGCCAAAATTCTGAAGGAAGTTGGCGTGAGAGAAGGGAGGCTGGTGACTCGGGAGCAGTGTGCGCAGCTGTGCAGGCGAGCGGTTGTTGTAGAGCTTTTGCTGGTGCCGGTGGAATGTTTGCGCCAGATACGGTATTGGATGATTGCACTGTATGGCTGTGAATAGGATGATGACTATTGGGAACCAACAATCTCAATCACAATACGTACGAAAAAGATTCAAATCTGAGTTGCAAAGTATTAAAATAGTAGATGAATTATGAAAGTGATTGGATATGTAGTGCGCCATCCCCTTTACTCCAACTACATTAGTTCAAAGTGTTATGAAGTGGCTACATGTATTCAGCACTCAAGTTCGCTGTCCAGCAACCGGATTTCACGATCAAAAGTAGTAAATTTTACCAAATCCCAAATAAACATGGCTACAGTGGCAGACATTCGAAGAGAATAGCGATACTAGCAAAAAGCAGATACTCAAGGTACTACAAGTCCACTACCATGCGTACTGTCTAGTAGTACACGCAGCAACCAACACAGCTTGTTGACAACTGGGTGCGTTCCATGGCAAGATTTATTTCAGTCAATTACATCTACGCTTCAAGCATATACCTCTATTCCATCTTCCACAAACATACAAGGCAACATCATCTGAGCCTTGGCTGCCAAACCCGGCATAACCTCCAACCGCATCCCAAACCCGCCAAGATACCCTCATTCACTTCAAAAATCCAGCCACATACAAACTCAACAAAGCACCCAAATCATATCCACGTAATCCGACTCATCAGCACAACATCTGCCTTCCCTTTGTCATATCCCCATTACACAAATCATTTCACCTCAACCAATCCCTTCCCCAGCCCTTTCAGACATTAACCGCCTTCGGGGTCCGTACCTGACTCACCATCCACGCAAACCCCGCTAGTCAAGACAAAAGAACCCTCCAACCAAACCGCAAACTACAAACCACACCCAATGATTCATTCACTTAAAAAGAAAACGCAAATTAATTTAAATTACCTACATGACTCTTTCAATCCAAACCTCACCACTAAACAAACACCCCCCGAAAGAGTCATCTCGTACTCGTATACTCGTAGGCCTCCATGTCCTTTCAATCCACCACCACCACCACCGCAAGTCACATGCCAAAGCCACGCCTCAAAAGACCTGACTAACGACCTTTACAAAGAGGGGCACGTGACCAGTTCGTGCGCCGCCGTAACGGGTAGGGCTACGTACTAAAAGAGCCAGTGGAGAACAAAACGTGTTCCGCCGTCCCAGGTACTCTCGTATACCCTGCACTAAGAAATACTCGTACGATGAGAATGTTGGAAAAACTACTGATCCTGCATAAAATGGCACGTGCATCAAATCCGGGGTATTTCACAGTTCATTGTAGATGGAAGAAGGTAAAATTACTTCATGGGGCTTTCAATTTATTGCCATGATGAAATGGTAAGACTAGTATACATGATTTCTTTTTGTCTATATTCCAACCAAAGTGGTCCACATGTAAGAAAAGGGAAAAAAAGCAACAAAGGAAATAAAGATTAAAGTGAAAAAAGAGAAAAAAACATCTGCTTCCCTTCAAAGAGTAACCCACTCAATGTTTAGCCCTGCATATGCGCCTTCGCCCTCATGAATGTCAATCCCATTTCTTGTTTTTGTAAAACATTCGAATGCATTGGTCCGTAATGAGAATCCAGTCTGGCGAACCGTTGATCTTGTGATAATACACTTTCCCCAACAAAGGAAAAAGAAGTGAATCGAATCGATTATGCTTGCAAAGCAGAGTTGCTGAGTGGTCTAAAACAATAATGAAATCCGAATATCCTTTGCCGCCTTTCCATATGCGGCCCCGCTTTCCCAATGTGCAACAAAAAAATGAAGTAAGAAACCGGAAGTAGTACAATGATGATGAAAGCCAAGGATGCACAACCGCGATCATCAAAGACAAAAGTGAACAAAGGGAATCAAATCAGAAAGAAAAAAAAGCTGGCACAAAAGCAAGCGCAGAAAATAGAAGCAATTGTGGTGTACAGTACATCATGATCGCGTAGCATCGTTGAAGCAGAAACGGTCAATCGCCAGGGAGGGTGTGAGAATAGACTTGGTTGAATACCAAGTTTGAAGCCGGAAGCGGATTGGCGCGATGAGCTCTGCGAGGATGATCGCGAGGAGCTTCCATCTGCTTCGTAGCATCATTCAACGCACAACATCAGCCAGAGCTGTCGTCATTGCGGTCATTCCCCAGCCATTGCAGCAAGCAGGGCCATCGAGACCGAGATGAAATCAGGGCACGAGCAGACGTGGGTGATGTCAGCGGTGGAGGTGGTATGAGGTAGCGTGACGTCAGCGCCGCTTGCTCACCAACCAAGACCCTGCAGCTGCAGCAGGACCCTGAGACCCACTCGGCGACCGCTGGGACCGGACAGCTAGGGAGAAGAACGCCAAAGAAGATACTGGAGCCTTCTCATTGGCTCTGCCGTCCAGCCTGAAGTCTCCAACGAAGCGCACCTTTCCCCGCAGAGAAAGCTTGGAGAGCGCCAGGATCGTCCATCTTCGATTTGCGTGCCCTCCAACTGTGCGCCATCGCTGTCGTTGACGTTGATTGACGTTGGCTGATGCTGTTTCCCCCCTTTCGCGCCCATGCAAAACGTCATACAGCCAAAAATGCCACTGTAATCGGTTTTTTGGGTTGGCTGCAATGAAACAAACTTCCCGTTGCATGTCTCGCTCCCCGTTCAGATTAAGCTCCACCGCGTCGTCGGTGCTTGCCGGGGAGCTCAACATCAGGGTGACAAACTCGGTAGTGTCTCGTAAGCGCATCAGCGCGACTGAATGTCTTCTCCTCGGTACACAGGTTGCAGTGCACCTTTTGCTTCTTGGCATTGTGAATGGTATCCTCGTGCCGGGTCAAGTCGTAGGGCCGCGAGAAGATGGTATTGCAGGGCTTGCCAGTGCTTGGGTTGATGCGGTCACAGCGATGGGGTCCGGCCTGGCTGTTGAGCAGGCTCGAGGTCATACCCATGTGATCGTGGTGTGGCCGAGTAGCACCGGCAAGTCCGTGCGACTGTCTGTGGCCTTCACGCTTGTGCTTCTGTAGCAAGTTGGGCGTCTCAAACCGTAGTGTGCAGCCGTGATATGTGCAGGTATAAGTGCCTCCATCAGCATTGGCGCCGGCAGGGCGGCTCTGGGGAGCGGGAGTGTTGTAAGCCGCAGACCCAGTGGAATTAGACTCTGCAGAGCTCAATTGGGATGCTGATGCGTCTTGGCTGTGTGGCGGATAGGCGATAAATGGGTATCGCTGAGGTACCTGAGGCATGTTGTGCATGTGACCTGCGTGATCCCCCTGGCCGTAGTTGGGTGCCGCTGATGAGTGGCCATTGACGCTTCCCTCGGGCAGTATCCTGCCCATGTGGTCCATGCCAAAGTTGATTGGCGTGTGCGAGAACAGGGGCATGTTGGAATCCTCTCCAGACTCGTTAAACTCAAGGACGGCATCCTTGGGAGAAATGGTCTGGGGCGTTCCGGGCTGTGTCGTCTTGGTCATCTGCTGCTGGAAGAAGTGGGCATCGTGCTGGCCATTGCGGTCCTGGCCCGGCATGCGCGGCTGTGAATTCATGGCCACGGCACCATGGGAGGAAGCCCAGTCGTGAAGTGGCGAAGGAGCAAGTGGAGACCCATGGCGGAAGGGAGAAATGTCTCGAGAAATGCTTGACGTAGGCGAATGCCTGATTGTGCTGAGGTGCTGGCTATTCGCGGCACTGATGCGCTGGTTGAAGACGTCGCTGGGCGCAGCAGTCACTTGGCTCTGCTGTGGCGATGAGGTGATGGTGAAGTTGGGGTTGTACAACTCATCGCCGTAGACGTCTGTCATCGTGCGGTCGAGTTTGGGGACAGTTCCGTTGCCATGACCTGCGTACCAATATGATGAGTCTTGGTCGTCAATCGGCTGGTTGTTGGTGTTGAGAGGTCGGCGCCTACCTTGCCTTCTTCTGTCAGAGAGATCAACCTCTCCTGTGACTGGAGTAGCCGGCGAGTCGCCTGCTATTGAGCTTGCCACGGATGCAGGATGTGATCGGGTCAAGCCATTTGCAAACTCGGGGGCGGGGAGGAGGTTGCGATCCTGTCGCAGATTGTGGTGGCTGTTGGTCGGGATGGAGACTGGATATGCCATCTCGCTGACAGAGGCGTTGTCGAGGTGGTGGAAGTTTGAGTAGGGAGGCATCGTCTTGGCGGCCAGCTGGTAGTAAGGGCCTGAGCTCATGGTCATGTCGTGCGAGTGCATGTCCATGAAGCCGTCACCATTGGCGTCAGTGACGGCGATGTGGGGGTTCGCGATGTGCGAGTTGAAGGGCGACGCCGGCCCTGTAGATCCCAGAGAAGACAGAGAGGATTCTCGTTGATGGGGAAGTCGACCAAACTTGGGAGTTGAGAAGCGAGCGGCGGCGTCCCAGGATTCGGGCCGCATCGAGTCAGACGAAAACGCAGAGGCGATTGCGGCGTTGAGATACTCGAGATTGGACGCAGAGAGCTCGGTTGAGGGGAAGGTCGAGGTCGAGAAGTCAAAGTCGGTCGAGTTGCCAAAGGTGAAGTCGTCCAGCTCTGTCTGATGATGGTTATTCAGGTTGTTGTTGGTGATGTTGTTATACTGGTGCTGTTGCTGTTGTTGTTGTTGAAAGCGCTGATATTGTTGTGATGAGTTGTAGTTGTGGTCCACAGATAGCATGGTTGAGTTGAGTTGGAGATTGTATGGGGGCGTATTTGCAAGTTCGATCTGACGGCGATGTGGCGAAATGCTTTCTCTTTATATCGTCCAAGGGCCCTCCACCGGGTCGACCGGTTTCGTCAAGAGTCGACGCAGACACTCGGAGGTGGAGGGAGGGGTGACATGCTGATGGAGGGAGGGTGTGTAGAAGCGAGGGGGGAGGGGCGTGGACAATCGATGCGATGCGAGCCCCACCGGCGAAAAAAAGGGCATCTTCGGCCTTGCGAGCGCAGCTGCTAGTACGAGTACGTACCTACATGCTCGTAGAGTCAGCCAGGCCCTGCGAGAATCTGCCGACAGACACATCCGGGGAGCCGCGGCTAAGGGAGCAGGTACATGCGCGGCAGGTAGCGCTGCGCAGGTTTGGTAATCCATTCGCTGGCAAAATTGTCTCAAGTGGTCTCAAGTGTCGCAGGGCCCGCGGATTACACACGCACCGCCACTACCTGGGGCTGAGGTCACTGGTACAAGTTCGTATACACGGGTAATTGACGCTTGCATTCTCCGTACCGCCGCCAGGTATTTGGCATACTTCAAGGTCACTAGCAGATATGCCGACTCAGCAGCGTGTCATGCTTGGTTGAGCAGATGCAGAGACCGGCGCTTGATAGGGCAATGGACTCCGCGGCTTCGCAAGGCAAGTCAGGAACCTGGTCATGGCTGCGTGGTGCGCGTATGACTAACTCCCAACTCATCGGTCATTTGTCATGTCATTGCACGGCGGTTGGTCTGGTATGGTACATGTTATGCTAGGCAGTTCCTCTTGCACGTCCTCTGCCTGCGTATGCCGCATACGAACCAACGGATTGCGTCCCCCCTACCTAGTCAGTCACTTGTCAGCATTAAAATCTCAACTATCAGCTCGCATCGGCATCGCTATCGTATAATTGCAGTAGTTTCGCATCGCATCGCCTCTCGCGGCCACGTTCGGAATCCGTGCAACTTCCACTTCACACGCCCCAGGCACAGCCGCGGAGAAGGGACATGCCACATACCTGTGGCTTGTGCCTGTGGCTTCGGCCAAGGGTCCAACACCAGCCAAGTGTCTGACTGTATGGCTGTCACCGAACTGGACAGACGGGGCAGCCACATCGCCGTAGCGGGCAGAGACTTCTAGAATTTTCCCGTCAATGGCTTTCCACAGCCCTCCTCGATTAGACTTAGCAAACCTTTTTTTCACAGAATATTTCTCCTTTCGGTGTTAATGGCTATGATAGCCCATGAAACGTTTCGCCGACAAAAGGTTGACTAACGGACATGGCATTGTGTTAGCTCAGCAAGCGCGGGAACCACAAGCGGAAAAAACAGTTGCAACAACCTGAATGTGACGTATAGGCTGGCGTATCAAGTTTGAGAGCGATCGAACAAGATCCTTGCCCAGCGCATGCCGGTCCGCTCTGTCTGTACAGCACAGATTCTCATTGGTCTCAGCCACAGTCTGGCAGCGCAAGCAAGCAAAACATTCAAGATTTTTCTTGTTCTTGGGCTTGCCCCTTCCGGCGCAGTGCATACAGGTACGAGTACACATTACATACGAGGCGGGTACGTACCACAGCCAACATTGGCGTTGGGAATTTCTAAAAAAAAACTTGCAACCTGTTACTAAAACCTGCGGTACGTACTAAGGTCACATGACCCTCCCTCGAAAAGTCAATCCCCCATACTTTTCCCAAGCGCACGGGCTCGGGGTTCGCTGACCAAGGGATTTTGATGCCAAACGCCGAAAAGAAGGAAAAAGACAGTTCCGCACGGGAATTACTAATTGGGGGTGTCTGCAAAGCAAACCTTTTTGCTTTCGATGACTGATCTAAGCACCAATATCGACCTTTTTTTTTTTTTCTCATCATCTGTCATGTCTCGCCAAAGTTTACTTGCCCACCTTGAAAAATGGCAAGATGTGCACCTGTTACCTCATCCCATTGACCGGATGTGTAATCGGGTGATATGGGCACACTTTGGTTGCGTGACATGCAGTGCAAGTGCAGCGCCGTAACTTACGCTGTGACTGCGAGTGCGAGTACACCCGATCCCAAGCGCTTCGGGCGCGATCCCCAAGCGAAACCGCCAATGCATGCAAATACCAAACAAGCAAGAGGAATTAGGCTATGGAGGTGTGCTGTGTGTGCTGCTGTGTGCTGCAGATGGCAGTCCCGAGGGGAAAAGGAGAAATGAAAAAATTTTCAACTTCTCCTGCATGTCGGCACGCGAGAAGAGAGAATGTTTGCGAGCTGGTTTGTTCAAGACGCAGCTGATTTTGGAGGGAGTCGGGATGGCCGACCTTGGCCTTTGTTCGGAGACCGCCGGCTGCCAGCGGCCAATGGGCGGCCAGATTCTGGCACAGCTCAGCCACACACACTTCCCGCGATCTGGGCTCTTGCATGCATCGTTCTGCCGGCACTAGAGCCAGGGAGCTGAGAACGGCAGAGAAAAAAAAATTTAAGATTCGTCTCGGCCTGATCGACACTTTGACAACTCCCAGTCCTTTGAGGCTGAATGGCTTTGTCCGACGCTTCTTGTTGGGCCGAGGCTTCTCTTCGACCGGGGGAAACTTGGACTGAAACCTTGCGCGGCTGATATGAGATGCGATGCGCCGGCGGCAGAGGAGTTCCACGTCCGTCCAGTCTCTCTCTGCCCACAGGCCGGCACGGCACTACCTAGTACTGAAAGTGACAAGAGAGATCTAGAGCCACACCATAACCAAACCCTTGGGATTTTGAGTCTAAGGACCAGCCTCGTGATCTACGACCCGGCGAACTCGGACCCAGGTCGGTATCTGGCCGCTTGCCCCGGAATCGCGGCCCCGAAGCCTTTCCGCGGCTCCCTTCGCTTTCGCTCCAACTCGCACCAAGTACCGCGCGAAACTTCCCACACTTCCCTTTTGATCCGCGAGATTCCATTTCTGGTGAATAAGGCAGCAACAGCAACACAGACGAATTGCCAAATCTTGCCGCATCCCGTCCCTGACTGCCGTGCCGCGCGACGGATGTCGGATCAGCAACGTCAGAATTCGCCGCCCTGGATAAGAGGACGGATAGGCTTCGGGGTTTGAGTTGTCAGTTGCGGGATTCCCTTTGCCTCTACTGGTATCTGCCGAGGTGGTCCCACGGATACCCCTCCTGTAGTAATTGAATTGAATTGAAATCAACCCCTCTCTCCATATTGAAATATTGACCAGCTGAATGAATTCCCCCTCCCGCTATTGTTGTTGTTTGTTGGTTCTTGTCCTGTCAAGTCATCTGGCAAGAAAGTCTCGTGATCAGCTGCTAGCCCGCCAATAGAGCAATGCACCTTGGCCCAATACAACGGGACAATATCGATCCAACATCCAATATAATGGCGATACTATCAACTCGCTAAGGTTCGGCATGCTAGCCGGAATCAGACGCGCATCACCTCAGCCCAAGCATGAGCATGCCCGCCATACATTACAAACGACACAGGAGAGCAAACGCTGGGCGTGCGAACCATATTGGCCACCGAGTGCGTTTCTTCCCCCCCGTAATCTCAGATCAGCCGCGTGTGCATTTGCCTTGTACGAGGATACATAGCATAGCAGCCTGATACAGTACCGATGTCGCAGTTTGAGCAACTCGGTATGTCAACCTTCAGCCCAAAGTCCAAGTGCATGCCCAAGCCCAAGCCCAGCCGCCCCTTGTCTTGTCTCGTCCTTTCGTCCCGTCTGGCGCAACTTTTTTTCTTTTTTCGTTCTCGTCCCGAACCCGAGAAAAAAATGCAAGACAAATGCAACATGCAACATGCAATACCGCCCGGCAGTATTTCGTGGAGCCTCTTCTCCGGGCCTCCGGTCTAGATTATGTGGCTCCTCGTCCCAACATGTGGTGGCTCCACCCCCCCTCGGATCGCCTTTACCCGCCGATGCAGATCCGGTCTAGGCCTTACCCAAAATCCTCCCCCTGCCCACGTGGATTTTTTTCTCTGTCTAGGTAGCCCGTACTCCGTAGTAGGGCTCTCTTCTGCTTTTTTTAGGCTTCGCCTATGTCTCTGAATGCAAAGCCCGAAAAATTCTCAGTTTAGGCTGTCTCAGTGAGTTTTTGGCATCGGCGGGTCCGCGTTGGGACATGTTGCAGCGCATCCATAGCTTTTTTTTTTTTTCCTCTCCCCCCCTGTAGAGCTGCGACGTGCCGTCTTGTCTCTTGTGCATGCATGCGTACGTGCGTCTGTGCTGCCCTTTTTTTTTCTTTTGCTTTGGTCTGGTCTGGGTCTTGGTGTGGTTCTCCTGTTTTACAGGCTCCATCCATCCAGCTGTGTTGTGCTGTTTGAACTTTCTATTTTAACCGACCGACATGCGTTGGCTCTTTTTTTTTTTTCTTCTCCTGTCCCCTTCTATTCCGCTATGCAGGGATGCAATCAAAAAAGATGCAGATGCATCCTGAAAATTCAGATGGGAGGGTGTCTGGCTAGTAAATGCCAAACCAAACCAACTTTGATGCTGTGTGTCACTGCCAAACCCCGGACCAGTATCTCCATTGGACAGCAAAGCTGGCAGCCTATTCAATTTTTTTCCTTCCTCCCCCTTTTCTTTTTTTCTTCCTTTCAGGTAGGTTACTCGTAAAGTAGGGGCAGAGGCATCAGAACCCAATCGCATATCATCGGGTAAGATTTTCACCACTACCAATTTTTTTTTTCGAGCTCGTGATAGGATTGTGAGTTGCGATAGAAAGACAGCCTTGAGAGCCTTGGGTCCCCCGGCGAAGCGCATAAGCGGCCAACCACATGACACCTCGAACCACTCTCTGTTTTTACGTGGTCGGTTTTGGGTGATTCAAGCCCAATAAACCCACTGTGTCTCTTTTTCCATTTTTACGAAAGGTTGCTTGGCATTTGGGCAGAGGAGATGAAATGTTGATGAGTCACAAAATTGGATGCGCTGTAAGCTGTAGCATCGAATATTGGATCTTGCATATTGGGCTATCATATATAAACTCCGTATTGGGTTTTTATATCGAACCCTTGCAGTGGCTAACAGCCAATACCATTTCCAATATCCGTATCCTTGCATGAGTCCCGAACGTCTTATTGCCGTAAAGGACGTGTACTTACAGAACAAGTATCTATACACGTAGCATAGCAACTCATGTAACGTGGCTGGTTGCAAGCTGAGCCTTGACATCTGGAGTTCATCTAGTCCATTACTCGGACATGTGGAGACGAGCTCTCCTCTATCGATACAGACACGGGCAAGCTCCATATTCGGCAAAGAGATTTGGACATTCAGACAGCAACAACGCGTCACGCGTCACGGGAACAACACAGCTCTTCGCCTCCCCATCTCTTTCAGATACGTGGCGAGCGGGGTTGAGTCATACGCGTTCACGGATATCACAGGTTTAAGTAGGCAAGATAGAGTCTTGTTCACAGTCAGGCAGAAAGATTTTACTTGTAGAGTATATGTGATGCTTTATTTCAAGGTCACCACTGAATAAGTCTCAATTACCCCCTTTCGGAAGTCACCCATTTCCCAGTACGTTGTACAGTACAAAATCTCAAAAAGCAATGACCCGCGCCCATAGTGAAAAGCCCAATCGTAACAAACACGCGAATAACACATTATGTCGACCCGACCTGGTGGCAGATCGCTTAACCACCGAAACCGTACAGGGTGCGGCCCTGTCGTTTCAGGGCATAGACAACGTCTAGTGATGTGACGGTCTTGCGCTTGGCGTGCTCAGTGTATGTGACGGCATCACGGATGACACCCTCGAGGAAGGACTTGAGGACACCACGGGTCTCCTCATAGATCACTGTGAAGGAAGACAGTGTTAGAGACATGTGTCAAGCTGAAGGTAGCATGTCGATGAGTGGAAACTTACTGGCAGAAATACGCTTGACACCACCACGACGAGCGAGACGTCGGATAGCGGGCTTGGTAATACCCTGAATGTTGTCACGAAGAATCTTGCGGTGACGCTTGGCACCACCCTTGCCGAGGCCCTTGCCACCTTTGCCGCCTGTATTGTAGATTGTTAATCAAGATGATCTTGAAGTGGCGATGGAGGTAGCTGGCAGACGCGTCAAGGCCGAGGCTGAAGCTTCGAAGCTAAGGCACCATGCAAGCCGCAAGGCTTAAGGCGACAGCAGCTGAAGACTGGAGACAGCGACGACGATGGACCAGCATCGCCAAGCATGGATGAGGCAAGTAAAAATAGGAAGTTACTTACGTCCAGTCATGATGATTGATGTGGGTTGTTTTGGGAGTTTGAGATATCAAAAAGAGATGCAGATGGTAAACAGTAAGTCGTACATAAAAGAGGGGAGGGGAAAAGGCAAAGTGTGGCAACACGCCAGTTTAAGTAGCAGCGGCCCAGATCACTGATCGATTATGGAGAGGGAAAAAAACGGGGGCCTTGGTGCTGTGGTGGGCCTTTTTTGGGTAAGTGATTCAAAGGAGAAAAAAGGGCGATTGCTGCAAAAAAAAATAAAACACGGTACGTACTGCTGGCGCGGGAAAGGATGTGTGGGGCGGGCTGGGAAAAAAGGTAAACAAAAAAAGACACGTCCCAATCACGAGCTTTGGATGCCTTGGATGGGCTGGTTTTGGTTTGTTTTATTTATTTTTTTAATGGGTGAGTCTAAGCTCGTTTTGTCTGGTGTCCATACGAGCAAGCTGCCTTTGTTGCATCTGATCTGTTTGACACAAAGAGGAGGAGACTATGGAGTAGCATTGGTGTTGATAGGGCTTGGTGCCTGTGTTGCTTCGTCTATCGAATCACGAGGATGTCCAAGCACCCGTAGTATTAGCATCTGGAGCATGAGTACTTTGAATTATATGGCGATAGTATTGCAATCACAAGTAGACCATGGGTTCATATTGAATTGCTCCATCCCAAGGACTCCATCGCCATGATGCTTGCCGCATGGATCCATCTGCCCTCAACACCGTTTACGTTTATTTTTAGTCCTATCCATTGTTTACCCTCACATGTCGCCGTAGTAGTCTTGGAGGCGTAGTTTCAGTTTATCCACTGGCATGTTTTGCGTCATCTTGAGTTTGATGTTGGGGGTTGTTGCCGAATCTACACCAAAGACTAAACAGTGGTGCCTTGTAATCCAACTACAGCTTCCAAGTATCATTTTAATATTCAACCTCGACCAACAAAACAACAACCAAATTCATAGTGCAACACATACGAAATAAAAATCACATCACTGTAGAAGAACTTCATCGCACGTAAATTGCAATCTACCCGTATTTCGCTCATCTACAGCTGCATCACCAGATCGTGCATCTTGCATCCAGGGTAAGCAAGCTGAAGAGATGCCTCCCACGCAGCTACATGCACTCGGTACCTCGCAAATCGAATCTAGGCTGCGATCGTAAAAAACATTCCCCCAGGCAGCCAATCAGAAAAAAGGAACGCGCTCGCCCTTTTTTTTTTTGCGGCCCTCCTCGCAGCTTCCGGTTCCGCATCAGCCAACCTGGATTCGCCCGTTTCGGCGCTGCAGGTGGGGGGGCGTCTGACGTTCCACAGAAAAAAAGAAGGGGGGGGAAGGAAAAGAAGCGCTAACAGGCTCCCTTTTTTTTCTCTCTGCCTCTGCACTGCTATTTCCCTGCCCCCCCTTGGCTTTAACGGCTAACGGGTTCCCTATTTTTTTTTTTTCTCTTACTGACGCGCGCTGCGCACGGTCCAAGCGTGCAACCCAGATCAGCCGCCACCTCAGGCGTGCGCTAGGCTCAACTATTAAAGCATCTTCCCCCGCCCGCTTCTCGGAGTTTTCCCTTCTACACTGCCATCTTCTCTCAGCCCCACAAAGTCTTTTTTCAAGCATCTTCACAGTCAACACATCACAACAACTCATCATGGCCCGCACCAAGCAGACCGCCCGTAAGTCCACTGGTGGCAAGGCTCCCCGCAAGCAGCTCGCTTCCAAGGCTGCCCGCAAGAGCGCTCCCTCCACCGGAGGTGTCAAGAAGCCTCACCGTTATAAGCCTGGTACCGTCGCTCTCCGTGAGATTCGTCGTTACCAGAAGTCGACCGAGCTTCTGATCCGCAAGCTCCCCTTCCAGCGTCTGGTAAGTACATGAACACATTAATACAATAATCAATATCATCATCGCGTCTCTAACACTTCAATCAAACAGGTCCGTGAAATCGCTCAGGACTTCAAGAGCGATCTCCGCTTCCAGTCTTCCGCCATTGGCGCCCTCCAGGAGTCCGTCGAGTCTTACCTCGTCTCCCTCTTCGAGGACACCAACCTCTGCGCCATCCACGCCAAGCGTGTCACTATCCAGAGCAAGGACATCCAGCTCGCCCGCCGCCTCCGTGGTGAGCGCAACTAAGTTGGATGACTTTGGGAGGAACGTTGCAGACATGACTTTTGCTTTTCACACGAGTGTTTCTGGGGTCAAGGGATAATCAGGCGTTACAAATGAGAGTTTTTATTCCCCTTTATGGTTCGGAATGTATATTACCAGTGCGTCAGGGAAAAAGCACTGCATAAATGCAAACGAGGTTCACGGCCTCACGGGTTAACGAACTATAATAACTGCATCACTTTACATCTTGTGCCTCCATCGTGAATGTCCTCATCGTGTCTTGCCTGTAAAACGCGCATCATCAATCGCGCAATCTGCCCGGTGTTTAGGCAGCGACGTCGACAGAAGACGCGTTCCCATAACAAACGCGATGCCGCATCTTGAGATTACGTAGCGCTAATCTGCAGTGCCGTGACTCAATCGCCGGTGGCAAGTGGCGCGTCCACGTCCGCCCGGCACCGAAGAAGCGCAACCGCCGTCTTGCTGTGACAACATCGCGAAATATCCCGCACTGAGGCTTCAATCGGTCACTGCAATCGCTCGACTACGCCATCGGTCGGGTATCACCGCCATCATCGGAATCTCAATCACATTACCATCTCTACACTTTTTTTTTAATCCTAAATCTATATAGTAAATTAAATACACACTCATCCATTTTGCATACAGATGCGTGCACACGATTCCCAAGACACATCCGTTTACGCTAATGAGTTCACATAATAAGTTGGCAGCTGGGTCAGCACGTCGAATCCACCGGTGCCGACTCTGCCCAGCTTGCCCATCACCAGACGACTGCTCGGCGTCGTCAGATCGTCCCAGTCGCCATCCAGCAGGGCATCCTTGAGGAACCCGAGCGTCGTCTCGAAGCTCATCTTGGTAAAGGGACTGACGTTGCCCCTGAGGCCCATGCGGCTAAAGGCTGTGAAGTCGCCGCCTCTCGTCATGTGGTCGGCAATCAGGTTGAGATGTCGGTTGTCCACCTTGATGCCGTGGCCTCCGAAGACGCCTGACAGCTCCCGCACGATGTTGGCGCGGCAGGCCTCCACGCCGTAGACCTCTAGCACCGCCGCAATGTCGTTGGTCTGGATGCGGTGCGGGTCAATGAAGTCGCTGTATCTCTGCATTGCCCGGAGGTTGACGCCTGTCGTGTTGATGACCTTTTCGTTCTTTTCCTGAGCCACCATGCACGATCCGACGCCGGCAACTTGCTGCACCACTGTCTGGCGGACTGCGTCCTCGACAATGTTGAGCATCAGCACCTTGGGAATGTTCACGTCAAACTCGAGCGTCACGTCGCACCACTCGCCGCCCTTGTCATCGCACTGGAAGTCTGTTACTTCCGCGTAGGCATTGAGCACGCGCTCTGCCCGCACCTTGGCGGACCATGACACGGGGGCCTTGTTTCCGTCCTCCTCGTCATCTTCCTCATCCTTGTTCTGTGATGTTGCGTTGTCCGCGTCCTCCTCGTCTGAATCGTCTTCCGCTCCCTTGGACATGTCGTTCTGAATAGCGTCATCGTCATCATCGTTAGGTCCGTAAGAGACAGCCTCGCTCCGGTTTGCGCGCTTCTTGGCGCCGGTGGCGTCGTCGTCATCTTCTTCGTCGTCGTCATCATCGTCATCTCGACCACCTTCCGCTGCTCCCTCGGGCCTGGCCATCTCAACAACTCCTGCTTTGATGCCAATCTCGGGAGTCGCCATTGTCGACTGCGATTGACGCTTCTTGACCTCTCTCTTCATGATGGAGAGGATCGTTCGCAGAAGCTTCTTCTCTACTGTGCCCATGATGTCCGACACCGTAACCGCATAGGTGGTGGAATACTCTGCAGCCGGGAAGAACTTGAGCTTGATCTTGTAGATCTTGGCCAGGCCGCGGAGCTTGCCCTTGCCAACCATTTCCTCCACGACGACTCCATCCAGTACTTGGCTCATGCGCAGCACGCTGATGGACTTTGTGAAAATTTCGGTATCCTCCTCCGATAGCTCGGCGTTTGGATACAGCGTCATGGCGGGTGTGGAAATCGTCTTACTGGCAGTCATCAAGATTTCTCTCAGACGGGGGATACCCAGGGTGACGTTCTTTGCTGAGTGACCAGCCAAATGGAAGGTGTTCAGCGTCATCTGTGTAGACGGTTCACCGATAGACTGGCCAGCCACGATGCCGACAGCCTCGCCAGGCTCCACCAGCGACCGGAGATATTTCATGGCGAAAAGCATCTCCGCGTTCTTCTTGTTCAGCTTCACCTGGTTAAGAGACGTCTTGTCCTGGCTGTTCTTTTCCCGTACAAGTCCATCGGCGTTGTCATTGAGATAAGTTGTCATGGCTTCGTAGAACGTTTCTGAAGTTGCAAAGGCGTTCGTGGCGGGATCGAAGCTGGCCGTGAGGGGATCCTTTCCTTTTCGGTCGTTGAGTTTGGCGTGTCGAACGGCGCTCTTCATGTATTTCTGGAACGCCTGTCGGTTGGCGCCGAGGCGTTCTCCAACCTTGGGATCATACTTGAGCTGTGCCGCCTCCGAGGTTACGTTTTGCAGGATAAATCGGAAGTCTTTCAAGTAGTTTTGCTTTGTGACATCCAATCCATCTTCACCGTACAGGAACTGAATCAAGGATCCGTCCGCGTCTCTTACTGAGGTATCGTAAGAGACTGTAAGGCCCTCCATTCCCTTGATGATACAACGCTGCAGATAACCTGAACGTGATGTCTTGACAGCTGTGTCGATCAAACCCTCACGTCCAGCCATGTGATGGAAGTAATACTCTTGTGGTCGGATACCAGTCAAGAATCGGTTGACAATGTAACCACCCGCTCGAATGTTTGTATCGTATGGCCGGAAGCTAGGCAGAGTCTTTCCGCTAACCATGACTGGGACACGCCTACCCTCCAGAACCTGCTGTCCCAAGTTGCAGGAAATGAGGGAGGCGTTGACACGGGATCCCTTGGCACCTGAAGTGGTCATGACCTGCATCTGATTCTTCGGGAAGTTCTTCTCAAGGCCGTTGGGGATCAGCGCCTTTTGCACGGCATCTGTAATGTCTTTGGTTCCCTGGTTCATCAGGAGATCGAGACCTTCCTGCTTGCTGTCGTCACGCATGACTTCCTCAAGGCGCTCAAGCAGGAGCGGATTCTGTGAGTCTTCTTGTTTCTCTAGTGAGACATACTTTGACGCAATTTCCAATCCCATCTTGTCGGCCGCAACAAGTTCTCGTCGTCGTGCTGCCTCTCCCTCTGCCGTTAGCCTCAAGTCGTCCATTCCGCATGAAAAGGCTCGCATGCTGAGATATCTTGTAAGCAACCGGCCCAAGCTACTAAGGAGTTTGCCGGCGACTGAAGGTCCGTATATCTCATGCACGGCGTGAATCAAACCGCTTGAGCTAGGTCCAATCTGAGACTTGTCGAGAATTCCTGTTATGAACTCGCCATCTTGTATCAAGACAGTTCCTTCCTCTGATGATGTGCCCCATTGTTCGGCCTTGATTTGGGCGTTTTCGTTCATCGTCAGCCCTCCGCAGTTGGGTGGCCTGATGTTGGCGAGGATTGTGCTGATAACCTGCTTTCCTGTCCATCTCGGCACTGGCTTGATGATCGCTGGCGGAGGAAGCTGAAGTCGCTCTCCCAAGATGTGGCCGCTCTCAGGACGAAGGGCACTGTATATTAGCTGTTGGAAGTCGCTCCGGGTGAAAACAGCGTCTCGACTGCAGAGAGCGACTGAGACGGAAATGTGATCCTGAATGAGACCTCTCAGGGGCTTTCCAGCAGTGCCAGACAAGTACTGGTGGTCGGTGTCGGCAATTTGCAACGCCTCTACACGGGCCACCTCGTTTTGTGGGAAGTGCATGTTCATTTCGTCGCCGTCAAAATCTGCGTTGTAGGTGTTACAGTTGGCGTAGTGCATTCGAATTGTCTTCTCGCCTGGCAGAACGCGGACTCGGTGACCCATGATGGACGGCTTATGCAGTGTAGGCTGACGGTTCATCAGAACAACATCACCGTTAGTGAGATGTCGATGGACCTTTTTGTTCTTCATGCGAGCCGCGCTGCTATTTGTTGGCGCCAGCAGCTGGTTGGCAAGAGATATGCGGTCATCTACAGACTTGTTGCGAAGGTTGACTATTTGGCCATTTTCATTTTCAATGGCAAAGGCTCCCGGCCATTTGTCTACACCGTTGATAACCGCCTGTTGCATGTCTTTGAAGTTGTGACTGGTGACCGGTTCGGGATACGTCAATTTCTTTGCAAACACCGGAGGAACACCAATCTCGTTGGTCTCGATGTTGGGATCGGGAGAAATAACACTTCTGGCGGCGTAGTTGACTCGCTTTCCCATCATGTTCTTACGGAAAAGACCTTCTTTCTTCTCAAGCAACTGTTTAATTCCGTCTTCGTTTCGCGCGGCAGCGGCGCCCTGTACAGGGTTTTTGTTCTTGTCGATCAGTGAATTCACCGCGTCCTGAAGCTCCGTCCAGGCTTGGTGCATGCTTGTGATGTCTGATCGTTTCTCGTTGTAGACACGAGCAATGCTTGAGCAGCAGCCGAGAATGTTCTTGTAAAGGGCGTTCTGCTGGGCTTCGGATATTTGTGAGTCTCCAGTCCGAGCCTCAGGTCGGAAACGGTTCGGCGGCACCAAGACAACTGTAATGAAGAACATGTCGGGAGTAACTTTTGGTGAACTCTGAGTTGGAGGCTTGGCGTTGTATACGAGTGAGAGAAGATCTTGCTCTTTCCTGAACAATTCCTCGAGTCGTGCCCGCACTTCCATGGAGCTGATGTATCTTTGAGCGCTATCTTCAGATGCAAAATCGTCATCTGCATCTCCCATTTCAATATCCTGGGTTTCGGGAGAGTCTTCTGAGCCATTGATTTGTGTAACATCGCCGTTGGTATCAGATTTCTTCGTTGTTGCTGATTTGCGATGGTGGACTCGGGTCATGGCATCACCCCACTTGAGGGCCTTCTGCGCCATCTTTGCCTTTTCCTTGGTTGAGAGGGACTTTTCGAAAATTTTGACAGACCGGTCCTTTCGATAGGTTGGGGAAATGCCTCCGCAGCTAGAGCACACTCGCTTTTTGATGATCTCGGCGAGAAAGTCCTTGATGATTTCACGGCGCATCTCGTTGGCACCCTCATGCTTTCCCCTCTTGACCTCTCCCCTCTTGACCTTGATGCCCTGAAGGCACTGACGAACGTATTTTTCT